AGGACTAGAGAACAACTTGGTTAAACCAGAGTTGGGCACATGCAGGCGCACACCTCTCTCTCTCTCTCCCTCCCTCCCTCCCTCCCTCTCTCTCCCTCCCTTCCTCCCTCCCTCTCTCTCCCTCTCTCCTGGGTCTATGCTTGGGTCCTTATTTGCGGTGGTAGGGAACAAACCACAGTTGGCAGCGTACCACGCAACCCATTTTCAGCTCCCAAGCCCTCGAAGATAGCCACACAGGACCACACGTCACTTCCAGGTTCTTCTATGTAGAGGGGTAGCAGCTATCAGAAACAGTGCAGGTTGTGAAGTGTGAGTTCACTGCTGCTTGGATCCCAGGGTCTTGTCAAAACTCCTCTAGAGGCTAAAGTACTTTCTCCAGTATCCCGTTGGTAGAAGTATCCAGTTTGGAGCTGGAGAGATAGCACAGCAGGTAGGGTGTTTGCCTTGCACATGGCTGACCCGGGTTCGATTCCCAGCATCCCATATGGTCCCCTGAGCACCGCCAGGAGTAACTCCTGAGTGCAGAACCAGAAGTAACCCCTGTGCATCGCTGGGTGTGACCCAAAAAGCAAAAAAAAAAAAAGTATCCTGTTTCATCTCATCCCCCTTCTGATTCTCCACACACAGCAGCCGGAGGTACTTTACCTCCCAACTACGCACACACACACACACACACACACACACACACCCCTGTACCCATACTGGAGGAATCTTCCAAATAGCTCACATCTCTCTCTCTCTCTCTCTCTCTCTTACACACACACACACACACACACACACACACACACACACACACACACACACACCCCTATACCCATACTGGAGGAATCTTCCAAATAGCTCACATCTCTCTCTCTCTCTCTCTCTCTCTCTCTTACACACACACACACACACACGCACACGCACACGTCTCCTCCTTTCTCAGACTGTGTACAATGCTTTGCCGGGCAGAGGGCACACGGAGATGAAACCCGGGGCCTCGTGCCTGCAGGGCACATGTTCTCCCTCCCCAGGGTGCGGGCCGGCCCCCAGCCCTGCATGCTCTCACCTGCTTCCACAGGGAAGCCATCTCCTTTGAGCGCCCGTGGGTGGCAATCTCCCCCACCCCTGGGTGGCATCTGGTGTTTCCTTGTGGCTGGAGAACTAACCCGCTCCGTTTCCCCGTGGCAGTGTTGATGGGGACCGTCCTCGGCCTCCTGCTGGTGGCCGGGATCCTCATGGCGTTCTGTGTCTACAAGCCCCTTCGGCGTCGCTGACAGCAGGCAGGCGAGTTCTGCCATGAGGTGGACGGGGACAGAAGTGGCTGCACTCCCGGAGCCGTGGTCGCCAGCACCTCCCCGTGGCCGCCCGGGCAGTCGGCAAACGCTGCGAGGGAGGATGAACACGGCAGCGGGTGGACCTGCCCGGACGCGTCACTGCAGGTCACCAGCCACCGAGTCTCCTCCTTGTCCTCAGTGTCCACCTGGTGGTTCTTGTTAAGTAGCCCCGCGCGCTGGAAAGGATTTGCATTGGGACGCCTTAGCAAGAGGAAGACGACGTGTAGCTCGTGCCTGGGCCCTTTGGGGGTGGGGGGGTGGGGTGAGGTTCAGGGCACAGAGCAGCCGTTCCTGGCTTCCACCCGGACCCTGCCTCTTTCTCCAGTACTTCCGAGTCTGACCCCTCGGAGCACGGGTGCGAGTTGTGTGTCCAACCATCTGGTCCTTTTGGATTGGGTCCCGTTATTTTTCCGGTTGCGAGGCAGCGCCCACCGTGGGGGCTGGGGCTGCACTGGCTCTGTACGCAGACCCCCCCTTCCCCGCTGGGCATGTGGGTAACTACGGGTGGGTCTAGCAAGAGGGGGCGGGAGCCTCCCTGCCTCTCCCCCTGCGTCAGAACCCCGTCCTGCACGTTCATCTACCTGCCACTAGCTCCCGTGCCTGCAGCCATGGCCCCGGCGGTTTCCTTGGAGCCCGGGGCCTGGGGGTTTGAAGGACAAACGGTTCCAGGGTCGAGTGGAGAGTAGGTGCGTTTCTAGAAAGGAACCTCCACGGGGAATGTGCTGCTGTTCGGGTACACTGTGGCTGAACTGGATTACTGTCCGAAGTGCTACTTCCGTTCAAGTGGTTAGCAGTATTTATTTTATAGGTGCTAGGTTTACTTTTGTTAAATTAAATTGAAATGCTTATCTGTGCTCCAAGCAAACACTGCACTGATGTTTTGTTTTTTTTTTTAACTGCCTATACGTAATGTGAAATAACTTTCGTGGGATACTGTAATTGCCTCAAATTTTGTTCGTGACCCTCACGGTGAGCCGTTAAAATGTTTGGTATTCTGTACCGTTCAGCAGAATGTCAATTAAAATCAAAATTGTAAATCCTACGTGTTGCTTCACACCTAATTATTGGGGTGTTTCAGAAACAGGTGTATGTTTGAGTCTGATTTTCTCTCTGTATGTAAGCACTGGGAGGTGGTTTTACATTCATTATTTGAAATAACATCGCCTCCCCCAGGGCAAGGCACGGATTACTTCAGAAAACTGGGCCATTCGTAATTTCTCACATTGGGCTGGGGGAGGCAGAAAACGTGGATGCTTAACCCAGCTCTAGTTATAAACAGGTGACCTTCCTTCGGGCCTGCCCCGAGAGAGGACAACAGGCTGTCCACCTGGGTTCAATCCCTGGTACCCCTGAGGGTCCCCAGGAGCCAGCCAGGATTCTCCGAGCACGGAGCCAGATTAAATCTGAGCATAGCTCCAAGAAAGGAAAAAGGTGCTACCCACTTTTTAATCTTTCTGAATCTTGGTGAAGATCCTGTGACGTGGGGCTGGAGCGATTAGCACAGCGGGGAGGGCGATTGCCTTGCACGCGGCCGACCCAGGTTCGATTCCCAGCATCCCATATGGTACCCCGAGCACCACCAGGGGTAATTCCTGAGTGCAGAGCCAGCAGGAGGAACCCCTGTGCATCGCCGAGTGTGACCCAAAAAGAAAAAAAAGATCCAGTGACGTAGGTGAGCACTGACAAAAAGTGGGAGCAGCCCAGGCCTGTCCCTCAGGCAGGCGGGGCGGCTGGGGCCTCCTTCCCTCCGCTGAAGGAAACAGTGAAATCGCTCATGCCCAAGGACCTCTGTGGCCTGTTTGCTCAGGACTCCCAGGCCTAGTGGGCCGGGCGCGTTCCGACTTTCTGAAACTACCCGCAGTCCTTCCCCGTGTGCCCAAACCCCAACTCATTCTCCGTCCCATGCTGGCTCCTGCCAGGTTTCCTCGGGACAGAAGAGCGGCCCAACAAGGCTGAGCGCCTGCTTTGCATGCAGGAGACCCAGGCTTGATCCCCGGCACCTCTCAGGGTGTGGCTCCCCGCCTCTCCCCAAACGATAAAAGGGATCCGAAGAACTAGGCTTAACTACAGAGAGAACAGTCGAGAAAACGTTGGTTCCGGGCCAGGGAGGTGGCTTGGACGCTTTCGTGCCCTGCTCTTGCACGCAGGAGGCCTGGCTTCAATCCCAGCACCACTGGGTGTGACCCCAAAATCCAAGAAGGAAAAGCTGCAGCCGGAGCCACATTTGCCACCCAGTGGTAAATGCCTTTCAGGCTCACGTAACCCCTGGGCGCAACCCCTGGCGACCCCCGGTCCCCAAAAGTGCAGCTGCTCTTCAGATGTCGGGGGGCGGGAGTTTCAGCGTACTGGACCCCAGTCTCAAACCGGCACTTCCTGGGCTCCTGCAGGATTCTGAATGCTCACTGCACTGCACGGTCCCATTTACATCGGGCGCAGACCCAGTGGGTGGCACTGCCAAGTCTTTCCCTTCTCTGGTAAGTTCAAGCTGACTTGGCTTCCTCGGTGCCTCACATTCACTGTCTTATTAGAGGTTGGAGCGATAGTCCAGCTGGTAGTAAGGTGTTTGCCTTGCACTTAGGCAATCTGGGTTTGATCCCTGGCCGTCCCTGAGCATCGCAGGAGCACTGTCTTAGGCCCTGACCAATACTGAGTTCCCAGCTGTGTCTTACATGGGCGGGGGTGGGGTGGGGTGAGGGGCGGCGGTGTTCGATTCAAGGTTGCTGGTATCAGGAAAATGGCACAAGGGTGGATCACATGCCGGCACGCAGAGCCCCCAAGTTCGATTCCAGGCACTGCATGATCCCCTAAGCCCTGCTAGGGGGGCTCTCATGCCCCCCACCCACCCACCCCCGGCCCAGCACTGCTTAGAGAACCTGAAAAAAAAACTTTTGCAAAAGTTTGTTGTAACACAGGATCAAAGCCAGGTGAGCACACAAATGTAGACCAATGTTCTACTGTGAAGTGACATCCTTGGTCCAACACTGTTACTTGAATTAAATAACATGATGTAGTGTACCTTGACCTAAGACGCAGTCTTCTCAGGTTCTGTTTTGTTCTGGAGCCACACCTGGTGGTGCTCAGGGCTTACTCCTGGCTCTGCAATCAGGGATCACTCCTGGTGGGCTCAGGAGACCATGTGGGGTGCCGGGGATTAAACCCGGGTCAGCCGCGTGCCAGGCAAACGCCCTCCCCACGGTACTATCGCTCTGCTCCCCCCACCCCTTCTTTGACGTTTTCTTTGAGGGATTCAAAGTACTGCATTTTATTTCCCTTAATCCCCCCCCGCCCCAACCACACACACACACACACACACAACACACACACACACACACACACACCCAGCGCATCCCTCCCCAAGTGCTTCCTTCCCATCTTCCCAGAAACCCCAAGGCCTCAAGAGTTGTGGAACTCAAGAACACTTCTGTTCACTTTTTTTTTTTTGCTTCAATTTTTTTGGCTTTAATTTTTTTTTTTTGGCACTTTAAACATCAAAGAATGGGGGGGCCAGAGACATAAGGCCATTGCAGATGACCCAGGTTCAATCCCCGGCATCGCTTACGGTCCCCTAAGCGCCGCCAGGAGTAAGCCCTGTGAACACCATCATGTGTGGTCCAACCCAACCCCCCCCCCATCCACCAGGAGACTTTCTTGTCTCCTCAAGGGACACAGGCCAAGTCTGGAAGCCTGAACCATCACCAGCACTTTTGTGGACCACCCCGGCGTGAGGTTTCCTGAGCCATGTGGCGGCGGGTTGTCCCTTGCGCCCAGAGGGAGCACTGCAGAGCGGGTCTGAGCACGCACCAGGACAGTGAGTTGGGAGGAGCGTGTTCCCTGGCCTCGTGAGGCCACAGACACTCCCAACCCGGGATGCGAGGCCACCGGGCGACTCAGAGCAGCGTGAGAAAGAAAGGCGGACGCGCAGACCGTCTGAGCACCCTCTAGAAAGCGGTCTTTATTTGCATTGTAAGAGCGGGCGCGCCTGGGAGAAGGCGGCTGTGTGGACGGGGCCGGCCCGCGGGGCTGACCGGAGTGGCCCCTCAGAGCCGACTCCCCGGGGAGGAAGCAGAGCGACGCAATGCCAACAGAAGGGACCTACTAGTCGCCTCTCTGCCCGCGAGGAGAGGCCGTGGGCTCCTCACTTCCAGGGGAAACGCTGAGTCAACGAAACGCCAGGCGGGTGTTTTTGAAAACAAAGGTTGATGGGGGCGGGCACTGGCCTCTGTGCAGAGAAGGAATTTGGTCAGAGCATGACAGAAAAGGCAGCTGGTTGTGTGGAATCCAAAGCACACTCCTTCGCGACCGGGAACACGTTACGGGCAACACTAAGTGTCTGAGAGAGATTCAAGAACTGGACCAAGTAACGCTGGATGGCTCTTTCCACCCCGCAAGAAGCCTGACAGAGAGAAATCGGGCGCCGAGGCGGGGGGTGGGATGGTTGACCAGGATGTTTCCGTGCAGCCTGTGCAGGGAGGCAGGCCCCAGGGTCTGGATGCCGGGTGAAGGTTATTTACAGAAGGGTTAGACAAAATAGTCAACTACTAAAGGTATCCAAAAAAGGCCTGAGAAAGTCTGGTTACAATGTATAACCTTGTATTGCTACTGATGGGAGTAGTCGGGTTTTTTCTTTTTTTCCCTATCCTTTTAAAAATAATAGAAAGATTCTGTTAAAAAATAGATTTATCCAGAAAGATGTTGATCTGAACTCTATAAAGCAATGTGAAAGCCTCCTATGCCCTTTCTGAACACAGGGCCCACGGAGCTGCCCTGCGGCTCCCTGATTCCAAGCACAGCCCTGCCCCTGGGCCCTTGACCCCCCAAGGTGGGAGCGTCCTCGCCTCGGCCTGGGAGCCCTGCAGAGAGAAGGTAGCGGGAATGAGGCCCAGGGTTTGGTTCTAGGCTGCGCCGATGCCGTCTCCTGGGGGCCGGCCCGCCCACCCCAAGAACAAGTCCCAGGCCGCTCCCCTGAGGGCCAGGATTAGCTGCCGTGGATTTAGTCTGGACGACGCTGCCTTTCCGAATACCCTCGGTGCTCAGGGGACCGGGGCGGGCTGGGACCCTCCGTGATCTTTAAGGCTAAGGCAACACCCGTGGTCATCTGCACTTCTTAACTTGATGGAAATAGTTAAGCCTCGTGGAAAACAGATCCTGTACCTATCTCCTCTGTGACACTAGCGAGGGGGGCGGATGGGAATGACGTCGGGCGGAGAGATGGGAGGAACAGTGACGGTGTTCTAGAAATGCCGTAGAAAGGTAAAAATAAAAGAGATCGGCAGAGATTATCCGTGTCTTTGGTGAACTGTAAAGAAATGTCTCGTAAATTTCTACGCCACACTCTACAAAGGCTGCTTGCTCCTGGGTAAAAAAAAAAAGCACCCTGACTCTGAAACAGCTTGTTTTATCATTCCTCCATAAGAATTCATCTAGAAACCGGCGGGGATTGGGTTTTTTTTTTTTTTTTGTCTAAAGCTGGTAGTAAAAATGTGCCCTGCAAGCCAGTGCAGCTAATGGAAAGTGAGGATGCTCTTCTCCCCGTGGCCTAGAGGTGGGACCCACCGGTCCCCAGCCCCTTCGCCAGGGGGCATCGCGGCGGGGCCCCGGGGGTCCGGATCCTGCACCTCCAGAGGGCAGTGTGCCGTCCGATGTGGGGCCCGGGGGCTCCCAGAGCAGCCCGTGGGTCCCCGAGGTCTACTTCTCGGTGAGGGACAGCTGCAGGACCTGCTGGAGCTCCGCCTCTTCCTCCCGCAGCCGCAGTTCCTGCTCCGCCAGCTCCTTGGCCGAGAGCTCCATGGCCAGCTGCAAGTCGCTGTCGAAACGGCTGGTCTCGCTCGAGACCCCGGGGCACAGGCCCTCCGAGCTGCTGAGGAGGCTCTCCTGGATGGCCCTGGGGAGGAGGGAGAGAGCGGCAGGAACAGCGGTCACCAGCCTTGGCCAGGCGGCAGGCCCCATCTGTCCCCCCGGTGTCCCCCACTCATTCATCCGCGCTCTGCAGGCAGGACACCTGGCACGGCACCAGGGCAGCACGGGGGCGAAGCCAGACGTGGAGAGGTTACGGGATGTGCTAGACGGGGCCGGGGGATAGTGTGACGGGTGGGGCACTGGCCTTGCAGGTGACTCACCTGGGTTCGATCCCCAGCACCCCATCTGGTCCCCCAAGCCCTGTCAGGAATGATTCCTGAGCAGAAAGCCAGACGCAAGCCCTGAACAACACTGGGTGTGGGCTCCCCCACCCCTCCCCTCAAAAAAAAAAAAAAAGGAAAAACAAGAGGAAGAAACAAGCTCAGGTCGCCCAACAGCACTGGGAATGGGGCCTGGGCTCCGCCCCTCACAAGGCCCAGGGGGATCCCTGAAGGGGCCAGAGGGCAGCACTACACATGCTGGAGCCTGGGGCTTGAACCCAGCACCCCAGGGCTCCCCAAGCACCACCAAGATCAAACCCCCACTTCCAGCACAAAGCCAGAAGAACCCCACAAGCATCCCTGGGTGTGATCCAAAAACCAAAATCATAAATATACATATATTTATGGAAATAAAAAATAAAAGGATAATCTAATCATCGCCACAATTCTTCCTACGTGGCATCACCCTAAAAGCTGTCTACAGAGGGCCGGAGTGACAGGACAGCTGGGAGGGCATTTGCTAGTTCTCAGTCAACCCAGGTTTGATCCCCAGCATTCCACGTGGCTCCCAAGCCCACAAGAAGCCATCTCTGGGGCCGGAGCCAGAGCACAGCGGGGAGGGCGTTTGCCTTGCACGCGGCCGACCCGGGTTCGATCCCCAGCATCCCATAGGGTCCCCCGAGCACCACCCGGAGTAATTCCAGGAGTAATCCCTATGCATTGCCGGGTGTGACCCAAAAAGGAAAAAAAAAAAAAAAGCGGTCTCTGAGCACTGAGAAAGGGGTTATCGGGTGTGGCCCAAAAACCAAAAAATAAATAAATAAAAAGTGTATATCCTCGGGGCTGGGAGATGGTTCAAAATGCATCAATCCCCAGCACACAGGTATCACAAACATGCCCCCCCCAAACCAAACGACAATAAAAAACAACCCGTACAAACCTCCCCTCAGGGCTTCTACATTCCGCATGGAAAATCAGACCAGTTGGGAGACATTTACTTGGTGCCTCTCAGCCAGAACTGCTGTCCAAGGACCCAGCCAGCAACTCCGTGACCCATTCAGGAAACTCCGCTCCCAAGGACTCAGACCATCACCCTGGCTGCCCCAACCAGAGGCGGGAGAGCGAGCACCCGGGCCGCTCCCGCCCAGCCCAGGGCCACCCACGTCACCCTCCGCTTAGCCACCCAGAGTCCCACAGTCACCTCTCGTACTGGTCGTCATCGTAGGCCTGCGTCTGGCTCATCCCCCCGTCGGAAGCTGGTCCTGAGAGGTCCTAGGAAAGGCACATGTCGTCATGTCATGGCCAAGGTCACCGCTCAGCAGGAAGAGGAAGCCACTGAGGTGGGCACGGGGAAGGGGGAAGGGGAGCAGGTCACACGGCCCCAAGTTCTGAGGCTCCAACCTGAGGCCAGGCTAAGGGGGGCGGCGGGGGGGTGGCTGGGGGCAGGGAAGCAGAAGGACATCAGGAAAGACATCTGCACTCCTGTATGCACTGCAGCCCAAAACGCAACAGCCGCCACCTGGACACAGCCCCGCGCTGAGAACAGACAACTGAGTCGAGACCGTGGACCTGTCCGTAAGGAAACACCACTCGGCGAGAAGAAAAGGGAACATCGGGCAGCTGGCCGCCGCTCGCTGGATCTGGAGAGGGTCGTGCCGGGTGACGTCAGAAGGGGAGGGACAGACACAGGACGATCACCCCCATATGTGGGGGCTAAAGAAACAGCAAAAACCCCGGGCTGGGCTGCGGCAGTCACGGCACAGTGGGCAGGGCGTTTGTCCTGCACGAAACCAACCCAGGTTCAATCCCCAGCATTCCATAAGGGAACGAGTAATTCCTGAGCACAGAGGCAAGAGTAAGCCCTGAGCATCTCTGGGTGTGACCCAAAACAAACAAACAAACAAATACCCAAAGGCACAGAAACTGAGAAGTGGCCTTTCGTAGGACGTTTATCCCTGTAGGTGGGTGGCAAAGAAAGGGGCACACAGTGGGACAACGGGGGGCGGGGTGGGGGGCTTCTGGAATAATTTCCTACCGTGAAACTCTATCTGGTGCCTGAAATATTAAATTTTTTAAAAAATAGACAAGCAAAGGTTCTGGCACACTGAAGGACCTCTGGAAATGCCAGAATGTGCCGGCCCGGCTATCCTCCGGGGACTCCGAGGACCCGCCCCTGCGCGAGCCTCCCGCGGGGTACCTGGCTCCGGCTGGACTCGAGCAAACTCTGCTGGATGGCGAACTGCATGATCTCATAGTCCTCGTCCTGCAGGTGCATGTTCCTGCCGTTGTCCTGCACGTGGTAGGATTCCGGAATCTCAAACACGGACTGATCCACCTCAAAACCTGTGACCTGGGAAGCTGCAGTACGGCAGAGGACAGCGTCAGGCCAGTAAAATAAATCGCAAAGCTGTCACTAAGCAAGAGAAGGGAAGGATTTGACTTCAACGGTTATGGCTGGGAAATTAAACTTCTGCTGCTTCTGTGATTGCTGTTACTAACAAAATAGAAACAGATCAAACCTTTTTTTCTTTTGCTTTTTGGGTCACACCCAGCAGTGCTCAGGGTTTACTCCTGGCTGTGCCCTCAGGAATTACTCCTGGCAGTGCTCGGGGGAACATATGGGACATCGGGGACAGAACCTGGGTCAGCCACAGAGCAAACGCGCTCCCTGCTATACCACTGCCCTAGCACCCAGATCACACGCACTGTCACCAGGAATGTGACTGATCGTTAATTACACATTACTGACACAACGGGGAGGCGGGGCTCCCAAGAGGTGCTTAGGAGCCCAGGGATCCCTCCCAGCGATTCTCAGCCCTCAGGCTGGGGGTGCCATGGCAGGGCGGTTGCGGCCCTGCAGTGCTGGGGACCCCCGAGCCCCCGGGGCCACACCAGCCATGCTTGGGGGACCAGGCAGTGCTGGGAACAGAACCTGAGCAACATGCAAGGCACAATCTCCCTGGCCTCTTCACGAACCATTTTTCGTAATGACCAAGAAAACTGTTTTCTGTGCACCCAAACTGGTCCACTGGATGATGGGTGCAAACCGCCGGTACAATCTCCCACTATCCTTTACACACTGGAAGGTCACACACATCTATGAAGTGCCCTTTCATCTCATCTAAACCCAAGCTTACATTTTTGTCTGCTAGTGGGTCATATCTGCTGGGAGTACGGCTGACTCCTGGCCTTGCACTCGGGGATCTCTCCTGGCGGTGCTTGGGGGCCAATGGGAAGCCGGCGATCAGAACTGGGCTGGCCTCCCACAAGACAGGCACCTTACATCTCTTTCCACACACAATTATGACACCCCTATGTCAAACAGGTCATCAGTCCAATGAGTGAGTGTGCAGATGTGTTTTTTCACGACAAAGCCAACGCTCCTTCCCTCACCTGCATCTGCCTGGGGCCCTTCCGCACTCGGAGTTCCTGTTTCTTCCGCCGTGCTGCATCCGTTTACGTTCCCAAACGTGATCCGGGCATTTAGGACATGAAACAAGGGGATTTCTAACAAAACAAAAGCCTTGGTAAGTCCATTTCAACCAAAACTTGAACGAGTGCTGCGCCGACTGCTCCCATGGAAATCTCCTGACCACCCTCCCAACATAGAGAGGGGCAAACTGAGACCCAGAGACACTCAGCAGCTCCTCCCAGCTCTCAGGGAGCGAGGGGGCCAGGATCCGAGCGCCACGAATCGACGCCTCACACAGGTACTGCACACGTTGGACACACACGCGTGCAGGCTCTAAACTATGTTTGTGGGCCCCAAAGTCCCGGTGCTGCCAGTGCTTGAATTCACACCCATGGCCGGCCAGGGAAACACGGGTCTCATTTCCGATGGCGGTGCCATCTTTGGTTTTAATTTGCAAAATGAGTCAAGAAATCGTGGCACTGGGGCTGGAGCAATAGCACAGCGGGTAGGGCGTTTACCTTGCACACAGCTGACCCAGGTTCGATTCCCAGCATCCCATATGGTCCCCTGAGAACTACCAGGAATAATTCCTGAGTGCAGAGCCAGGAGTAACCCCTGTGCATTGCCGGGTGTGACCCAAAAAGCAAAAAAAAAAAAAAAAAAAGAAATCGTGGCACTTTCTTTAACTGCACGTAAGCAAGAAGGTAATTCTGGCCTCCTCCTCCTGCCAGTGCCAGGCACACGGACACTAAGGGAAGACCACCACCGTCAAGCAGACCCTGGGGCCGACGCTGCCAGGGCCCCTCTGGGTCTTCTGACGATACCTATTTTGACGGGGAATCCGGGGGGGAATTCCAGTTTGATGAAGTCTCTCAGCCTTGCAAAGTGTGCGCTGGTGCGGGCCATGAGGTCGATGATGGGGATGACCTGCTCCACGAGGGAGAGCGGGAACTCCTCACACATCCACAGCGTTGCTTTAAACCTGCAGGGTGCGCGGGCGGCAGTGAGGGCAGCCCCAGCACGGGGCCCACACAGCTGCCTCCTCGTCCAGGGAGCCTCCCGCAAGCTCACGTCGGAGCTCTGAAGGGACCAGAGCCACGGGGCGTTCAAAGGGCTCTGAACAGGGCGGTCACTGAGGGCAAGTGCGAAGGAGCCGAGAACCGGGGGAAACCATCCGTCCACCTGGTCGGCTGAAGCTCGCTGGCAGGAAAAGGGGATCCGGTCCCCATCTGTGTTCCGTTTAATTAAAAGGGACTCATAATGAGATAGGCAATGTACTGTGAGCTTCCAACAGTTTAAAAATGGCTTAAGGGTTGGAGCAACAGCACGGAGAGTAGGGCATTTGCCTGGCACACGTCTGACCCGGGTTCGATTCCCAGCATCTCATAGGGTCCCCCGAGCACCACCAGGAGTAAGTCCTGAGTGAAGAACCAGGAGTAACTCCTGTGCATCGCCAGGTGTGACTCGAAATGCAAAAAAAAAAAAAAAAAAATGGCTTAAAAGTTGCTTCTGGAGCTGGAGCGGTAGCACAGCGGGGAGGGCGTTTGCCTTGCATGCGGCCAACCCGGGTTCGATTCCCAGCATCCCATGTGGTCCCCTGAGCACCGCCAGGGGTAATTCCTGAGTGCAGAGCCAGGAGTAACCCCTGTGCATCGCCAGGTGTGACCCAAAAAACACAATCACAATCACGACCATCCTGTCATTTGTCGATTGCCTCGAGCAGGCCCCAGTAACGTCTCCTTCATCCTAGCCCTGAGATTATATTCAAGGCTCTTTAGGAGAATGAGACCCATCATTGTTACTGGTATTTGGCATATTGGGTACGCCACGGGGAGTTTGCCAGACTCTCAAAAAGTTGCTTCTGGTCCAGAGAGACAGGACAGGGATTAAGACGCTCGCCCCAAGGAGCAACCCCTGGGCAGTCAAGAGCATCCCCGCCACTCCCAGAGTCAATGGATATGGCCCAGAAACAAAACAAAAAAATGTGTTTCGAAAGGAGACCTTCAGGGGGGCGGGGCAGTAGTACAGCGGGTAGGGCGCTTGCCCCGCACGCAGCCAACCAGGGTTCAATCCCCAGCACAGCACAGGGTCCCCCGAGCCCGTCAGGAGTAATCCGTGATTGAGAGCCAGGAGTCAACGCTTAGCGCCGCCAGGTGTGGCCCAAAAATTGAAAAAGAAGAAAGAAACCTAAAGAGGACTTCGTTTGGAAAGAGTGACCGGATGCGAGAGAATTGTGGTGCCCTGGAACACAACCTCTGAGATCACAGAGAATCCGCGAGTTGGACACGTGCACGTCATCTTACTTCTGGGTTCTGATGGTCAGCTCTTTGGGCCTTCCAATGTCCCTGTCCTTCAGATCGAATTCTTGGTTGAAGTACTCGTCAGGCGTGATGGCTGTGGGGTTGTTGGCGGTGGCGCATTCGGTGGTGAGGTCCTAGCAAGCCAGAACTCGGGGATCAGTAACGCCAGCGCAGCTCGCGGGAGGAGGCCCCAGCCCTCAGCCCCTGGGGCAGACGTGCCGGCCAGCAGCGGGGCACGAGGGTCCAGCCGTTCACTTGTGTTTTAAATTAAGCTTCTGCACAGAATAAGAGGATCTACCAGGCTGTTCGCAAGCCGGGGGCACGTCTAGGGAATGTGCCCACCTGAAAACATTCCTCCGCCCTCCCAGTGACAGGCGCCGGAGGGAGAAATCCCTGAACACCCTTGGGAGCTGGGAGAGGTGGGGGGTCCGTCCCAGCCGTGTCATTTTCTAGCAGATGACGCCGGAAAGGGAATTCCACTTCCCTGGCTGTCCACGACGGCCACTGGGCCTGTCTCAGTGAGTGACGGTGAGGCCGGGGATGTTAAGGAACGTTCCGGGGACTCTTGGAAACATGGGTCCGGGTTCCTCTCTGCCCGGCTGCCCAGAGGCCCTGGCTGACCTCCATCGGCAGCCGCCCGTGAGGTAGGACACACTCCCTTGCCTCATTTTCCTCTATTCCCGCTTGGGAGACTCGGCCTGGGCCCTGCCCAGGACAACTGGGCTGCCCGGAGCCCAGGAAAGGCGCCCCCTTCCCTGAAAGGCCAAGCTCACTGCTCCTACTCACCCCTTGAGCGCCAAACTGGTGTTCCACGGTCCCCAGCAAAGATTCCAGGGGGTTCCTGTCAGCTGCAGAGGGAGCAGAAGTTTAATATCTACTCTCATACTTACGTCTTTACCTCCCCGCAAAAAAAAAAAAAAATTTAACTCTCATCACTTTTTTTTTTCTTCTTTTTGGGTCACACCTGGCGATGCACCGGGGTTATTCCTGGCTCTTGCACTCAGGAATTACTCTTGGGGCTGTTTGGGGGACCATATGGGGATGCTGGGAATCGAACCCAGGTCAGCCACGTGCAAGGCAAACGCCCTACCCGCTGTGCTATTGCTCCAGCCCCAATTCTCATCACATTTCTGCCCCTGCAACCTGCGCCAGACTGATCAAACCATTCACAGGAATGCCAACTCACCACGTCCTACAGCGGACACGCTGGGCACAGACCTCTAAACCAGCAAGCACCACACTTAGAATAAGAGTCGAAGTTTCAATTTCGGGGTAAACCAGAGCTGGGTTCCAATCTCACCTCGGCTGCTCACTCACGCATTTGTCCTGGGCCTCAGTTTCCTCATCTGTCAAACTGGCGTTGCACGTGGCCAATCCCAGCTGATTGATTGATCCCTGGCACCCATAGGATATGATCCCCCCAGTCCTTCCAGGACTGACCCCGAGCAGAGGTCCCTGGATCCCATTTTTCAAGTCCGCCTGATGGTTACCAGATGGTAACCATCAAGTACGGCACGTGGCGTGACCGCAGCGGTTGCCAATGGCACCTGCTTTCCACACCCCACGGGCACCATTCTAAGCGTGGACAGGCAGCAGCTCTTCTAACTCTCACAGGGACTCCAAGGAAGGACAAGGAGCACGTCCGTTTCACCGCTGAGGAAACTGAGACCCAGGGGCCGCTTGACTCTACAAGGCCACAGAACCTGAATGGCAGGAGGGAATTTGGTGCCCACTACTGGCGACGTTTCGGCTTAGAGCGCAATTTGGATGACCATCTGGACTAATCACCCCAGGGACCAACAGCCTCAAAGTCGGGGCCAGAGTAACAGCACAGCAGGTAGGGTGTTTGCCCTGCAGACCGAGGTTCCATCCCCAGCATCCCATAGGGTCCCCCGAGCACCGCCAGGAGTGGTTCCTGAGTGCAGAGCCTGGAGGAACCCCTGAGCACAGCCAGGTGTAGTCCAAAAACCAAAACCAAGGGGCTGGAGAGAGAGCACAGCGGGGAGGGCGTTTGCCTTGCACGCGGCCGACCCGGGTTCGATTCCCAGCATCCCATATGGTTCCCTGAGCACCGCCAGGAGTAACTCCTGAGTGCAGAGCCAGGTGTGACCCCCCCCCAAAAAAAAGCAAAAACCAAAACCAAGCCCCCCATATCCTGATATCCTGTTCTCCGCCCCCCTGCCCCCACCCCCAGCCAACCACGGTTCTTCGCAGCATAGAAACAAGCCCGTTTAGTGGCCTGAATCACCACCACAGCCAGCTCTGGGGAAATACCTGCGAGAGTGAGTCAGAAGTGGGGAATCCGGATCAAACGGCCTCTAGGACGCCAGCGGCCACAGTCACGCTGACCTGCCCGGCCCACTGGCCCCGAAAGCCTGTCTCAGGCAGGGCTGCGGTGAAGCTTACCTTTGTATCTCTTCTTTTCCTCCTCCGTCAGATGTTCTGTCCGGATTTTGGTGATCACGCTCACGTTGTTGACGGTGTAGACCTTGAGGGACAGTGTGCGGAAGCCAACGTGACACGGGGATCGAGACGACACGCACCCCCGAAGCACAGCAAGAGCAAGAAGGCTGCGGGTCCCCCGCCCTCCAAAAAAAATGGATCCGTAACAAAAAAAAAAAAGAAATTTTTTTCCTGAACAAAAAATAAAATAAATCCAGCCAAATACAAATGAACAACGCTAAACAGGCATGAGGATCCTTCAGAGAAAACGTACAGACTCTCCCCCGCGAAAAGCTTGAGCCTGCGAGGGGTCGGCAGAGACGCCTCCCGCTAAGTGCCCGCTCGAGAGTGGCCGCCCCCCCCCCCCCGCCCCCGGCTGCACGTCTCTGGTGCCCAGGGGCCTGACTGAGCCACCGTCTGCCGGGCAGGAGGAAAAAGGACATCGAGTTCTCTCCACCCCTAGGGTGCAGGGGAAAACCAGCAAGTCACGGTTTACAGGGCACCCGTCGACTGCTAAAAATCCTCTGAACGGCCAGAGCAAACGTTCTCCAAGTGGGGCGAGGAAATACGGGGAGCGGAGGGGTCGAGGGGGAGGAGCAGGGAGTGGGGGTCTGGAAAAGGACTGTCATGGTGATCAGCAAATTTGACTGTGCCCGCCAGGCCTGCTCAAAGGTCCGGGAATGACTGGCCAACGCATCTTGCTGAGCCTGGCCTAAGCGTTCTGCGCTCGCTCGGGTCACCAGAGGACACTGCAGCGCCTGTCCCCACCGCCACCCGGAACCGTCAATCCCGGGGGGCTGCAGTGAGGAGAGGCCGGGAAAGGCTGTCCAGCTGACAGGAGGCCAGGCCATCCAGCAACGCTTGTCTCCACTATGACGACTATTTTCTCAACTGACTGATGCCAAGCCCAGGGGCTCCGGTGCTCGCAGCTAACCATCTGGCGGGCTTCAAAAATGGGGCCCAGGGAGCTACTTCAGGGTCTCTGTGCTCAGGGGTCAGTCCCGGCAGGGCGGGGGGACCGTACAGGTGCCAGGGATCACTCAAACCGGCACTGGCTGCGTGCACGGCAAGCGCCTCAAACCCGGTTCTGTTTTTCTCCGGCCGCTGATCTATACTTTTAAAATCCACTCGAGTCACTTGGGAGAAAAAAACAGAAAAAAAGATGAATACGCATATTCAAGCCTAATCCTTTTTCTTTCATCTTTCTGCACCATTAAAGGACGTGTCACTGCTCCAAGGCCGCTGGGCACCAAGAACTCATTTCTCTCTGACACTGTCTCTCTCGGGGCGGGAATAAAGGGCTCCTCGTTCTCTGAAAGTCAAATAAGACAAAAATCCAAGGAAGAGACTCTAGGCAGTAGGAATTCCCCAGAGCATCTCCACGACACAGATGCATTAAAAAAAAGGAAAAAAAAATCCGCAGACTCCTCATTTGCATAAAAGCTAAGTAGCTACATTAAATCTTATTTTAAGAGTTTCCTTTTACCTTTGCTTCGTAACCATTAACAACTTCTGCTTTATCTGTCCTCCAGCCCCAGAATCCGGATTTAGTTCTGATAAAAAGTGAACACCACAAATTTCCACATGTACAACATGCCATTCAGATTCATCCCTGCAGCCTCTAGTCTCTCCCCCAGCTTAGGTTAGCGAAGGACACTTGGAAACGCAGGTGCTGCCGTCCGCAAAAGGATGTCACCAACGCCAGCGGGCCTGGGCACCCCCCTGCCCACCCCCAGGCGGTGATCGCTTGTACCTCACGCCCTGGCCTGCAAGCCTCCGTCCTTAGCTCCGTCACCGAAGCTGCCAGCATCGGTGCCCAGGGCAGTGACACTGGACAACTCTAAGAGACGTGCGTGAAGATGACCGTCAGGTGCCAGGGGAGGTCTGGGTCACTCGCACCGTGGGCACGGATGGCATCGGCTCATCTCCTAAGCCGCCACACGCCAAGCCAGGAGTTCTAACCCAGCGGCTCCGGCTCCTCCCCGGGAGATGGCCAGTGGAACGTGCCGCCTACCTGGCAGGCCCCCTGCAGGGACGGACCTGCCCAGCGTCCGGTCAGAGTTGGCACAGTGGGGCACAGGCGGTAGGGGCAGAGAGGATATGGAATGCAGTTCTTGGGCCCAGCTCTGAGCTCCAGCTCTGAAATCCGCTTTTAAAACAGCAGCTGCGCTCTGGGACAAGGGCCCGAAAACACCATTACTCCAATCAACAGATCCCTGGAAAAAAGGTACCGAGTCCCAGGACTGGCCAGGAAGCTCTGCGGCTATCTCAGAGCCGCTCCTGGACGGCCGCCACCACTCCCGGGGAGCCCTCCCCTCGCACCAGCCGCCCTTTTGTCTGGGACGTCACATCCGAGCTTGAGGGGTCTGCCCCCCTCACCAGCCCTCTGCTCTGACCCTGCGGGCGTCCAGGGCAGGGGGTGTCCCCGATTAAGAAACCAGAGTCCCCCTGCAGTCGGCATAGTGGTGGGAACCCAGAGACGGCCCCTGGGGACCACCAGGCTTCAGTCCCGTGACTCTCTCTGGGACACACATCTGCCCCGGCCGAGACTCAGGGTCGGGCCACGGGACAGAATCCGCGCGTGGTCTTCCGTGACACTGAGGTGGACGGGGTCAGCTCTCCGGCTCACCCTCAGTCTTCCTGGGCACCAAGTAACAGGGCTGCCCTTTCCCTCCTGTCCAACCCCAAGTGCCCTGCTCGGCCACGCCCCCGTCTGCCGTCACCGGGACTCCGCATCCTCCTCCATGTGCCGACTCAGTCCTCAAACCCTGTTTGCAACAGCCGACGACCAAAGCAGAGTCTCGCGGCTGGGTCCTGGTCAGAGGCCTCCGCAGAGGGCAGAAGGCCCCTCTCTGGCCACCTCCCCTCTGCCTGACCCCCTGGAGAGGATCCCCCCAGGAAGAACCACGTCCTCCTGCGGCCTGGAGACAGGCTCAGCGGGTGGCAGGAAGTGTGCTGTGAAGACCAGGGCGAGGGGAGACACGTTCACACGGCAACCATGGGGCAGGCCAGGAACGCATGCGGGGGGTGGACGGGGGACACTCACGCCAAGCCTCCGGCTCCGAGGAGCAGAGGGGAAGAAAGACAGGCGGGAACGACAGTCTGAGTCGCCCGAGCTCCACACTCACGCCCACACACGCCCCTGTCCCAAGAGAAGCGGCCGGCACCCGGGCACCCCGGGCACCCCTCACCCTGGGGCGGGGCTCCCTCCAAGCCTCGGTGGGGCAGTTCCCCGATCCCACAGTTAAGTCTGAGCACCGCACAGACAGCAGCCGTCTTCCAGACACGGTCTCGGCCACCCGCTGGCGGCCACGCTGCACAAGGAGGGTTGGCTGGGTCTGCTGGCGAAGCCCCAGACCACACAAACGCCGACGGCCAGGCTCATGCGCGGGGGATGTGTCCGCGGGGCCCCAGTCGGCCACGACCAGCCTCTCTCCAAGCCCCAGACACCAAGCCAAGGATGAGGGCGGCTCTGCCACGCCCAGAAGGGACCCAGGCTCTTCCCGGGACAGCTCGGGCAGGCTGACCTCAGGGGCCCCAGATTCGCTCCCAGGGCCGTGGCAGCCAAGAACCAGGAGTGCGGAAGCCCACAGGCCAAAGACATAGTAGAGGTTGCGGGGCCTCAAGCCCACGCTGCCAGGTCTCCCCATTGCCACGGGCAACCCTGGGCAGGCAGCGGCGGCCACTGGGCCCACTCGGCCGCCTGCTTCACCCTCGAGCCCGACACGAGGGCCCCTCCTGGAGCAGGTGGGCATCTGCGGACACTTCCAAGCTCTCCCTGCTGGTGCCCGCGCCTGACCGTCCCTGCAGACCACCCCGGGCCGACGTGAGGGGGCTGGTATCTAGCTGGGCAGCACCTTGGCCTTTGCCACCACCAGCAGCCGCTCTGACGCCGTGGCAGGGCCCAGCACCACGGCAGAGAGTGACGGCTCACAACACAGAACGCTCAGCTCGACCAACCCGTCTCCACGGGGGGACAAAGAAGGCGTCGAGCGGCCAGGGGAAGACGCTGAGGGAGAGCGAGCACCTGGAGGCAGCTCGGCTCTAGGCGCGGCTTCCGGGGAGCCGGGCGTGACATCCTAGGCACGCGCTTGGGCGCTGCCGGGCTCCCGGGGCCCGGTGGGGTCTGTGCCAGCGGCAGGATCCATCCAGCCCTGACAGCCCCTGTGCCCCGTCTGAAGGCTGCCAGTGTGGGGGGCGGGGAGGGTGGGCAGACGCAGGGACTCTGCGGTGGGTCTCCCCTGGTGGTCCCTGGCACAGAGGCCTCTGACGACGGTCGAGCCTGGACTCAAGTGAAATCCCTCTAGACTCATGTGCTGACACAGTCTCCTTGAGGACTGGGATCGATTCAAATTTCCAAACTCACAACTCCACAGTTTGAGCCTGGAGAGGCTCGGAGACTCCCTAAAGAAAATCCATGAACAAGGGCCCCCCCAAAAGGACTCTCCAAGAATTAACCAACATACTGTTAAAACAAAACAAACAAACAACAACAACAAAAAAAAACCACGCTGCCTGCCAGAGGGTGTGAGCCTGCAGCTCACGGCTTACGTCTGGTCAAAACCGAGATCAGCTGGCAAACTCACTGGTGTTCATCCTAAGCCATCAGAAACCACCCCCCCCCCCCCCAACCTGCCAGTTATCACAGCCGTGTCGTCACAGAGGGCAGCGCGGGGGTCCAACCGCCACAGCCGGACCTGGGGAAGTACCTTTCGAAAGCGATATTTTTCGTATCGAGGCTGGTGTTGATGACCGGACTCGTGAGCCGCCGTTCCACCTCCCTGTTCTTGGGCTTCATCAAGTCCAGGCTGAGGCGCTCCATCTCCTGGGACAGGTCGAAGCGCTCGGTGGTGACCACCTTGTCGTCGTGGTTGACCTCCATCAACTCGGCCCAGTTGTCTAAGGACAGGAACAAGGGCTTAGGGAAGGGCCAGCCGAGGAGGACGCCCCCTCGAGGAAGGCTCGGTGGTGAGAGCACACCTTCCCCCCCTCAGATCCGTCCACTCCCCGGCCCCAGGCGACACCTGACAAAACCCACAGGCCTGGCTGCCGCGGGCAGGGGCTACTCCACCGCTCAGAGGAAGCTACGGGCCATCTTCCCCCGAAGACAGATCCTTAAAATAATTGACATTTTTCTGGAAACAAGGATCTGGACAAATAAGCAATACCCAGAAAGGGGTAGGAAAGATGGGACGGGGATTAGGGCCCCAATTCACTTCCCAAGCACCAGGAGGAGCCCTAAGCATCACTGGGTGTGGTCTCCAACCCCCCAAATCTTAACAACTGAACGAATCTTTCGGTGAGGGTGAGAGATAGAACAGGGAGTACGGCCTTGCATGAGGACACTTCAGGATGCCCTGGCTTGAGTCCCAGCACCGCGCTCGGTCTCTTGGGCCTTACCAAGGGTCATCTGAACACAGAGCCAGGAAAAGCACTTGAATGCCACTGGTGGGCCCAAGCCCTTCCACCACCACCACCCCCCCACCTCAAAAAAACCCCACTCTCACTTGATTTGCGCAGTGAGGAGAAGATGGGACCCACTCACCTTCTCCCTTAAATATAAAACTCCGCCTTCCTCTTATCCAGCTCATATTCTCAAATCCCAGCAAGGTGATATCAACACGCAACTTGGCACCACTCTTCCAGATCCGACAGACATCATTCGGGCATATTCTGGAAACCAAGGGCACTGGAGAAGAGAAGCGGACTCCTGAGGAAGGCCGAGGGCCCAGCAGGATAAAAGGGCTCGCAGTTGAATGGGAGAGACAGGAGTAGCAAGGCGGTGACTCAGATCCAACTGGGTGTGGCTGCCACGTTTAGTAGCGTTAAGAGGTCACTCATAAAAATAAGCAATTTTTTTTTTAAAAAAAAGAAACCACTCTAATCAAGAACAGCAGATCTTCTGTACAAAAGTTCAGATGTGAGGGGCTGGAGCGATAGCACAGCGGGTAGGGCGTTCGCCTTGCACGCAGCCGACCCAGGTTCGATTCCCAGCATCCCATATGGTCCCCCAGGCACCGCCAGGAGTAATTCCTGAGTGCACGAGCCAGGAATAACCCCTGTGCATCGCTGGGTGTGACCCAAAAAGCAAAAAAAAAAAAAAAAAAGTTCAGATGTGAATCTTTTTGTCTGGTTTTTTTCCCCCCGTTTACAGATATCCAGAGAAAGCGGGCGATGAATTCCCCGAGAGCGTTCATGATTGCTGCTGGCTGCCAGCTGGGCGCGGGGCCCATCCGGCCCTTCTCACTCACACGGGCCCCTCCTGCCATATGGCCGCGGCCCAGCGTCTGTCACAGCCACCACTCGCCATATCGAATGTCCAAATCTAAGATCCACTGCTTCTGACCAAAACTTGAGATCAGAGTGGTTGTGTGCATTAGAAAAAACTTAACAGACATTTCGCAGAAGAACCTGAAGCTCTGTCCTTCTGGTCATTTATTTACATCTTCTGTTACAGGTAACAGAAAGGGGAGTCTGGAGGCGAAAATGATTGAAAACCTGGTAAGTGGGGCTTTTATTATATGATCTGCAAGAAATAGAAGTTCAGCATCCATGAGAGCGCCTGTCAATTTGCCTTCTATAACGTTTATGCAAAAGGCATGTTTTTTTTTGGTAAAAAACAAGCAGCTATTCCAATATTCGTGTCATAGCTTCCTCTTTGCAGAAACAATGTGAGTCCGTCAAAATACTACAGCAAAATGAGTTCATAGACTTGGGTGAAGCCCCCTTCAAGAATCTTCGCCATTTGAAAATACTAAGCAATAAATAAAGAAATATAAGAAAATAAAAATGCTAAGCACATGGGGGCTGGAGCAACAGCACAGCGGGGAGGGCGTCTGCCTTGCACGCAGCCGCCCCGGGTTCGATTCCCAGCATCCTATATGGTCCCCCGAGCACTGCCAGGAGTGATTCCTGAGTGCATGAGCCAGGAGGAACCCCTGTGCAATGCCAGGTGTGACCCAAAAAGGAAAAAAAATGCTAAGCGCACGGACCAATGTCAGCTACACAGAACACAGGGAAGAGTAAAACTCTCTGTGTTTTATATTTATGGACGCTGGAGAGAAAAAGTCGGAAAGGAGATCACCCACGGCAGTAATAGCAGTCGAACTTAAATGTGACCAGTACATATTTTCCCTTTTTCTTATCCAGGCGTTTCCAAAACTGGTGGGGTGGAGGAGGAGGCGGGAGGAAGGAGGGGAGTACATGTAACTTTTACAAAGCAAAGATAATACTCCTAGATTCAAGGCGAAATGGGTTTGGAAACAGAAATAAATTACGAGCCCGTAGCCACTCACCCCAGCTGGTGAATTCCCATTTCATCTGCACGTAGAAATCCGGAGCCTGGAGGGCAAAGGGTTAAAATAAATTACCCTTGGGGCTGGAGCAATAGCACAGCGGGTAGGGAGTCTGCCTTGCACGCGGCCGACCCGGGTTCGATTCCCAGCATCCCATAGGGTCCCCTGAGCACTGCCAGGAGTCATTACTGAGTGCAGAGCCAGGAGTAACCCCTGTGCATCGCCGAGTGTGACCCAAAAAAGAAAAAAAAAGTAAAATAAAATAAAATAAATAACCCTTGACGCGATCAACTTCACACACACGCAGGAAGGGCAGGAACGGGGCTTCGTGTGGAAGTGGGGAGGGTGACGAGAGAAAAGACACCAAGCGCCAGCCCAGCAAAGCAGAAAGACGCTTCCCTCTGCTTGGGCCGTTTGGGTTTCTTGCCCCCGACACCAAGTCATGTCCAGAAAACTGACAGAGGTGACCACAAGCAACGAGGCTGGAGAGGGGACAGGATGCGGCTGGGGCAGGCAGGGGGTCCTGCAGGTCTCGGGGGGCGTGGGCTGGGGGAAGCCAAGACAGGGAATGTCCAGCCCATCTCCAACCCCACCTCATCGGTGGGCAGTGACCGGACCAGCGCTGGGGGCTGGGAAGCTTCCTCCCTGTGGGTCACTCGGGGCCCACAGCGCCTCCTGTTTGTCACTGCATCAGGAAGCAGCCTTCCCCCTGCAGTTCACCAAGACTGCCCCCGCCCCCGGTGCCCGGTCAGCTGTGAAAATCAGCCCCCACCCCCCCCCAACAGCCCCCAGCAGTCCTGTTTAGAACTGGGACTTTTCTTGGGGCTAGAGTGATAGCACAGCGGGAGGGAAGGGCGTTTCCTTTGCGTGCAGCCAACCCGGGTTCGATTCCCGACATCCCATCTGGTCTTCAGAGCACCACCGAGAGTAATTCCTGAGAGAGGAGTCAGGAGTGACCCCTGAGCATCCAGGTATGACACAAAAAGAAGAAAAAAAAAAAAGACTGACTTTTCTTAGCTACCATGGACTGACTTTTCTTAGCTACCATGAGCTCTCCTGGAAGGTACCAGAAGAGCTCTGTACAAAATTCAGGGCCCAGAGGTGGTTACGGCACTTTCCACGCACGCAGCCAACCCCAGTGAAACACCCAACACTGCATAGGAACCCCCAGCTCCAAGACAGACACCTGAACACAGAGCCAGGGATAAGCTCTCGCAACCAACCTGGCGGGGCCCCCAACCAACCAACCAACCAACCAACATTTTTTTCAGCTTTGTCAACTGGACAAGCCATGTTTTTCACTTCCTCCTAGAGATAAGAAAACACTAAATCCACATGACCTTTGCACATGCGCACACCCTTTCTTGTTTTCCCCTCCTCGGGTTCACACCAGGCAGTGCTAGGGAACCTCGGGTGCAGGGTGCAGGGTGCCAGGGGCGGAGCCCGGCCCAATCACGCTTAGACCTGTGAGCTATCTCCAGCCTGCAGACGCCAACCGGGAGAAAGAGGAGGAGCGACGGCGGTTGCATACTTCACAGGGCACGGAAAAGGAAAGGCTGCAGGCAGGGTTGAGCGGAGATTCAAACTGATTTTTCGCAAACAGGGCCAAGGAGCCAGGTCAAAGGGCTCGAGCGCGTGTCTGGCACGAACGGGGCCCCAGGTTCGGTCCCCAGCAGGACAAGGCCGGACAGCCCAGGTAAGCCACCAATAGCTCCAGGGAACACTCCCTCCCAAAAAGAGTCCTCAAGTAGGAAGCAGAGAGAATTCTACTTAAAACAGTTGTTCCGGGGGCTGGAGCGGGCGTTTGCCTTGCACGCGGCCGACCCAGGTTCGGTTCCCAGCATCCCATAGGGTCCCCTGAGCACCGCCAGGAGTGATTTCTGAGTGCAGAGCCAGGAGGAACCCCTGTGCATCACCGGGTGTGATCCAGAAAGAAAAAAAAAAAAAGTTGTTCCTTTCTGTAACTGTGCTGTCAGTTCTTCTCGAGAACTGCTTCTGCTACCACTGCAGAGCTGATCATCTAAGGAAGTATCACTTCTGGGCATAAGCTGAGAACAAGCGTGAAAACGGAACCACCGGCTTCTGCTTTCTGATTACTGAGCGTGGTTGGCTGAGAAGACGGTTGTGGGGACAGAGACAGGACAGCGGGGAGGGCACTTGTCTTGCACGTGGCCGATCTAGCATCCCACGTGGGACCTGAGCACCGCCAGGAGTGAGCCCTGAGCACAGAGCCAGGAGCAGCTCCTGAGCACTGTTGGGTGTGGCCCAGAAAGAAAAGGACAGAAAGATGGCTCATGTGGGAAACAGAAGGTTGAAACCCCAAATGAAAGTGAGGTTTCACCATCATCATCCAGAACAATCCCTGACCCTGGGGGGAGCTACTTCCCCCCAAGGCCTCCCGAGCAGTGCCCAGGGGTCTGGGAGACACTCCCCGTGGTACTTGCCCAACAGGGCTGCGCAGCTCAATGCTGGGGTGCATGGATGTGGCGCTGCTTAGGCAGAGGCTCAGGGGGTCGCCAGGATCCTCCTAACGGGAGTCTCAGGGTCATACCTGGCCGTGCTCAGGGACTATACCTGGAGATGTTCAGGGACCAGGCAGGGCCAGGGCTCACAGTCTCTGTACTATCTCCCTGGCCTCAGAAACTTAAAAAAAAAATTGGGGGGATGGAGCAATCGTACAGCAGGTAGGGTATACTCGCCTTGCATGTGGCCGACCCAAGTTCAATCCCCAGCATCCCACAGGGTCCCCCAAGCACCGCCAGAAGTAATTCCTGAGCTCAGAGCCAGGAGTGACCCCTGAGCATTGCTAGGGTGACCCAAAAGAAACAAACAAAAAAATGGGGGGGGGGGCGGTTTGGGGGCCACACACACCTAACAGGACACAAGGCTTCTTGCTAGCCTAGGGCTCAGGAGGTGCAGGACCCAAACCCAGGCCTCCAGCATGACAACCATGCAAAGTCCCTTGCTAGCCCAAGGGTCTCTCGAGCCTGGGAGTGAATTTTTTAAAGATCTCTCAGGGTTGGGCCGGAGCCATAGCACAGCGGGTAGGGCGTTTGCCTTGCACATGGCCGACCCGGGTTCGATCCCCGGCATCCCATAGGGTCCCCCAAGCACCGCCAGGAGTAATTCCTGAGTGCAGAGCCAGGAATAACCCCTGAGCATCGCTTGGTGTGACCCAAAAAGCAAAAATAAATAATAAAGATCTCCCAGGGTCCTGGGCCCACATACTTCCACACAGACGCACTCCAGCGCCCAAAGCCAGTCGCCATCAATGAAATAAGGCAAGGAATGCATCAGGAGCTGTGCGAGGGGCCAGGAGAAGCAGCACATGGGCCCCTGAGCCTCTGTGGCCCCGAAAGCCTGTCCAGCAACGGACACCCAGCAAACACTCCTCCAGGAGCCGTATCAGGAGGCCACGCCTCTGCAGACCAGGGCCGGGGCCCGGAGTCAGCGCTGGGAACTGGAGCACAGGCTTAGCCCGGGGGAGGCAGAGGTTCAGGGGTTCGTGGCCCAGCACGGGAAACATTCCCCCGTGTCCCACCTGTGACCCCTGAGCACCACCAGGTGAGGCCCGGAAATAACGGGGAAAAAAAAAAAAGAAAAAGACAGGCACTGAGACAAGACGGCCCAGGCCAGGTATCTGAATCCCGACACTTTAAGGGGCGCTTGGAAGGGCAAGACTGGGGACTGGGAACGACCCGCCGGCGACCTCGGACTGTGCATAAGCTGGAGAGGTGAAGGCCGACGCCGCCTGGCACCCATGTGCGTGTAGCCGCCGCCCGCGTTTCACGCCCACCAGGAACCCCGGCCGGGGGCTCGCAGATACCTCCAGGATCTTCTGGAGCAGCTCCGGAACGCCCTCGAGGGCCATGGAGGTGTTGTGGTAGTCCCGGTGCTGCAGAACCACGTACACCATCTCGGGGTCGCCGGTACTCACGGCCTCGTGCAACACTGCGGGGCGAGAGAGCAGAGCCTGAGTCGCCGGACGGGCCCGGGCAGGGCGGCCGAGGGTCTCTGGGGGTCAGAGGAGCAGCGGGCAGGGGGAGGCCGCATGCCACCGCTCTCTTTCCTGGCCAGGGTTCGGGGACTGCTAACTCTTCACCGGGCGGAAAGAACGCTCTCGTCCTCGTCATCAAACCCCAGCCATGGGCCCCTTGCCCCCTGCCTGTCTTCACGGGACCCTGGCACCCGACAACGTCCAGAGAATTGGCGGTAACTGGACCATCACGCGGTGGGGGTCCCCTGGAGATCAGCTGGGGGGAGTGGGGCTCGCTTGAGTAGCTGCTTGCTCAGTCTACAGTCAGAGCTTCACCCAAAACGTGCAGTGCCAGGACAGGTCACTTCAAGTCCCACTTACTGCCTTTTCCTCTTTGTCTGGAGCTACCAAGGGCCGAACCCAGGGTCTCGCACCCACTGCAAGGCACGACGTGCTCAGCCGCTGCGCGGCGCCCCATCCCTCGCCCGTCCCTCCCTCTGGATTGTGGCCCTCCCCTGGGGAGTCCCAGGGGCGGCCGTCATCTCCCTGGAGGGACTCTCACCCCCCCCCACTCACCCAAGGGGGAACAGCGGGAGCGACCAACTGGGAGAGGGGTCACCGCACGCGAGGGCTTGGGACCCAGCACCCAGATGAGCCAGAGGCACCACTGCCCTGGTCGCCCCGTCCTGGTCCCCGCCCCAGGAGAGCGTCCGAAGGTAGACACCGAGGACAGAGACCGGCCTCGGCTCAGAGAGAGACCAGGAAGCGGCTCTGACGCACCCTTGACGCCACTTGCCTGTCCATCCCTCGTGGTTTTCTTTGGTGACGTCTGCTTTATGTCGGAGCAAGACTCGAGCAGATTCCAAATGTCCCAGAGAGACGGCGAGATGCAGTAAGGTCCGGCCCCGAGGGTCCACCGCCTCCACGTTCTGCGGGAGATCAGTCAATTAGAGCCAAGGCAGGCGCGTGCCTGAAAGGCGGCAGGCATGCAGCATGAGAAAGAAAACTGCAGTCACACGCCAAAAACGAAGTATACACACGCATCTGCACGCACTCACACACACACACGAAAGAATACTTTGACATCCGAAAACACAAATCTCCCAGGCTGGAGCAATAGTACAGTGGGTAGAGCATCTGCCTTGCACATGGCCAACGCGTGTTCAATTCCCAGGATCCCACATGGTCCCCCGAGTACCACCAGGAGTGATTTCTGAGTGCAGAACCAGGAGGAACCCCTGAGCATCTCTGGGTGTGACCCAAAAAGCAAAGAAAAAGAAAAGAAATACAGATCTCCGGGCTGAAAAAAAAAATGCAAGCTCCTTTGCCTACACTTCTGAGGGCCTTAGGAAGAAACGCTGGCGGGCTCTCGAGCACTCTCAACTTGCAAGGGCATTTGGGGTGAGGTCCTGGCAAGGCTGGCGGCTTCCAGGAAATGCAAGACTCCCATCCGTCCCAAGAAACCTGGGGGATTTCTCAAGCAGACTCGAGGGTGGAAGAGGAAGTGCGAGACCGTGATCAAAACTGAAAGTCCAGAAGATCGTTTAGGTCAGAAAAAAAGTGACTTCCTCTAGCGGCTTCCCACCCAAACGCCGTTCATGGTGCTACGACCCGGGCCACAAGGGTCATGGGGGCAACCTCCTGGGTCCAACAGACGAAGTGCGGGCCCAACAGGCACTGACCGCTGGTGCAGAAATGCACACACAGAGCGGGGGGCTTGCTCCCCCCAGCCTGACACACCCGGCACTGAGTCTTCAAACCCTTCCTGACCTGACCCTCCTTGCAGGACCCCTGGCTCTGCAGACATGCAGAGTTTCTCCGATGGAAGCTGCCGTAGGAGCTTTTGCAGACGATTTTAGAGTGCTGTCAATATGATAATACTTCTCTGAAAATGCATTTTAGGGGCTGGAAAAATGATAGAGAGGTAAGGTGTTTGCCTTGCAAGCAGCCACCAAGGGTTCGATCCCCCACACCACATGGTTCCCCAGAGCACTGTAAGAATGATCCCCGAGTGCAGAGCCAGGAGCAACCCCTGAACACTGCCAGGTGCGCCCTCCAACACACACACACACACACACACACACACACAGATGACATGATTCATACATAGAAAATGCTGACTAAGAAACATTTAGAACCAATAAACCAGATCAAGAGGCCTTTGGACACAAGGTCACCACAAACAAAGATCAGTCTTCCTTCTAATACTTGCCACTGACAATAACAATCACCAGACCAAACAGTAAAAAATAAATAGCCAAATAAACATATCACATACTCTGAAACTACAAGAAGCTGCTAAAGATTTGAAATGTGAATGAAAAACACGTTTAAGGTAGGAAGACCCCGTGTCACAATGGCAACGCTCCCCAGACTGGCTCGGGGAGGATCAGTCCTACCGGAAGTCCAGCTAACTTTTCTCAGATACTGACAAGATCACCGAAAATTCCTATGGAAATGTAGAAAACCCAAAATAGCCAAGATTATCTTGAAGCAAAATCACACTTCCTGATCTTCAAAACTCAGTACACAAAACCACAGCAACTAGGCCTGTGCTGCTGGGGTAAGGACAGGCATGCAAATTAGTGGGATACAATTTGAAATCCCAAAATAAACTTACACATCCACGGTCAGCTGATTTTCCACAAGGGTGTCAAAGTAATTCAATGGGAAAAGAAAAAAAAAATCGTTCAGCACACGGCGCAAAATCACGTCATTTTGCAAAGACCATACATTACAATTAGCTCACAGTTAACCATAAAACAAGTAACACAAATCCAGGCACTGAAACAACAAAACTCCTAGAAGGAAACAGAAATAGATCTTTGTGAACACGAACTCGGCAGAACCTTCCTAAATCCAATGCCAAGAGCACTGATCACGAAAGGAAATCACGAGAAATTGCATTTCATCAGAATGAGACTTCCTACATACATCAAGTGATATCATAGAGCAAAGAGAGCCCTGGGCAGCAGGGATGAGGGAGAAGGGAGATCTGTGGGTGGGGGGCCCTGGGGACTTGATCCCTAACACATGCCGCCCCGCAGCGCCATCAGCGTTGGCCCCCAACACAACAAGGACAACACTGGGAGAAAGTGTCTGCAAGTGACCTATCTGACAAGAGGCTGGCATCCAGGCTCAGCGAAGAATTTTTACTGCTAGGGAATGAATAAAAAGGCAAAGAAGAACCTTGGTCAAGGGAGGACCACACAGGTGACGGAGCAAATGCCTAGCATCGCCAAGGCCTCGAGAGCCATCCCAAACACTGCCCCTGCTCCCGGCACTGCTAAGCGTTGGAAACACAAGTGGGAATGCCCAAAAGGGGGGGGGGGGGGGGGCGCGTTCCACAGAGGCCAGCTGGGGGAGTTGGGGGAAGGAGGGTGGAAGGGAAACTGGGAACATTGGTGGTGGGCAACGTACGCTGGTGGAGGGACCGGGTGCTGGAACACTGCACGACTGCAGCTCGATCATGAACAGCTCGGCAAGGGTCTAGCTCACGGTGATGCGATACCAAAAAAATTTTTTAAAAAGAAAAGGAAACACAAGTAGGGGAAGAGGGAGGGAGCAGGAGGCTGAAGACTTGCTTGCCGGCAGGGGCACCAGTTCAGCGCCAGGTAACCCGCCGCGTCCTAAGCATCGCCCTGAGCGACCCCACATGGGAGCCAGGAGTCAAGTTTGAAGCGAAGAACAGCAAGTGCAGGGCAGGCGGCTTCCAAGGCGGAAGCGCAGCTCCACTCCCGGGCACCGCAGGTTCCTGAGCACCGCAGGGAGTGCCACCTGCCCCCAGCACCCCACCCCCAGCACCCAGCACTGTCACTTACCAAATATAAAATGCCCAGCTTCCAAGGGGGCAAAAGACAGACACGGGACCCATGTGGAAAGTCGCTCGAAATCTCTGACCACCAAGAGAAATGCAAATTTCTACCACTTCCCACGGGCTGGGACGGACAAAGCCAAGGCGACTTCCAGAAGCAGGGGCGAGCGCTGGGGTGGACTCAGGTTCGCTCCCTGGCAGCGCGTGGCCTACAAACCCCCCAGTCCCACCAGACAGAGCCCCGGAGGATCCGGAACGTTCTGGGGCTGAACAGAGATGGTTCTGGAGATCCGGAACACCACGTCAGCCTCCTCCCTCCAACACTTTACCGCTGGGGAGCCGCGCAACTTCCCTGAGCGCCGGCCCGCTGCCCTGTCGACAGGGAACAATCCGGTCCGCCCACCTGGCCGAGCTCTAGCCCAGGGCCAAGGCCCGCAGCGCGGCGGGAGCCCGCAGAGGTGCGGAGGAGAATGAGGAGAGCGAGCCCAGCACCCCGCATCGCACACCCACGCGGCCGGCCCCAGGCAAGCTGGCCCCTTCTCCCCAACCTGGGCACCGTGCGAAGTGGGGCTCAGGTGGGCCTGAGGGAGGGCACAGGCGGTCAGGCACTTGCAGGCCTGGCAGGGACACGGCCTCCCCAGCCCAGGAACAGGCCCGGGGAACCCCAAGTGTGGCCCAAACGCCAAGACAAAAAATAAACGAATAAAGCCAAACCAAACCCCTGCTTTGATTTGAGCGAACCTCGAGTCCCCCCAAAGAAGAAAAGGAAGAGCTTTCCGCGAGGTTCCCTTCCGGCTGCTGCTCCGGGCCCCCCTCACTCCCACCGCCGTCCCCCACTCTCCCGCGCTGCCCATAAAAGGCCAGGCCCCGAACGCCGGCTGCCAGCCAGCCAGCTGGGTCCCGAGCACGCGGGTCACGCTTCAGAGACCATCACAGCTGCCTCCCGGGGGACACGGGGCGGCGGGGGACCCTTCGGGCTCTCAGCAGTCGGGAGGAGCTAACCCCCCTCGCTCCAGTGCGCCCCAACCCCCAACCCGGCCCCTGCCTGAGCCCCAGGTACCTGGGGCAATTGGCTCAGCGTCGGTACTTCAACCGGGACGCCCAGCTCGGGCCAAGTAGCGTGAGCCCGATCGTGAGCCCAGTAGGGCTACCCGGCCTGGCCCGGGCTGGGCTCAGAACCCCGGGGCAGCTGCCTTACCAGGCTCCAGGCCTGCTGCTGCCTGAATCCCCTCGCCTGGACCTTGGGATTTCCCCCGCTGGCTCTGGCAAACGAGGCTGTGTGAGTGACCCCAACCCCCGCCCCCCCGCGCCCACCAGGAAGGTCCCCGGCCCACTTCATCCCACCACGCCCACGGCCCTCGCAGCACCCGTGAGCTGACCGCGTGTCGCGGCCTCTCGGGCTCAGTGACTTCACCAGAACACAAATCGTTCCCATCTCCCCACCAACTTCAAAGGCCCTTGCCGAAGAGTCGAAGGCGGCCAAGTTGATGGGCTAAGAGGCACTTAATGAAGTGCTTCTGCTGAACAAACACTGCAAGCCTGAAACAGTCCCACGGTTGGCAAGGAGAGCGCATAGTGGAGTGGGAGCTCGCACACACACGCACGCAAACACACACACACACACACACACACACACACACACACTCTCTCTCTGTCTCTCTCTCTCTCTCCAACATGTGCTTCCCTCCATCTGGGTAACCGTGACTCATTCCGTGCGGCGGTTCCTAGAACGACACGGAATCCTTCCAGCAACCTGCGTGCATGCGTCCCGTCTCACCCGATCACGGGTGACGAGGAGAAAGGGACGGCAGGGGCTGCCTGGCACGCCAAGCCCAAAGCAGAGCAGCCGGGTTTATTGCGAGAGCGCCGGCAAGTTTTGTTTTTAATTATGTGTTCCATGTGGGAAAACTGGAACGAACGGCAGAGTCGAAACTTCCAGAACGATCGGAACAACAGCAACAATTCGGGGAACAGGGATGCGCACTGCCAGGTGCCCGCGCTTCCAGTCTGTCCGCCGCCTCATGCTCCGCCATCCCAAGACGAGGAGGTGCTTTTACGGGGTCCGCACTCAGTCAAGGCCATCCTAAGTCGAAAGGCACAGAAGGGGCCAGAGAGGCGGTAAACCGGATGTCCCGCCAGATGACCTGCTCTGGGCCCCCCAGTTCCTGCAACACCAAACCGCACAAAACACAGCCCCTCATCCCACTTCAAGCACGCTCAGAGTAAGGGCATTAGTGGAACCCTGGCGAAACCCGCCAACACTTGGGAAGCCTACTTCATGATCAAGGGCTGAACACCCCGAAACCAAAAGACACGAGGCGGTCATTTTTACGGGCAAGAGGAGATGAGGAAACTCAAAACACACCACCCGAAGAACTGCAAACTCACGAGCGCGCCGGCCAAAGGTCCTTGCCCAGCATCACAAGGGCGTACAGGACCATCGATACCAGGAAAGAAGCAGGTTCCTACTGAACACCATCACTTGTGCATTACCATCGCCAACAACAAAACTCCTCACTCCAACCGGCACAAGTCAGGGACCATCCATGTTGCAAATGGAAATGGGGTCAGGATAGAGTCGGGCCTTTCGACAGTCCAACGACTCGCTCTGGACCAGAACACAACGTGGCGTGCCGCTGACTGACGAAAGGCCGCGGCTCTCTCTGGATCGGTTTCCTCATCTGTAAAATGGGAATCCCAACAGCCCTCAACCCACAGAGCTGGTGCGAGTCGAAACACGCACACCGGGGCCCCGCCCGGGGAGATGGCGCCAAACGTGGCTTGCCAGTGTGAGGGCATCAGGCCAAGCCCTCAGCACTGCCCACGAGCCCTCAGCAGCACCCCTACAGGCTCTCCGGCACGCAGCCCAGCGTGTGACCCAATGTGCTACCCCCACACTGCAAGGAGGACAGCAACCCCACAGAAGGGGAGAGAACTGGGACGGGGGAGGAGAGGGGCAGGGAGACGGCGTCAACGGCTGCAACGCAGCTTTGCGCTTGGGAGGCTGAGTTCGAGCCCCAGGCCCCCGCATGGTCCCCAGAGCTCGACCCGGTTTCGTCCCAAAAGCAAGAAAGCAAGAAGTTCTGAGGAGCTGGCTCAAGCAGCAGAGCACATGCCTTGCATGTATGAGACAAGGCCCCAGGTTCGATCCCTGACACCCGCACCGTCCTTCGCCACCACCACCAGGACCGCCGCAACATCAGCCCCACGATGTCAAGCCTGTAAGAGCAGAGCAAACGAGACCAAACCCAGGATCGCTGCCAGCACAGACCCGGACACCTGCAGGGCGCCGGCAGGCCCGAGCCAGTCCCCACCTCAACCCCTGACCTCTTAAAATCAGATCACGGGCCGAGGAGAGTCGAGCTGCACCACCAAGAAATTCCTTACCAGGCCGGAGCAAGAGGTCGGCGGGGAGGGCACCTGCCCTGCACGCGGCTGACCCAGGTTCGATCCCTGGCATTCCAAATGGCCCCCCGAGCACGGCCAGGAGTCATTTCTGAGCGCAGAGCCAGGAGTAACCCGAGCATCACCAGGTGTGACTCAAAACACCAAAAAAGGGGAAGGAAAAAAAAAAGAAATTCTTCACTGAACATCAACCAGCCCCCTCTGACTCGATAGTAACTGGAATACTGGGACACATCTACCAGCTGTAAGGTCCACGGTGAGAGGCAATAACCAAGTCAGTGCCAAGGAATGGGCAGATTTGAATATTCCTCTCCCTGCCCTCCTGGGCATTCAGAACCGACTCAGAAAACCGGCTTCCTTCTCAAATGGATAATTCCCTTATCACCAACACTGTCCGGCACATTTCAAGGTAAACAGCACAGAGGCCCTTCAATGAAGACTTTTTTTCACCACAGCAGGCTGGGGAGAGATCAATCACGCAACTAGGCCACGGCGGAGATGATTATAAACCAAGGCTTTGTTCTCCTCCAACGAGGTCTTCCATAAAGAAAAACTGCATTTCATCTGAAGGCTGGCCCTCACCTCCAAGGAACAGAACACCCGCTGTTTCCAGAAACTGGCACTCAGAGGGCCTGTGGACCACGGCGAACCTCACTGGCAAAGAGGGTCTTCGTGCCGCGCCTGGCCTTGTACTTGCTCGAGGTGTTTCGCAAGAAGAGTGAGGAAGTGCAGATGCACGACGCCGCTGAAGGCCAAAACGCCAGAGCCGTCCAGACACGGGTCCGAGGTGAGACTCAACGCTGGAGCTCAGAGCAGAGGATGGAGGGTGGAGCCGAGTGCAGTGAGAAAAGGGAATTAAGCCAGCAGGTCCACGACAGGGGGTGGACCACTCACCCTCCGGGCATGATCTCACGGACACCAGTGACTCTGACAAGAAAAGTTTATTCAGCGATTCGAAGGAAGACAGAGGACTGCGGCCGTTCAGCAAACCGTCAAGGAAACAAGGCAAGGTGTGAGCAGGCGATGCACTGTCCACCAAGGGGGGGACGGACACGTGGGGGGGATGCTGACCTGACCTTGCTCCATTTCTGCCCATCAAAAACCACGACAACCATGTTCCTTTCCCCCTGAACTTTCTCCACAATCAAAATGTCGGGTTTGAGCCATTCGAAACCCCAGGGCTTTGAGTGCGTGGAATGAAATGACATCAACATCGCATGAAATAATGACAAAAGACTTATTCTTTTTTTTCTGTCTTGTTTCTGGGCCACACCCAGCGGTGCTCAGGGTTTACTTTGGTCTCTGTGCTCAGGGGTCCCTCCTGACGGAGAGGGGGGACATCCTATGGGGTCCCAGGGATTGAACCCCGCTTGACCTCATGCAAAGACAAAAGCCCTCCCCCGCTGTACCATGGCACCGACAGGGACTTATCCCAACTGCTGCCTTCATTTGTAACTCGAGGTCATCAACACCTTCCAGAATTGTGGGGTTCGACACTAAAGTACTGCTATCTGGAACCAGGTAATTCTTGACGGAGGAAGGGAGAGCAGGGGGCAAGGAGGGGGTCTTTGCCCCACAGCCATGCCCAGGCTTACCCACTGGAGGCCTATAGTACCCCTGCCACATCCGAGACTACGGCCAACCCACGACCCCCGGAGAACCACTGCTCTAAGGAGGTGGCCCCGAAGTCAGAGGGGCCGGAAAGCACCTTTAAGAGAGGAAGGGGCTTGAAGGATCCTGCCATTCTCCAGCGCTGCCGCTGTGCCCGCCCCCCCCCTAAGGGCTGCAGAGGCTTGCATCTGGGCCGGGCCCCAGAACCAACACTAGGGAGCCGGGCAAGGACCGTGTTGGCCGAGCATTGGGGGGGGCAGCAACATTCAGCTCCTCCGAGGGCTCCAACCCAGCGGGTCCTTGCCCAAGGTCACGGGGCGAGCCGGAGCCAAGGAGCCGAGCCTCCCCACCCAAGCAAAGCCGCGCTCTGGAAAACGCGGGGGTGGGGGGGGGCGGTGGGAGAGGGGCGCGCGTGGGCACCCTCCCGCCTCTGCCCAGGGGGGCGGGTGGGAACCGGGTGATGCTGATGCTGATGCTGATGCTAGCCGGCTTGGGGGGGGGGGGGGAGGGCGGTGGGTACCAGGTGATGCTGATGCTGAGGCTGATGCTAACCGGCTCCGGGGCCCGGTCCTGGCGGCCGGCTGGGTGGGCGACCTTGCAGCGACGCGCGTTGCCGGGGAGAGACGCCCCCCAACACCACCACCACCCCACACACACACACACACACACACACACACACACACACACACACACACACACACGACCCCTTCCCTTCTCCCCCAAAGGGCAGACTCCCACCCCCGCGGGGGGCTTGGAAAGGCCCGGAGAGGTCGCGGGGAGGGAGAGCGCAGGGCACGGGGCCCGACTCGGACCCTCCTCATCCTCGTCCTCGACGCCCCCCGCCCACCACCCCCGCCCCCGCCCCCGCCCGCAGAGCGCCCCGGGTGTGCGGGGTCCGCGGGGTCCGCGGCGGGCGGAGGGTCGGGGCCGGGATCGGGGGGCGGGGGGACCCCGCGGGCCCCCTCCCGGGGTCGCCCCCGCCCCGCCCCGCCCCCCGGGTCGCCCCCCGCCCGCCCCTCACCTGGCCCCGCAGCTGCTTCTCCAGCTGCCGGTAGTCGTTGTTCCAGACCAGGAGGTGCAGGGGGAAGTGGCCGCCCGCGTCGCTGGCCGCGGACATGGCGCGGAGCCCCGGGGCCCCCTCGGCCCGCCCTGCGCTGCCCGGCCCTGCCCGGCCCGCCCGAGCCGCGGGGGTCGCCGCCGCCGCCCGCCCACCGCCCGCCCAGACCCAGGCACGGGCGCGGGCCGAGCGGGCCGCGGGGAGCGAGGGGCGCGCCGGCGTGGGGCCCGCGGGCCGCCTCGGGCACGGGTCGGCCGCGCCCACCCCGCCGCGCCCGCCGCGCCCGCCCGCGCCCACCCGCGCCCACCCGCGCCGCGCCGCGCTCCGCCCGCCCGCCCGCCGCCCGCCGCGGCCCCAACTGCCCGGCCCCGGGCGCGCGCGGGACGAGCCACCGGCCACTGCGCGCGGGGGAGCCCCGGCCGCCCCCGCCCCGCGCCGCCCCCGCCCCGCGCCGCCCCCGCCCCGCGCCCGGCCCGCCGCGCCAGCGCGCTCGAACCCCGGCCGGCCCCCCGCCCGCCCCGCGCCCGCGCCCGCCGCCCGCCCCGGCCCGGCCCCGCCGGGGGCGCCGCGACCCCCCCCGCGCCCGCCGCGCCCGATGGTCCCGCCCGCGCCCCGCCCCGCGCCCCGCCCCGCGCCCGCCCCGGGGTCCCGGGCCGAGGCCGCTTCGGAAGTGGCACCGGGAAGGGGGAGGAAGGAGCAAGCGCGGTCGGGAAACGGCCTGAGACGGGACCGCGGGAGGGCGATCCGGGCGGCCGGGACCGAGAGCCCGGGCCGGCGGGTGGGACACCCACCCTGGGGCCCGCAGAGCCGCACCGCCGGGTTGCTCGGCTGGCGGGGGCTCGTTTTCGGACCACCCGGGGCCTGGAGAGCGCGCGGGTCGGCGCCGACCTGCCTTGCCCACGGCTGATCCGGGCTCAGCCCCCGGCACCCCATGCACACGCACGCACGCATACCCACAACACACACACACACACCTGGAGAGCACAGCAGGTAGGACACTTACCTGCCTTGCACTCGGCTGATCCGGGTTCAGTCCCAGCACCCCATGCACACACACACACACGCATACACACACACAGATAACACAGCAGGTAGGCGCCTACCTGCCTTGCACACGGCTGATCCGGGCTCAGTCCCCGGCACCCCATGCACACACACGCACGCATACCCACAACACACACACACACACCTGGAGAGCACAGCAGGTAGTCACTTACCTGCCTTGCACACGGCTGATCCGGGCTCAGTCCCCGCCACCCCATGCACGCACACGCATACACACAACACACACACACACACCTGGAGAGCACAGCAGGTAGTCACTTACCTGCCTTGCACACGGCTGATCCGGGTTCAGTCCCCAGCACCCTATAATACACGCACACACACACACACACACACACAGATAACACAGCAGGTAGGCCCCTACCTGCCTTGCCCACGGCTGATCCGGGCTCAGTCCCCGGCACCCCATGCACACACACGCACGCATACCCACAACACACACACACACACCTGGAGAGCACAGCAGGTAGTCACTTACCTGCCTTGCACACGGCTGATCCGGGCTCAGTCCCCGGCACCCCATGCACACACACGCACGCATACCCACAACACACACACACACACACACACACCTGGAGAGCGCAGCAGGTAGTCACTTACCTGCCTTGCACACGGCTGATCCGGGCTCAGTCCCCGGCACCCCCATGCACACACACGCACGCATACCCACAACACACACACACACACACACACACACACCTGGAGAGCACAGCAGGTAGTCACTTACCTGCCTTGCACTCGGCTGATCCGGGCTCAGTCCCCGGCACCCCATGCACACACACACACGCATACACACAATACACACACACACACACACATGGAGAGCACAGCAGGTAGGACACTTACCTACCTTGCACACAGCTACACACACACTTATACACACCTGGATAATATAGCAGGTAGGGCACTTATCTGCCTTGCACACTGCTGATCCAGGTTCAGTCCTCAATACCCCCATACACACACACACACACACACACAAACACACACACACACCTGGGTAGCACAGGAGGTAGGACACTTACCTGCCTTGCATATGGCTGATCCAGGTTTAGTCCCCAGCACCCCTCCATACACACACACACACACACACACACACACACAAATCCCTGGGTGTCGAGCCAAGAATAAGCCCTGAGCATTGCCAGGTGTGCCAAGACCAGACTATTTTGTGTGATCACGTCATGGGATTGTTGTTTGATTTTTTTTGGGGGGGGTGGCGGATTTGCTCTGGACTTTAAAGGATCGTCCCATTCCAGGCCTTGCTAGCGTTTTCTAGACAGTAACACTACACCCAAGACGTTGCCAGATATTGCCAGAGGTCCCCCAAGTGGAGAAACCTCCAGAACCGCTGTTGCCAAAAGATTATGAGTCAATGTGACCTGTGGTGGTGGTCATGCATTCCACAAAGTTGTGCGTTGACTTCTTAAAATTGGCCACTTAAATGCAGTCTTAGAGCTACACGTACTTCCTCGGTAATAGCCGGTCTTGACTACAGAGAGCAAATAGGTAGGTCCTTCAGCCTGAGAGATGACTTCCTGATTCCAGAGGAGCAGAGTCCATTGACAGACACCCTGAGCTCTCCGCCGCAGCTGCGGGCCACCCGACCCCATAGCTGGTGGGAGTTATTTCACGCATCCTGAGAGCTTCCCCACGAGGCCTTCTGTGCTTGTGCGCATCCCGCTTCTCAGATGCCAGCAACAACAGCTGCTGGAGAATCCTGCCTAATCCGTTCTCCATGCGTGCTTCATCCAGAAGATGTGTGAAGCTACAAACCAAAACAAGATGCAGAAGCACCGGGACGGGTTCCAGAGACTCCCTGGTTGAGGAATGTACACGAATGATACATGTACTAGAATTATAACGTACAAGAATGCACCCCCACTCCCACCACCACCAGTCATGTGAACGGAAAGAAGGATCAAAGACCAATGCTTCTGATCCTTTGAGAAGGCTCCTGCTACCTTAACTGCTTTCTGTTCGGTGTTGTACCGTCATTGGACATCTGTTCCACTTCCTCAGTCTGAATGCACTACCACGGCGGGGACCATATCTGTTTTGTTTGCAAGATTACCGGAAGCCAAGGAGGTATCTGGCACCAAGGAGATCATCCTGGTGTTTGCATATAATAAACGCAATAAATCGGGGCTGGAGTGATAGTTTGGCAAGCAAGGGATCCCTGAGTGCAGAGCGATGAGTAAGTCCTGAGTGCCACACAGTGTGACCCAAAAACAAACAGAAAAATTTAATAAATTAAGTAAGTGAAATATTCATTAGCTGTTGGGTAACTGCTCTCCTCACACCAACTAACCTCGTTTCAATGTGTATATTGCATGTCCTCTAAGATGCTCTGACTTTTCTTTCTTTTTGGGGTGTGGGGCCATTTGGGCCACACCTGGCATTGCTCAAAGGTTACTCCTGGCTCTGTGATCAGGAATTATTCCTGGTGGTGCTCAGGAGACCATATGGGATGCCAGGGAACAAACCTAGGTTGACTGCATGCAAGGCAAGTACCCCTACCCGCTGTACTGTCCCTCTCTCTCCCTCCCTCCCTCCCTCCCTCTCATCACCAGAAGTCAGATTTTTTTAAATGTTATTTTCATAAAGTTGTTCACAATAATTAATTACATTCAATACTTCAACACCAATCCCACCAACATTATTTTGAAGCTTCCCACAACCACTTAAGCCTGCCCCACAGGTACATGGTAGATCATTTATTTTGTATTGCTTGTTATGAATAGTATGAGATGTCTGTAAGGGTCTTTAAAAAAAAAAAGAGCTCCATAATTTAAAATACTTTTAATGAGTTTCAAGCATACAACCAACTTTTCTATTCCAGTCTCAAAAACGAGTTGTGATTTAGACAATAATTGTAACAATAATAATAGGTGCTACTATCATTGAGACAGGCCCAGACGCTTATCTGTAGATTACTCCATCCATCCTTAACCAGACCAGTATTACTTTGTGTGTCTCATATGATTTCTATGGAATCTGTGAAATATTCCGCTTCCTACATTTCTCTTTTTTTTCCTTCTTTCTCTTATTTATTTAGGGAGGTCACACCAGACAGTGCTCAGGGTTTATTCTTGGTTCTGTGCCCAGGGGGCCAAATGGAGTGCTGGGGATCAAACTATGGTCCGTCACAAGCGAGGCAAGTACCCTACATGATGTACTATCTCACAGGCCCCCTCTTTCTCTTACTCTCTACAACTTTTTAAAAGCTGTGAACGTTATTCCCAGGTCAATCTTGGAAGAGAAGGCAAGCGGTCGGAAGTCACAGGTACATCTGTCTTGGGGCTGAAAACTTTGGACCCTTCTTAGGGAAGGAGCCTGTGCTCCGCGTGACCCAGTTCCACAGTACTGACCTCCAGGAGGAGCAGGACAAATTCAGTGGGAAAGTAGCAAAGAAGTCCACTAAGCTCAATAACGGAAATAAATAACACTGAAGGCTCAACTACTAGCAAACAGCTCTGTAAATCCTAAAGACAGTAGTAACCTTGGAGCTGAATATTGAACGCCCCAAATCACTGCACCATAAACAACTGAGTTGGGGGCGGGGGGAATTATTCCCAGGTTACAGGACATCACACAAATTCCGGGCTAGGGGAGGTGGTAACACATAAAGAATAAAATTACAGCCTCAAGAAATATCTGAAATATTTCTTTTTCTTTTTGGATCACACCCGGTCATGCTCAGGGGTTCCTCCTGGCTCTGCATTCAGGAATCACTCCTGGCGGTGCTCAGGGGACCCTATGGGATGCTGGGGATCGAACCCGGGTCGGCCGCGTGCAAGGCAAACGCCCTCCCCACTGGGCTATCACTCTGGCCCGATCTGAAATATTTTTTTTTAATTTTTATTGGTGAGACACCATGAGGTACAGTTGTAGACTTACAAATTTTTGTGCTTGGGTTTTCAGTTATACAATAATCGAGTACCCATCCCTCCACCAGTGCCCATTTCCCACCACCACAGATCCCAGCAACCCTCCCACCCCCCCATCCCCCCATCCCCCCCTGCCTCCGTGGCAGGGCATTCCCTTTTGTTCTCTCTCTCCTATTGGGTGTTGTGGTTTGCAAAAGAGGCAATGGGTGGCAATCATGTTCTGTCCATAGTCTACTTTCAGCATGCTTCTCCCACCCTGGGAGGATCCTCCCAACACCCTTCATTTGGTGCTCCCTTCTCTATCTGAGCTGCCTTTTCCCCTAACCTGTGTGGCTGGCCTCGAAGCCATGGAGCAAAATTCCCGGTACTACTGATCTGAAATCTTTCTGCCGTACTTATTGCATTGTAAATGTGTCACGGCAGAAGGCCAGCTCCATGCAAGCATGACAAGCATGACATGTGGAATGTGTGACTTGCTGCTCTCCCAGTGCCTGCGACGGTGCAATGACTCACTTGGAGAAGCCAACTTGGCCCGGTTCTACCATCGATCTGGAAGCCTCCCTGGGCCTGGATTGGGGGGGGGGGGTGTTAGGGGGACGGGGCAGCAAGAGCCCCCAATGGGGGGGTGGGGGGGTGGGAGGGGGCAGCAAGAGCCCCCAATGGGGGGTGCGGGGGAGGGAGCAGCAAGGGCCCCCAATGGGGAGGTTGGGGGGTGGGGGATGGGGGTGGGGGAGGGGGCAGCAAGAGCCCCCAATGGGGGAGTGGGGTGGGGTGGGAGGGGGCAGCAAGAGCCCCCAATGGGGGGTGCGGGGGAGGGGGCAGCAAGAGCCCCCAATGGGGGAGTGGGGTGGGTGGGAGGGAGCAGCAAGAGCCCCCAATGGGGAGGTTGGGGGGGTGGGGGAGGGGGGGTGGGGGAGGGGGCAGCAAGAGCCCCCAATGGGAGAGTGGGGTGGGTGAGGGGGCAGCAAGAGCCCCCAATGGGGAGGTTGGGGGGGGTGGGGGGATGGGGGTGGGGGAGGGGGCAGCAAGAGCCCCCAATGGGGGGAGTGGGGTGGGTGGGAGGGGGCAGCAAGAGCCCCCAATGGGGGGTGCGGGGGAGGGGGCAGCAAGAGCCCCCAGTGGGGGAGTGGGGGTGGGGGGAGGGGGCAGCAAGAGCCCCCAATGGGGAGGTTGGGGGGGGTGGGGGGAGGGGGGGTGGGGGAGGGGGCAGCAAGAGCCCCCAATGGGGGAGTGGGGTGGGTGGGAGGGGGCAGCAAGAGCCCCCAAGGGGGAGGTTGGGGGGGGTGGGGGAGGGGGGTGGGGGAGAGGGGGGCAGCAAGAGCCCCCAATGGGGGAGTGGGGTGGGTGGGAGGGGGCAGCAAGAGCCCCCAAGGGGGAGGTTGGGGGGGTGGGGGATGGGGGGGGGTGGGGGGAGGGGGCAGCAAGACCCCCCAGCGCAAGCAGGAGCGGGCCCGACAGAGGCGGCCCGATTCCTCCCGCCCGCCCACTCCAGGCCCCGCCCCCGCCCCGCCTGCCCTTACTCAAGATGGCGGCGGGGCGGCGTGCCCTTTCCGGTCACATGACCCGCCGGGCGCGTCGGCCCGCCCCCGGGCGCCTCCCCGCGCCTGCGCGCTGCGGCGCGGCCGCTGGGCTCCGAGGGGAGAGGCGCCGCCGCCAGCGCCGCCGCCGCCGCGGGACCCGTTAGAGCGGAAGCGCCGCCGCCGCCGCCCCGGGACCCCCGTTCCCGGCAGGTGGGGGCGCCATGTCGAAGCGGCTGCGGAGCAGCGAGGTGTGCGCCGACTGCAGCGGGCCGGGTGAGTCGCGCGCCGGGCCCGTCCCCGCCGCCCCTCGGGGGTGGGACCCGCCCGCGGCGACCCCGTCCCCGGAGGCCCCGGAGACGCCCCCCGGGCCCCCTCCCGGCGCGCCCCGACACCGCGCCCCCCGCCCCGCCGGGCCGGGGAGCCCCCGACAGCGCGGGCGCCACCCGGCCCCGGGTCGGGGAAGGCGCCCCCGCCGGGGTCGTGACCCGGGCCCGGCCTCAGTTTCCCGCCCGTCCGGTGGGCGCCGCCGGGATCGCGCGCCCTCGCCGGGGACCCCCGCCCCGCGCCCCGGGGAGCGCCGCTCGCGCCGGGTCCGAGGTCCCGGGGCCGGTCGCCTCCGGGTCTTGCCGCCTGCTCGGGGGTCTCGGCGCAGAGCCCTTCGCAGCGCCCACCCGGAGGCTCGGCGCGGGGCCCGAGCCAGGACGGCGAAGGGGTCCCGGGCTGGCCGTCAGCCGGTGGGGACGGGGGCGGGGAGACGGCCGAGACCCTCGGGAGCGCGGGGGAGCGGGCGTGGGCAGGGGCGTCCGCCCTGCAGAGCGGAGTCGGGTCTCGGCCCCTGCGCGGGGCAGCGGGCGGGTCCTGGGGCCCCGGGTGGGTCGGTGGGCGGCGGGCACCCTCGCCCCGCAGCGCCCGCCGTGTTTTCGCAGCTGTTCTGCTGGACCCGTCTGGCCCTGCGGACGGCACGCTGATTCCAAGTAGCCCCCGGACGGTCCAGACCTTATGTGATTCTTTCCCCCTCAGACTGGTGTAGGAGGGATCACCGGTTCCTCTGAAACAGGGAAGAGGGCTGGAGGAGAGTTTTGGCTTGTTTTTTCCTTTTTTTCCAGCGTGTCTTTTAGAAACCCAGTTCTTTTTTATTTTATTTTATTTTATTTTTTTTTGCGTTTTGGGTCACACCCGGGGGTGCACAGGGGTTCCTCCTGGCTCATGCACTCAGGAATGACTCCTTGGGGTGCTCGGGGGATCCTATGGGATGCTGGGAGTCGAACCCGGGTCGGCCGCATGCAAGGCAAAGGCCCCACCCGCTGAGCTGTCTCTCCAGCCCCAGAAACCCAGTTCTGAAGGCTTCCCCAGACCCCCTGCTAGTCTCTGAAACCGTTTGTTCCACTTCCTTTTTTTTTTTTTTTTGCCTGTTTTGAGTTGACATTTCTGCAACGCGTTTGATTCGCAGGGGTCTAGCCTTAGTTTTTTCTTTTTTTTCTCTTGGAAGGCTCTGCTTCTCCGGGCTGAGAGGGGCCGCCCGGGGGCCCCCGCTTTCCCGTCGCCTCCCCGAGTGCCGGTCTGCACATCTGCTGCATGCATTTCCGAGCGTTTTTCTCCCCGCCTTGTGCCAGTTCGGTTGTTGTCTCCTATGCCTGAGCTACAGACTTGAGTCACTTCCTTCCTGTTTTGAGTATAATTAGGTTACCTTGAAGTGTTCTGTGAACTTGAGCGGCCAGGAATGGGTGCTGCCTTTCCTGCAAAGCCTGAAAACAAAATATCTCCAGCGTGAGGGGCGTGTTGGTGACTCCGGGGTCCACCGAAGGCCTTCCCGCCAGAATGCGTCTGTGCACTCTGGTCTCTCGGTAGCACTCAAGTTCCGATTTCTCAGCCAAGTCCCACGACGATTCTGAAGGTGGTTTGTGGTTCCCAAAAAGCTTCCCTAAGAAGCTCTGGCCTGGGGGCTACGAGAGCTACAGGGAGAGGGCACTTGCCTTGCCCAAACCAAACTGGGTTCCGTCTCTCACATCCCATGTTGTCCACAGAGCACCACCAGGAGCGATCCTGGAGGACAGAGCCAGGAGTGAGCCTGCATACAGCCAGGTGTGGCCCAAAAAACAAGCAAAAAAAACAAACAAGCTTTGTCAGCCAAAAAGCTCTGACCTGACAAGGTGGCACGTCCGTGGTAGGGGCTCATACTTGAGACCCTGCGTTTGAGAACCAACACTAAAGAATAAAAGCCTCGGGCTTATGAAAACATTCATATCAACCAGAAAGGTTTCACCAAACTCGACCCTGTGAATGCAGGGATGGTTTTATTGCTCTGCTAACTTCCGCTCTTCTGCCAGATTCTGACTCGTGTTCAAGTAATTAATCAAGAAATGCGCTCTATGTTTGTTAAGCCTTGCTGTCATGTTCCTGTTTCATGTCCTCCAGGAATATTGCGAATTCACTGCGTGATGTGTGGAAACTGAAGCTATGCCTCAACTCTGAATTTTCTTTTTATTTGTTTTTTTCTTTTTTGGTCAGCATTGGTACTGTTTTGCTGAGAGCACTGCCATCACATACTTTGGTCAGGGTGCCTCATCTTCAGGTTTCTCTTATTAGCTTTGAGAATGACATAAAATTCTGCCCAGAGGGGCTGGGGAGAGAGCACAGCAGGTAGGGTGTTTGCCTTGCACGCGGCAGACCCGGGTTCGATTCCCAGCATCCCATAGGGTCCCCTGAGCACCGCCAGGAGTAACTCCTGAGTGCAGAGCCAGGAGTAACCCCTGTGCATCGCCCCAGGTGTGACCCAAAAAGCAAAAAAAAAAATTCTGCTCAGAGTTGTGCTTCAGTGAGTTATTCTGTTTCTGGCTTTAATTTGGGGGTGGGGGGGCCTCCAAGCACGGCTCTGGAGGCCCAGGGGGGAGGTCCCTTCCTGTAGTGCTGGCATCACCCAGGGAACCCCAGTACTTCTCAGAGGGCCTCCCAGGCCCCACCCAGCGATTCTCAGGGGGCTCTTGGGCTAAACCCTGGACACTCACGGGCCCATGAACTGTTGGAGATCCAAACTGGATTGGCTGCATACAGAGCGTGCCCCTTAACCCCTGTACTGTCAGTCCCCTTATTTCTGTTACTCAAAGCAACCATTCAATATTTAAGGTCTTAGTCCATGTTTTAATTTTTTTTTCTTTTTTTTTGGGGGGGGGGTCACACCTGGCAATGGACAGGGGTTATTTCTGGCTTTGCACGCAACTTTAAAAGGTCCTCCCGTTGTTCGTCGATTTGCTCGAGCGGGCCCAGTAACGTCTCCATTGGAGACTTTGTTGTTACTGTGTCTGGCATATCGAATACTCTCGTAGCTTGCCGGGCTCTCCGAGAGGGGCAGAGGAATCGAACTCGGGTCAGCCGTGTTGGCCGCGTGCAAGGCAAACGCCCTACCCGCTGTACTATCGCTCCAGCCCAGTGTTTCATTTTTTTTTTAATCAAATTGTGTTCATTTGATTCATTTATTGGTTGGGGGGCAGCATCCGGCGATGCTCAGGGGTTATTCTTGGCAGTGCACCGGAGATCATACGGGATGCTGGGGGACCCTGCCCCTCCAGCCCCTATCAGATTCGCTCCTGTTAATTATCCCGATTTGAGATCACCTATTTGAAAACTCGGGTGAGAGTTTTTCTTATGACAACGCAGTGTTTCCGTACAGACTCAACATTCAGGGTATCGACGGTCCGAAAACTCTTTCCAGCTTTCAGGAGTCTTGAAACTATCGAAAAGGGTCTTGAGGAAACTCTGGGACAAGGTGTTTGGGTTGGGCTTTTGCTGCTGTTTTCAGTGTCTAAGCTCTGACCTGGGCAGCTGCTCTCCTGCTGAGTCCCTGACTGTGTGCAGCTCTTGGCTCCTCTCCAGCTCCTTGCCCTGAGATGTCACAATTCCCCTTTGATCTGTGGTAAAGACGCCTCATAGAAAACTCGCCGCCTGCGATCGGGCACTGCCAGTGGGAGCCCGGGGCTCAGACCTGGACCTCTTGTCTCCAGAGCCAACCCTCTAAACCACTGTGCTCCTTCACCCCCGGGATTTATCTCTGATTGAAATCCCGTAACTTTTCATTATATGGGTGGTCGGGGTTTGCATAAACGCTCAGGCATGGCAAGGATGTGCATGTGCACATTTTGAAGATTTTTGTGGACATTGAAGAATGTAGAGACACGCCCCTCAGACCAAGCAACTTTGAATGGCACCTATTGTCACCCCCATTGTGAGTTTGATGAAACGTGCAATTTTTATTTTCTTTATTTGGGTCGCGTCACTGTTGAGTTTACTGACCCGGTGGGAGTTATTCCGAACCCTTCCCAAGTATGAATTATTCTTGACGCTTCTGAAGTATGAATTATTTTGTTTCAGAAGATGTCTAATGAGGCTCTCTGGGACCTCACAGAGGGGTGGGGGGAAAAACACTGCTCCCACACCGAAACATCCCTCCTCTTAATTTTACACGTCTTGGCCTCTGTGGAGTCGCTATTATTGTAGCTTCTGTTCTTTCCGATCAGCTGTAGGATTGGGCTCGGTGGTTTATTTAAAACAACGAACGGATCTCGTAGCGCATTCCCAGACCACGTTTGCAGTCTCTAATAACCGGAGCAGCTGAGCGATCTTTTAGTTGTGTCCCTCGCAGCGTGTGGATTGATAGCAGTCGTTCTAACCATTTCCTTGAGAGAATGCCGTGTGCATTATTCACGCGCCCGGTTGTGTGTCGTCTCGCCACGTCGACCGATGAACCTGAACGGCGGCGCCCTCTCAGTTTGCTTCTCTTCCAGGGAATGCAAGAGCATCTGAGATGTTAGACCTCGTTAGGGCTGCAGTCCGCGGCCCCGAGTGAGGAGCGAGGGAACTGTTGATTTCATGCCTCGACTCACGCGCTCAGCCGCAGCTCTGTGCCACTCAGCAGGGGCAGGCGGGGCCACCAGGCCAGCTCCCCCGCGTGGCACGATGGCCAGCGAGACTAAGCCAGCAGCAACGGCCCGTTTTCCTGGGAAGCCGTGTCGCCGTCATCGTGGGCCGTCTGGCCGCCAAGCGGCCCGCTGGTCTCCTGGCCACTGAGACTTCCTTCTCTTTCCAGATCCTTCCTGGGCGTCCGTGAACAGGGGGACCTTCCTGTGTGACGAGTGCTGCAGTGTCCATCGGAGCCTGGGGCGCCACATCTCTCAAGTCCGGCATCTCAAACACACGCCATGGCCTCCAACACTGCTTCAGGTGCGGCCTGAGAAGTCCTCTCACTGTTCACAGGCTTCTGTCATTAAGTAAAATCCATCTCGTACGATTGGACAGAAAGATGCACATCCGGACCGAATACAGTCCTGAGTTCATTGACAAAGGGGCTTTTTTTTCCTCTTAACAAAAATGCTTCGGGGGGAGGGGGTGCTCGGAAAGTGGGCCACGCTGGCGATGCTTACTTAGGGGCTTTCACTGGCTTTACACTCAGGGGTCACTCTGGGTGGGGCCAGGCACGAGACCTGGGCCCGCTGCATGCGGGACAGTGCCTGAACTCCTGTGCTGTCTCTCCAAGCCCCTGACATAAATCTTGTCCCAAAATCTCAAGTATGGTGATTAAAATTTCTGATAAGAGTTCCACTGTTGACTTTTTTGGAATGTCACCAGAAATTGCTCTGTGTTTGGGCTCCCGCTGGCCGTGCTCAGGGATTGCTCTCAGCTCGTTGCTCGGGCTTGCTCCGGTAGTGCTCGGGAGACCATCTATCCCAGGGATCGAATCCAGGCCTCCTGCACACAGAGTATGCACTCCAGCCCTTGAACCACCAGGGAAATTCTTCTAACAATCCATCTTTTCTATATATTATGCCAAAAGTTTCTAGAAGCTATTGCTTTCAGAATTTACTATTAACTGCACTTATTCCTGAGTACCAGCTAATATTTTTAGAAAATTCCTTTATGTGCTAATAGGAGTCCAGACAGATTCCCCGGAAATTTCTGAAAATATCTGATTTGAACTTTACTAAATTGCATATTACTAGAGACTAAATTAATACGTTCCGTTGAATGGTTAACACTACTGAGTGTTAAGTAGTTTCTTTTTTGGGGGGGTAGTCCAACATCATGTCACCTGTACTTCTATTTTGGGGTGCGCATTCTTCAAGTTCTGTTGGAACTCCACATTGAGCCTGTGTTTTGCCTTCATTTGTTGAGAACATATTTTACTAAGTCTCCGGCAGCTGCGCGTATAGATTTCCTTAAACTCGTCGACACAGACCAAGGGACCAGACCAGGCGGGTTTGGAACTCTCGAGTGATTATATCTTCACTAATGTGAATAGCAGAGAGGACTACGTCAGGAGTCAGACTAGGAAAGGAAGTGGGGAGCCGTGGTTTATTACTGGCCTTTTGTTTGGAAGTTTCTAACAGCTCATTCCCGTAGGAAAGTGGGTGTTTGCTGCTCTCAGATGATGCCGGTTACCCGCTATGTTGTAAATTAAGAATAAAGTCCAAGGATAAGTAGTTCACAGTGTCAGGGTTGAACCCTAAAGAACAACACCCAAAGAACCTAAACTCTCAGTGGTACTCAAGGTAGAGGTAGATCATTCTCGGATATTCTAATGGTCGCCTAAAACCAGAACTATCACCTCAAACCATGATTGGTAGTAAAACCTTTTTTTTTTTTAATATATGGATTAAAAATAAAATATGAAGGGGCCAAAGCGATAGTTAGCAAATAGGGCACTTGCTTTGCACACCGCCAGCCCAGGTTCGATCCCCAGCGCCCCATATGGTACCTAAGCACCACTCGGAGTGATCCCTGAGTCTGGAATAAGGCCTGAGCATTTCTGGGCGTGGCCCCAAAACAAGAAAGAAAGGGAGGAAGAGAGGGGACAGGGCCAGAGGGATGGCTCGTCGGGCTGAGCACATGTTTTGCCTGCAGGAGGCCTGGGTTAGATTCCTGCCGCCACCTAGTCCCCTGAACACCTCCGCGAGTGATCTTGAGCCCAGGAGTGGTCCCAGAGCACCTTCAGGGGAGGCCCCCAAACAAAAGAATTTCGTTGATGTTGCCACAGGGGTTCATACCTGGCGATGCTCAGGAATTCTACTAACCTCCTGGCTCTGCACTGAGGAGTTACTCCTGATGGTGCTCAGAGAAACTCTGTGATTCTGGGGATCGAACCAGGTTCGGCCACATGCAAGTCAAGCTCCCTACCCACTGTACTCTCTACAGCCCCAGAAAAAAATCTTCAGAATAAATATCTGGATGTTCAGGTTTGGAAACACTGCCCTGCAGCATCAAAAGGTCTCTCCACTGGGATCTCTGAGAATAGTATGTTCAGACCCGTTGGGATACGTAGCTTTTCCTGATCCAACCCGACTCCCACCCGCAGGTTTAAAATCAGAAAACTCTGACACGTGCGCTCTCCAACAACGCCGGTGTTTGTTCTGGGCTGTGATGTCGGTTCTCGCTGAGTGTCCGTGGGGCGGGGATTCCAATGTGACTCGTGCGCTGCTTGGTTGTAGATGGTCGAGACCCTGTACAATAACGGCGCCAATTCTATCTGGGAACATTCGTTGCTGGATCCCGCCTCCATCATGAGTGGAAGACGCAAAGCTAATCCGCAGGATAAAGTACAGTGAGTGGAATGTTTTGCAACTGCTCTTGCTCCTTCGCGCGTGGGGCCCCCTGGAAAGCACGAGGTATTTCTGGGCCGCCCTCGGCCAGGGCCGTGAGGGAGGCGCTTTGCCAACGGTGCACGGAGCTCTCTGCAGTCAGAAATGCAGGCGGGGCCCGGGCGCGAGTCAATGGCTTCTCCAGGCCCAAACCAAAGGTTGGGGCTGTTGATGTCATCAGATTCGCGCGTACGCGTTCCAGCCAGACCCGGGACCGAGGTGCCGGGCCACCGTCGGCCTGGTGGCCGGGTCCGTTAAAATGACGCAGAGACAGAGCTGCCATCTGTAGGAAAGGAGGGATCCCGCGGGTCAGCCTGGCCACCAGAGTGACCGAGAGATGGCTTTGAAGTTCAGGTCTTAAACTCCGCTGCCTGCGTAGGCCTCGAGCATATTGTCCGCTTTATTCCCGCGGGGGACGTGGGTCACTTCCTCTTCTTTCTGCAGCCTAAAGAATGGGGGGTGTCGGCTCTGAACTGCGAGTGATCTGTTTTCTGTTTTGTCCTCAAACCAGCCCTAATAAAGCAGAATTCATCAGAGCCAAGTATCAGATGTTAGCGTTCGTCCACCGCTTGCCGTGCAGGGAGGACGACAGCGTGACCGCCAAAGATCTTAGTAAGGTGGGTCACTCCTCTGCAGGTACCTAAGATTGCTGCCCGGACGGTGGGTTGGTGTGTTTGGGGGAGGGCGCGTCTGAGAGGAAGAGAACAACAGCAGAAGCGCCTTTCCGCACGCTAATTAATAACAGCTCCCCCCACCGCCGATTGCTTTCATCTTTATTGATCTTCGTTCTGATGACACCCATTCCTGGTGGTAGAAGTACCAGACCAAGAAAAATAAGCACCGAGAAAGCCGTCTGTGCTTTTCAGATATGGGTTTTGTATTAAGATTTCTGCAGTTGTGTCGTTTTCACTTCACACAGAACTAGGAATCAAGAGTCTGCTTCTAGAAGAGGCTGAAGAGTTTGTGAGAATTCCTCAGATTTCTAGTTGCGTACTGAGTAGGATTTTCAGGAAGCAGGGTGTAACCCAAAACTGTAGTGTGTGGGACGGTTTATTATACTTGTAAAATGAGTAGATGGTTTTTCTTTATGTGGGCTTTTGCGTGTTTCCTGAGAGAGGCCTTGAAAAATCCACATGTTTTATTCTCAGAAGTGCTGCTTGTGACAGACACTCAGAAGACGGACAGTCACAGTTCAGAAGTTTTAAGTTTGCATAGAAATGCCTATACTCCCTGTATAGTTCTCTTAATTAATAGGTCCTGGCATGTGTTACCATGGTTTGCTTTTTGTTTGGGGGGCCACACCCAGCAGGGCGCAGGTCTCCTCCTCGTTCTGCACTCAGAGATCTCTCCTCGCAGTGCTGAGGAAACCCTCGGAGGGGCCAGGGATGCAGTTCAGGCCTGCCGCATGCAAGGCAAGCACCTTCTCTGCTGTGCTGTCTCTCAGACCCACACAATGTTGTTTTTTAGCTATTGTTTACAATGCCTGGGATGCAGATGTTGTAGGTTTCTCCGTTCACGTGCTCAAGGGTCCTGAATATTGAACAGTTCGGGATTAGACTGGAAGGCTTTTGAACCCTGCAGTTTTACAGAATTTGATACATGATGCTTCTTCCAACCAAGAATGACTCTGTTGAGGCATCGTGTACAGGCCAAGAATAATCTGGAGACGTGGAAGAAGAATCCATGGGTGTAAGAAATGTTGAACACGATGCCCTAAATGCTTTATTTTAATAAATAACGGAACGGTAATAATAGCTATGTTCATTGAGAGTCTGTGTACCCACAGTGGCTATGTACTGCCTACTCTTTTTTTTTTTTTCTTTTTGCTTTTTGGGTCACACCTGGCGGTGCATAGGGGTTACTCCTGGCTCTGCACTCAGGAGTCACTCTGGGCAGTGCTCAGGGGACCATATGGGATGCTGGGAATCAAACCCGGGTCGGCCGTGTGCAAGGCAAACGCCCTACCCGCTGTGCTATCTCCCCAGCCCCTGTACTGCCTACTCTTTAAGTCATTCATCTACTTACAGCCACCCTCATTTTCTGAAATGGGGTGCAGATTCCTTAAAAAAAAAAAACACTTCCTCCAGGTCACACAGCATGGAAGGGACCATGGGGTGACGTTCCGGTCTGGCCGATCTACCCCCACCCCCAGTTCCGGTTGTGCAGAGCCCACATTTCATACAAGGCCCATGCGTGGTCAGGCCTGTCCTCCCGGCCCACTTTCCTTCTCAGAGAAACGGATCTGACCCTGCCCGTAGAGCCCCGAGCAAGTGCAGATGAAGGTTGACACGCGCGCGATGGCAGTGAAAATAGCCGGCCAGCGGCTCTAGTCCATCCCGTCCCTGCATAGACAGCCTGGGGGGTTGTGTTTGTGTTTCAGCAACTTCATTCCAGCGTGAGAACCGGGAACCTGGAGACCTGTCTGAGGCTGCTCTCTCTCGGGGCGCAGGCCAACTTCTTCCACCCGGTAAGGCCGCGAGCGCCCACGACCCCCCTCCCGCCCCCGCCACGTCAAGACCAAGTGGGTCGTAGCGGGAGAACCCCTGGCTGACGGACGTTGCCTTTTCCGTGTGTTTTGCGCCGACCCTCAGGAAAAAGGAAACACCCCGCTCCACGTCGCCTCGAAAGCCGGCCAGATTCTGCAGGCGGAACTGCTGGCGGTGTACGGAGCCGACCCCGGCACCCAGGACTCCAGTGGGAAAACGCCTGTTGATTACGCAAGGTCCGAGCCCTCTCTCTCGTTGGGGTCGGGCTGTTGTCTGTGGTTCATTGTTGAGTGGCTAAATTGCACGCAGTCGACGTTTAACCCCTTTCAAGATTCACGTTCCACTTGCACACGGAGGCATCCAGACACGTGTGAGCTCAGACGCTGGCAGGGTCAGGGAAGGTAGAACCACGAGGCTTTTGTGCTGAGCTTCTGGTCCTTCCTGTCATCGTTGATAACACAGCAAACTGAGCCTTGGCCAGAGTCCAAATTGAGTAGTAATTGCAAAACCCACACCTCAGGGTTTTTTTGTTTTGTTTTGTTTTGTTTTTGTTTGTTTGTTGGTTGGTGGGGGGCAGGGGGTCTCCCCAACAGTGCTGACAAGACACGAGTCCAGGGTCCATTTTTAGGAACGCTCGGCCCAACGATGCAAACTTGATGGCTCAGTGCTCAGGCTTAGCAGTACTAGGGACCACGACAGTCACCCCAGAGGTGTCTGGGGGGACTACTTGGTGCCGGGGACAGAACTTGGGACCTCCGTGTGCAGGGCACGCACTCCAACTCTTTCAACTATCTCCCCAGCCCACTCATCAATTTTTTAATAACTTATTTGGGGAGGCCACACCCAGCAATGGCTGGGTTTCTCCTGAGCCTCACTCAGGAATCTCTTGGCAGTGCTCAGGGCATCATCCAGGGTGCTGGGGATTGAACCTGGGTCTGCTGCATGCAAGGCAAGTGTCCTACCCCGCTGTACTATCTCTCGACCAATTTTTTAATAATATTTCATCCTTTTTTGAACTTAAAAACAAATCTTTAAGGACAATTTATGTGACTAAATAATTATAACAAAATATTAATTGTAGACTTTCGGTGGTAGACATCTGAAAGCGTGGTGTAAGGGTCTTTAAATTTTCCTTTGTTTAGAAATTCTGAATCTAGGGACAGGGGAGGTAGATGCAGGGTTAGAGCATATGCCTAGCACGTTCGAGGCCCGTGTTCAGTCCCGGGCAAAGGGTGGCTCCTTGGCTTCCCCAGATTTGGTCCCTATTGAAACAGAAGCTAAAATGCCGCAACACTACAAAATAAACCCACAGGTTAGTCTTAAATGCCAGTTGAATGTTAAACGACGTGTCATTTTGTCTTTTTCCAAATCAGCTTTATCTATCACACAGCAATACTTTCTGCAGTGGAAAAAACAGGTGCAGTGAAATAACAGGGCCTGGAAGATAGTACAGCAGTTAGGATGCATGCTGGACGCACATCTGAGCCTGTGTAAGAGTAAGCCCTGAGCACGGGTGTGGGTCAAAAACCAAAAAAAAAAAAGAAAAGAAAAGAAGTATCTTGGGCCAAGGAGATAAGCCACGTGATAGAACAGATGCCTGGTATGCTGGTATGTGAGAGGCCCCGAGTTCCACGCTAGCACTACAGTTTCCCCACCCGGACGCCCACATCACCAGGCGTAGCTCTCGTGCCCCCCTGAGCACTGGAGAGCTGGCCAGAACAGACCCCTCAGGCCTTTGGGGCCATCCCTGCTATTGGGTGTGGCCCCCGTTAAAAGAGGAAAACCCTTCAGGGATGTTTTGCTGTCAACTCTAGTGTACTTCCTAATTTTACACAGAGTGAAAAATGAGGGAAACAAAAAAATCTGTTCCTGCAGAACTCAAAGATGTGTGATAGGTCAGAAACCGTCTTAAGAGTGCCTCAGTGGGGAGGAAGACTGACAGAAACTGACTCCAGGGCTGGAGCGATAGCACAGCGGGTAGGATGTTTGTCTTGCACGCGGCTGACCCAGGTTCGATTCCCAGCATCCCATGTGGTCCCCTGAGCACCGTGATGATTTCTGTGATTTCTGCATACACCAATCAGGAGTAATTCCTGAGTGCATGGGCCAGGAGTGACCCCCGTGCATTGCTGGGTGTGACCCAAAAAGCAAAAAAAGAAAAAAGAAACCGACTTCGGCTGGCTTGCTGGCTGGCTGGCTTTCAAACTTTGGGGCCACACCTGGTGGTGCTCAGGACTTACTCTTGGTTCTGCACTCAGGTGCCAGGGATTGAACCCAGCTCGGCCGCATGCGAAGCAAGCGCCTTCCCGCTGTTCTGTCCCTGGGCCCCCGGCTTCCTCTCAAAAGGAGGAGAACTGGGGCTGGAGCAATAGCACAGGGGGTAGGGCGTTTGCCTTGCACGCAGCCGACCCGGGTTCGATTCCCAGCATCCCATATGGTCCCCTGAGCACTGCCAGGAGTAACTCCTGAGTGCATGAGCCAGGAGTAACTCCTGTGCATTGCCGGGTGTGACCCAAAAAGCAAAAAAATAAAAAAGAGGAAAACTTACTTAAGTGATACTTAACCTGGGAATTTCCTCCTGGTGTGCTTTATCTTTAATGGTCCCTTGGTGTGATGGCATGTCACGTGCTAAATTTGTGATCAGGCTAGAAGAACTTCAAACAGCACTTCATCCTTCTGTGAATGAAGAAACACAGCTTGGTGTTTATTACCGTCTTCCGTTAATGGAAACCGGAGACAAGGAAATGCAGGTGGAAGTGAAGGTAGACGGGAGCTGCGCGTCAGCGTGGTCAGCCTTTCAGGTCTTCCCTTGGGAAGACCCGGAGGTGCTCTGCACACTCCTCCTGCGTCAGACTGGCCGTGTCAGAGGCAGCTCGAGGAGGCCCTTCTGCCTCGGATCCCCGGTCCCCACAGCCTTTCTGATCCCAGGCTTCCCAGAGGCAGGGTCTCCTCCACTCGAATATTGTGCATGGCTCTCCCGTGAGTTTTTCATGATTTCTGCCTACACCGTTGATCGCTTCTATCTTCTGCCTCTCAGATGATGTTCTTCATCTTGGTTTTGTTTTTGTGAGGGGCCCACACCTGGTGATGCTCCAGGATTACTCCTGGCTCTGTGCTCAGGGGTCACCCTTGGTGGTGCTCAGGGGAGCGTACAGGGTGCCGGGGATCAAACCCGGGTCACCTGTGCACAGGGCAAGCACCCTGCCCGCAGTCCTGTCGCTCTGGCCCTGCCTGAGGTTATACTTTATTCCTTTCATATGCCCTTGAATTTCTTTACTAAGCGTTCCGGTTTGTACATTGGAGGGAGGCGCGCGGTTCAGATTGCGAAAACCCGACGTTGGTCACGAAATACACCTGAGCAGACGGTTCACCTGAGCGCAGAAAGGCCGATTGTGCTCCCAGCTGGTCGGGTGTCGCAGGAGCTGTCTCTGTCCTTTCGGGATCCAGAGGCAGTGGCTGATGAGCGGTGTCAATGGTACTTTGTTTTCCCTTGGCGTAGGCAAGGAGGGCACCACGAGCTGGCAGAGCGCCTGGTGGAAATCCAGTACGAGCTGACCGACAGACTCGCCTTCTATCTCTGCGGCAGGAAACCAGGTGAGCCAAGGGATTGCGGCCGCTCGCCACCTCCACGCGGTCTCTGGGAAAAAACACAGGACGATCATGACGGCCTCCGCTTTAACCCACCCTAGGCAAAACTCCGAACAAGAATTTCTGTTTGAATGATAACGGACGTCAAAGGTAGTTTGATCGCATCTTGAATTTCCGTTTGTTGAAACGTCTGTTTTAGGTCTCGACTGTTTTGACTCCAAAGAGCATAATTGAACGCACATTGAGGGTAGCCCACAATTCTGGCACCTGGTACAGAACTAGGAACGGAAGAGCAGGACAGTGGCTCGTGTGGTTGTTTACAAAGTCGGCTACCCGCGAGTCCGGGATGAGATTCATGGTAGAGCCTGGCATAGATGAGTCCTGGGCTTGATCCCCGTCCCGCGCAGCCCCCTGAACGCCACTGGGTGCCACCAAGCATCTCTTTACTGCCCTGAGCAGTGCCACGGTGCTCCCCACCACTGAAGAAGGGTTGCCCTCTGAAGAACAAGGAAAGTCTGAAAAGCTCATTTTGCCATTCTCCAGCTGGGGCCGAACTAGGGTTAGCCAATCGTGGTCTGTGGCCACATCCCAACTGCGTTCACCTCGTTTTGGAATGGGAAGGGTCGGACTACACCCGGAAAAGCTGGGAGCTGTTCCCTGCTCAGCACTTGGTAGGTGCTTCTGGCAATACGAGGGGAACCTGCGGTACCAGGGATGGAGTCCCGGTACCCATCCTCCTAGATGCAGAGCCTGTGCTCTGGCCCTGTGTCACGTGGACCGGTTGGTTTAAGGTTCAACACGTGATATCCGCGCCATCCATTTATTTACATGTGTCTGTCTGTGACTGCTACCTCGGCATAAGGCATAAATTCCACTGGTAAAGCAGCCAAGGGCTGGTGGAATAGTTACCCCCCAAGACTGAAACATTGATCACCTAGTGCTTTCCAGACGAGTCTGCCGGCCGAGATACACAGGGGTGATGTGGTGATGTTCACCTGGGCCGTAGACTGAAGAGCCACTGGGCCGCAGCTCCCGTGGGCTGGAGCGAGCAGGCCTGCCCCGTCCCTCCCGCTGGATATAGTTAAAAACCCAGAGGCAGACTCGTGCGCTGGTCCCCGAGAACTGGGAGGAAGAAAATGCAAGCTGGGGGACCTTGCGGCCCCGGCAGGAGGATGGAGAGCGTCCTGCTTGTTTTCTGTCTTTCAGGCAGGCTCCAGCGAGGAACTGCATGAGGTATGCAGAGAAACCTCTTTCTGGTTCAGAGTGCAGGAACCAGGGAGCAGGGAGGTTCCCCTGGGTTTTATCACCTTCCTTTCTCCTCACCCTGGCCCCGGGTAGTCTTGTGGCTGTCTGGTGGCCACACCGGCTCTTGAGTCTCTGACCAAAAAACCCAGGGAGAATCCTGGTGGCTTGTTTTCCTTTCGCTTTGACCATGTAGCCTGGGAGGCAGAACCAAAATCTCATCTCCAGACCTCACTCTGGCCGGCCGCCTGCTCGACTGAAGAGGTGGCCATTTTCCAGAGATTTGAAGATTTGAGACTCAAGAGTCTCAATGCCTGTTAGTCAGAATATCTAGAATATCTAGAAACCCTTGATTCCTTCACCTTTGATGAACCAGGAAATCCCAGGAATTTCGGAGGGGAAAAGTCAGTCAGAAACACCCACCCAAGTGACACCGGAGTTGGATTTTTTGAGACGTGAAGCATCCAGTAAGACCAGAGTGCGGGTGTTTTTTAAACAAATAGAAAGTCTCAGCAGAGAAAAACAAGGTGCAGGAAGGAACCAAATGAAATGTTAGCACTTAAAATATAATGATTGAAACTAAAAAACAGATGAGAGGGGCTGGAACAATAGCACAGTGGGTAGGGCGTTTGCCTTGCATGTGGCCGACCCCAGGTTCGATTCCCATTATCCCATATGGTCCCCTGAGCACCACCAGGAGTGATTCCTGAGTATAGAACCATGAGTAACCCCTGTGCATCGCAGGTGTGACCCAAAAAGCAAAAAAATAATAATTTAAAAAAATTTAAAAAAAAAACGAGCTTAATAGCTGGAGCGATAGCACAGCAGGTAGGGCGTTCGCCTTACAAGCGGCCAACATGGCCGACCCGAGTTCGATTCCTCCGCCCCTCTCGGAGAGCCCGGCAAGCTACCGAGAGTATTCGACATGCCAAACACAGTAACAACAAAGTCTCCAATGGAGACGTTACTGGGCCCGCTCGAGCAAATAGCAGATTCCACTAAGTATCTTTTCTGACCTTAATGGAACGATAGTAGAAATAAATGATAGTAGAAATATAATTGGATACCTAGAGGGTTGAGAATAAAACAACATACTTCTATTTTCTTTTTTTTTTTTTTTGCTTTTTGGGTCACACCCAGCAATGCTCAGGGGTTAGCCTGGCTCTGCACTCAGGGTTCACTCCTGGCGATGCTCAGGGGACCATATGGGATGCTGGGATTCGAACCCGGGTCAGCCGCATGTAAGGCAAACGCCCTACCCGCTGTGCTATCGCTCCAGCCCAAGAAAACAACATACTTCTAAATAATCTCTATTTAGTCTCTATATAAGAGGAAGTCTCAAAGGAAATTAAAAAATATTTCGAACTAGATGAAGGTGAAACTACAGAGAGCCGAGTCAGTTCTGGGTGAGCTGCAGGAGTTGAGCGGGAAAAGGAAATTCTCGGAGCAAAGAAGCAGAGAGTCGCGTGGAGTTCACCCCGGTGAGAGTCTGCAACCCCTGCACGTAGTGCTACCGGCCAGGAGTGGCTGCGGATGGAGCGAGTGCCACACTCCGGCTTGGAGCCTCCAGTAAGGTGTAGGCCCAGAAAAGCTCTCCAGAGAGCCCCCCCGAAGCTCAAGTCATGGTTTGACCTCACCGATGAAGAAATGACTGCTCCCAGTAGTTCTAGGGCAAGCCCACCCAACAGGACTGGGCGAGCAGATGGCAGCACGTTGCCTGTATTGACAGAGAATGTGGGTGGATCAGAAGCAAACCATCTGTGTGAGAGCACTCGCGGGGTTTGTCACGTTTAGCTTTGTTCAACCCAGACGGGATGGTTTCTGCAGGAAGTTAGCTCCCAAAGAAAAGAGCAGAAGGTTAGGAGATCATTCCAGACCATGAACATGGTATAACGAACAGCTATGTAGCACGGTAGCACTGTCCTCCCGTTGTTCATCGATTTGCTCGAGCGGGCCCAGTAACGTCTTCATTGTGAGACTTTGTTGTTACTGTGTTTGGCATATCGAATACGACTCGGGTTGCCAGGCTTTGCTGTGCGGGCGAGATCCTCTCGGTAGCTTGCCGGGCTCTCCGAGAGGGGCGGAGGAATCGAACCCAGCTTGGCCAGGCTGGCTGCGCGCAAGGCAAAGGCCCTGCCACTGTGCTGTCGCTCCACCCGTGATGAAGAGCTATAATTTGAAAAAATGTAGGGTGAAATCTAAAGTCAAAAGAGATTTTTCTTTACCCTCTCCAGGGTCTAAAACCAATGAGAAATCTTTCGTGTGTGCTTGTGAGCGTGTCAGGAGATGAACTCCACCTCTTCCCACCTGGAGGGCACCAGAGGGCATGCCAAGGCGCAAGTGAACCCGTTTGAAATGATTTTAAAGAGAACCCAAGTGTCTCCAGAGTTGTATTGGGGAGATGCAAATTTAAAGATCAAGCGGTCACCAAAGGGGGTGTTCTGCCTGGCAGCATTTTGGATGCTTGGGCGCCTTTTGGCAAACCTGAGCTTTGCCGATGTACAGGAACACCCGGATGTACTCTAACCTTGGAATGGCTGCTGCTTGTAAGCTTTGTTGTTGTTGTTTGTCTTTTTGGGTCACACCCAGCGATGCGCAGGGGCTACTCCTGGCTCTGCACTCCTGGTGATGCTCAGGGGACCATATGGGATGCTGGGAATCCAACCCGGGTCAGCCGCATTCAAGGCAAACACCCTCCCCACTATACTATCACTCCAGCCCCAGTGAGCTTTGTTTTGAAAATTGAATGTTTTTCAGAGTAGCCTCAGAGAGTGACCACCTTATTTCTCAACGCTTGGGCCCTTTAGGTTTGGGAAAACTAGACTGTCAGATTTCCTGGTGGACACCGGGATCTCCTGTGTAATATGTGTAAATCCTGTGAGATGCTTTTCAAATAAGCACTCTAAGGTATTCTGGGTAGTTTTATACTGGAACGATTAGAAAGGTAAGTTTATTATGGAGGAATTAATATATGGATCATAGTAACAGAAAACTTCGGTGGTTTTATTTTGATATCCTTGAGTTTCAGGACTGAATGTTTATTTAAATTAATGCATACCCATGTTTAAAAGATGAGGCCTCCTGGTCTTTAGACAAGGCACAAAGACAAAAAAAAATAAAATTGCAGCATACCATGATTTGGGGGATACAGCAGCAGGACAGATAGTACACCAGGTTAAGGCACTTGCTTTACTTGCAGTTACTTGCAGTCAGTTTAAGTTCAATCTCCCACGTCCCATACAGTTCCCTGAGCACCACAGGAATTGATCCCTGAGCCAGAAATAAGCCCCAAGCATTGCCAGATGTAACACCGAAAACATATACTGGGGGGCAGGGGGAAGAAGATTAAACTAAACCCAGAGCAAACAGCACAGAAGTCAACAGGAAAGATAAAACAGCAGGTAAGGTTCTTACTTGGAACCAACCCAGGTTCTGTCCCTGCCAGCCCATATGGTTCCTGGAGCACCGTCAGGAGTGATTGCTGGGGTCTGGAGCAATAGCACAGCAGGTAGGGCTTTTGCTTTGCACGCGGCTGACCTGGGTTCGATGCCCAGCATCTCATATGGTCCCCCAGCACCGCCAGGAGTAATTCCTGAGTGCAGAGCCAGGAGTAACCCCTGTGCATCACTGGGTATGACGAAGGAGGGAGGGAGGGAGGGAGGGAGGGAGGAAGGAAGGAAGGAAGGAAGGAAGGAAGGAAGGAAGGAAGGAAGGAAGGAAGGAAGGATTGCTGACGGCTGAATGCAGAACCAAGAGTAACCCCTGAGCATTGCCAGGTGTGACCCAAAAAGAAGAAGAAAATGAAATAAAAATAGGAAGATAATAGAAGTCTGTTAACCTAGAAGCCGACTTATCTTATTTTACTTTTATTTTGGTTTGTACGCCACACCCAGAGATGCCTGCAGGATCACATCGTGCCAGGGATCAAACTCAGGGCGCCACAGGCAAAGCGTGTGCTCCAGCCCTTCCCGTCATCTCCTTGACCCCTTAGATCAAGTATTTAGTCCTAACAGTCCGTAAGGGAAAATGCTCTGTTTCGTCCACATTCAAAACTTTTTCCTCTGCACAAAGTAACAAGAGATTCGTGAAGCCGTAGACTGGCGGAAGAGGTCTGGGAATCCAGCATGAGGAGAGACTCTGGAAGACGCCCGTCAGAGCCACGGTCAGATGCCACGGTATTCCGATTGGAATGGGGCAGCTGCACTGCTCGTGCGTGGCTGGTTGGCCTGGGAAATGATGGAACAGCTCTGGCAAAAGACGTCTAGCCGCGTCTTACTCTGCGCTCTTACCCAGAAGCCCTGGACAAGCGAAGACCCCCACAGTGGCCTGCCCAGGAGTGACCCTGGTGCCTTTCTGCACGAACACATGGTGTCCTCCATACTCATGATGTATGAGTCAGTGTTATGGGATACGGGGCCCCTGCCTGGATCCGCCAGCACCCCCAGGGGCCATTTTATGCCAGTTGACTCAGTTGAAAGTAGGCCACAAAGGCCAGGTCGCCAAAGCTTCCCACGTTCCACCTGGAAATCTCTCTCTGAACTAACTCAGCTCCCGGAATTCGTCCTTCCCTGACTGGAGAGCCTTGATTAAGCTGGGCATGAGCAAAGGGTATGGGTTGGCGTGCGTGAGCAGAGGCTTTCTGCTTAAGAATGCTGGAAACTCACAGGTCCCTCCTACCAAGGGGGTAAGTGGGAGTGCGGAGCCCGTCTTTCTCCACATAACTCGCAATTCTGGGAAAGCGCAAGTTGCAAAATACAAATTGAGAAAAATAATAGTATTCTTTACAGATCACGTACATGAATAAAATTTTGACTTGCTGTCTCTTTCAGATCACAAAAATGGACAGCACTTTATAATACCTCAGATGGCAGACAGGTAAGGCCATTGAATTACCAACCCACTTTATGTCACTGATATTTCCTTGGTTGTGTCGCGTTCATGTTTCGTTTTCTGTTTAACGAAGCCCAAACATTTTTCTCTTTTTATGGCTTTACAATTTGGAAATAAGACGGCTGTAAGTAGACCACCTTATAAACCTCCGTTTGAAAGAGCACACAAGTAGCAGATCTACTAACGAGGAAATTGGAGTCAGTGGCCATGTCACAGTTTTAGCCAGGGGTGATGGTGTATCTGTAGACTGTGTCCACGGATGAGTCTACTACAGGAGTGGGTGTGCTTTTCCTGCCACAGGAAGTAGACAGCTTTTGATTGCTGTAGGAAGTATTTGGGGCTTGGGAGGGCCATTGAGCCTCTGTCACCGCTTCTGGGCTCCGTCGTTGTTGGTGGAAGCAGCATGGATGGCCCTTGGCAAAAGTTGGGTGTGGACATGCTGATACAGCTGGGTCTGGACACTCATGTTTGAATTTCATAGTTTTCACGTGTTATGAAGTATTTCTCCTGGGTTTCTCTACCCATCTCTCCCCAGCCATTTAAAACATTAAAGTCAGGGCCAGGGAGATGGAAGAGCAGGTAGGGTGCTTGTCTTGGCATGCTGCCAACCTGGGCTCGATCCCTGACATCCCTTATGATCCCCTGACTCAGCCAGGAGTGATTCCTGAGTGCAGAGCTAGGAAGCAAACCCTGAGTGTTTAGTCTGGGTATGGCCCCCTCCACGTTCCCCCCTCCCAAAAAAAAATAAAAAATAAAAACACCAGAAAGAAGTGAAAATGATTCTTAGCTCTTGGGATGAACAAAAAGTGGGCTGTTATCTGATGATACAAGGTCCGATATGTTCTTGACTGCAGGAAGGAACCTTCAGCTCTTTTTTAAGGCTGTTAACTTGGCACAGATACTGTCTGTGTTTATGAAATAAATAAGTAACTTCTTCACCCGTTGTCCTGCTCTAACGGTTTTTCACATTCTGGTCTTTTCATTTTTTACCTGTGCTTTATATATAAAGCAAACTTGTTTTTGTTTTTTTAGTAGCAGATCATGTGTGATACTAGATAATTAAGATATTTCTCGAAGGAAAGTGTCTGTTTGTTTCTGTGGTGCCGGGATCACACCCAGAGTCTCACGCGTGCAAGGCCAGTGTTCTCTTCTGCCACTGAGCTTCGTCCCTGGTCCCTAAAGGGGTTTCTTTGTTGTTGTTGTTGTTGGCTTGTGGGGTTAGACCAGGGGATGCTCAGGGTTCACTCCTGGCGCTGCACTCAGGACTTTCTCCTGGCAGTGCTCAGGGGATCATATGTGATGCCAGAGATCGAACCCAGGTTGGCAGCATGCAAGGCAGACGCCCTCCCCGCCGCACTGCTTCTCTGGCCCTAGAAGAAGTTCCTTTGACCAAGAGCAGTGTCTTCGTGCTGACTCTATTGAGCTGTAAAATTTTTCACCCTGACTGTGTCCAGGAACTGTAATTAATTATTTTGATACCGTAGCTAATTAATCTTCTACGGAACTCAAAAAAAAATAGTTCTGGAGGCTGGGGAAATGGCACACGAAATAAGGTGCTTGCCTTACACACGGCCAACCTGAGCACCCTGTATGGTCCCCTGAGCACTGCCAGGAGTGATCCCTGAGTACCTCCAGGAGTGAGCATAGAGCCAAGAGTAAGCCTTGAGCATGGCCAGGCCTTTCCCCACCCCCTCCACTCCCCCACCCCCCAAAAGTTTTGTTTGCTTATTAGTTTTGTACATTTTCTTAGCAGCCTGGATTTGTCTGAATTGGCCAAAGCTGCCAAGAAGAAACTTCAGTCTGTGAGTATCCCTCCTTCCTAGCGAATTCTGCGGTGTGGGGTCCGGGTAGCCTCCTGACGATCGCACGAGATGCCTTTGGCTCATATATGCTCTCAGTTGTTAAATCAGAAGCGGACCATTGTGTACATTGCAGCTAAGACTGAACATACCGAAGTTTAGCACGTCTGATGGGCTCGGCTTCGAATCATAGTCTTCCTGTCATTTTGAAAATGACGCCTTGGCTTTTGACAGTGGACTGTCATTTCTTCTCATAAGAGCTCCCAGGTTCCTCTGAGCATGGATGGGCAGGTGGGGTGTGCGTCCTGGGGATTACTTCCTGTAGCATCACATCCTGGTCCTGATGGAAGCCCGTGTCGCCATGGTGAGTACTGCGGGTCCTCGGGCGGCCGTCGAGATCCAGCCCCCGCGCGACGCTCTTGCCTGTCCCAGGCCGTGCAGAGCTGGTGGTCCTGCTCGGAACACGTTGCCTGTGCGCGGTTTGCTCAGTTTCCAGTCACACCCGTCTTGAATCTCCGTGCGTGTCTCTTTCTGCCCTGCCTGTCTCCCTCGCGGTCAGGTCCCAGAGTACCTCCTCTGGAAGAGTTTTTTTTAGATTTAAACCCCACACAGAAAGATTTAACAGGGTGCTCCCCCGGCCATTTGATGTAGTTCTTTGCACTCGGGATCAAAACTGGGAGTCGTAGCTGCTCTCTTCACCTTGAGGGCACCAGCGAACTCTCACCTTGCGGTTCTTGTCCTCTTGCTCACCATTCTGTGTGTGTGTGTGTGTGTGTGTGTGTGTGTGTGTGTGTGTGTGTGTGTGTGAGAAATACTCCTCCCTGGATTGGCACTCTGAGGTCAGGAGCTCACGTGTGACACAGGAGTCCCCTCTTTCTGTTTGTTTTTGCTCAGGGCTTTCATCCCTTCATCGCATCAGGACTTCGCCTCAGGCTGCCTCTGTGTGTAGGGGGGCGTTTCCCCAGACCTAACTCTGGTCTTGCAGCTCCTGAGATGACTTAGAACTTTGTCTCGTTCCCCTTTCCATTGAGACCCTCTCCTCAAACCTCACATGAGGGTTCAGTGACTCTTCCTCCTTCCTCGCATTTCATTGTGTGGTGAAATAAATGTCCTTGATGCCGTTTGTTTGGCTTCTGTGTTCTGTGTCTGTGGTTTTGTGTGTCTGCGTGTTCTGCTACCTTTTTGTTTTGTTCAGGGCCATACCCGGTGGCGCTCAGGGCTTACTCCTGGCTCTGAGCTCAGGGATCGCTCCTGACTGGGTTCTGGGGACTATGTTTAGTGCCAGGGATCAAACCAGAATCAGCTGGGCGCAAGACAAAAGCCCTACTAGCCGGCCTGTCCACGGCTCTGGCCCCTGATACCTCTTCGGTTACTTGTTTATTTGAGGGGGGGAGGGGGAAGTTGATCCACACTCAGAGATGCTCAGGGCTTACCTCTGGCTTTGAGCTCAGAAATCGCTCCTGGTGGAGCCTGGGGACCTTTTGACATGAAAAGGCTCATGGAGTAGGGTCTAAAGCGAGACGGCAGATTTATGACGCGAGCGCAGCATCACAGAACTTCTGCAAATCAGCAAAGACTAGAGGACCCATCCACAATTACCGTATTATCCATGGATTCATACTTTGATGTAATTTTTATTTCCTATGTGTGTATAATATATATATATTTTTTCTAACTAAACCCCAGTAATAATGCCAGATTTTTTTTTCCTTTTTTTCTTTGCCCAGCTTTTTCACATGTTCCCATGCAGTCAGTGTGGCCAGCATTTTTCATTGCTGCGTAGTACAGTGTCATCTAGTTCATGTTCGAGGCACAGCTCCCGGGGTCAGGTTCTAGGTGTAGATGGAAGGAAGTCAGAGGGGATAGAACCAACCCCCTGTCGTCTCAGAATGAGAAAGCAGATACCTAGATAATGACAGCCACTTGTGCCAGGTAGCTGGCACCGTGAGTATGGCGCTTGCCTCGCATGTGCTGGCCCGGGTTTTGGTTTCTGGAACCCCTTATGGTCCCCGGAGCCCCGCCAGGGGTGATCCCTGCCCTGTGCGCAGAGCCAGGAGTAATCGTCGAGCATGGCTGAGTGTGGTCCCAAAACAAAACAATACAAAGGTAATTGGCCCGAAGAGCATCAGAGCACCGGGGTGTGTGTGGTATGAGGCAGAATGTGCAGCGAGAGCCAGAATTCCCTTGGCCGGGCCGAGGAGGACCCGGGCTGACCCACCCGGTGGGCAGCCCAGCTGCAGAAACAGCTTCATGGGCTGCATTCAGAATATCCTTTCGGGGGAGCGGGGAGGGGAGGGCGTTTTTGTGGGACTTGCACGGCTGAGACTTGACAGGCCAGGGTGGCAGGCGGGAGGTTGTCCTGGCACAGGCCGAGAGAACTGACAGAGGCCCTGAGAGCCGAAGATGAGAGAGATCTCGGTTCTGACATCCTGCCCTTTAGACGCTTCTGCCCACCTCGAGAGTGCAGTGCTCAGTGGGTGAGGCTCCGGTCCAGGCTCACGTTCCCGGAGGATCGTGTCCGGTTTGGGAAAAACGCTTCGGTCCGTCTGTGTGACGGTGGGGACTTCATCTGCCGAGTTCTGGTTTGGGGTGAAACTGGAGCCAAGAGGGCGGAATCAGCTTGTCTCCACTCATTCTCTGGCTCGCATGTTGGTCCCTGATGTCCCTGCTCCCTTCTCCTTTCAGCTGAGCAATCATTTGTTCGAAGAGCTCGCCATGGACGTCTACGACGAGGTTGACCGGCGAGAGACGGACGCAGGTGACTCGGCACGCGGCCTTCTCGGCTCGGCCTGTTGGCCCTGGGTGGGGGCAGCTCCCACCCTGCTCTTCCCCCGGCCCGCGACACCCCCCTGCTGATGTGACCCTCTCTCTGGCTCTCCCCATCCCCCTCCCCCCACACAGTCTGGCTGGCCACGCAAAACCACAGCACCCTGGTCACCGAGACAACCGTCGTCCCCTTCCTTCCGGTCAACCCCGAGTACTCATCCACACGGAACCAGGCAAGTGTCAAGTCTGGAACGTCCTCTCGTTCACTCAGGAAGAGCGGTATTTTATTTTTCCAGGCTATCATTTTGAAATATTTTGATTGACTTTACACACACACACACACACACACACACACACACACACACACACACAGAGTTCTAAAATTGGCAGGGAATCCATAGAAATAAATGGGAAAGAATATACAACTTATAAATACCCCTGCTAGTAATGATTTCTTTTTTTAAAGCAGTGTAAAGGCACTACTGAAAGTTTTGTCAATCCGCTGAGTTAGGGAATAAGGGGCCCCCTCCGTGCTCACAAGCATCTGGGAAAATGCGCCTTCTCGTACTGCAGACATCGTTTATACTGGTGCAGGCTTCAGCTTCAGAAGTCTTGAAATGAAGTAGATCCTTGCAATGGGATCTCTTTGTTTGGAACTGTGTTCTAATAAGAACACAAAAGGTCTGTGCAGTTATTTTTACCGAGGAACTGTATTTAATGCTGGGACCTCTCGTGAGCCTCCGCACTCACCAAGAGAAGGGAATTGAGAAAAAGCTTCTGATATATTTTTGGTTAATCGCTTTCAGGATGGATTTCTGGTATCTGGACTAAAACTTCATCTTCTTGAAATTGGAAAGTCTTTCTGCAAAGTTAATTTTTTGTTCTTACTAGGTCCACTTCCAAACTGAACTGGTAGGAAGGAGAACAGCATTGAGTAGAACCATTTTGGCTTTGTTCACAAAAAACAAACGTGTGCTGTGGGAACTTACGTGGTCTGAAGTCTCCGTATGGCTTTAAGCTTCGAGGGAAATGTTAATATTTAATTATTACCATCTGATATTCTGATCCTGCTGGAGGACCTTTGCCTAAGTGTGGCAGTAACCTGGCCAGGTTGCTGTGAATATTTTTACGCTCTTTCATTTGGGAATATCTCCGATTATTTTCTACCCCTCCAGGGCAGACAGAAATTAGCCCGGTTTAATGCGCATGAGTTTGCCACGCTGGTTATCGACATACTCAGCGATGCCAAGCGGAGACAGCAAGGCGGTCCTCTCTCTAGTTCAAAAGGTAACTGTTTCGAACCTCTCAGTGTTTGCCCCCCGACCTTCCAATTAGGACCTAAGTGCCGAATCTAAAGTTAAAAATCAGGGCTGGAGGAGAAGCACAGCGGGGAGGGTGTTGGCCTTGCACGCGGCCAACCGGGATTCGATTCCCAGCATCCCCCGAGCACCGCCGGGAGTGATTCCTGAGTGTACAGCCAGGAGGAGTAACTCCTGAGTATCACTGGATGTGACCCAAAAAAAGAAAAATTCACAGTTCACCTGCTGTTGTTGGGTTACTTTAAGCTTATGTCTCTGCAGTGAAAAATCATTGTCACAGTTGTCATTTGTGATTGTGATGCAAGCATGGAGCTCCCGTTGTGCAGGGCCCCAGAGGCTGACTCCGGAGCTCAAGGTCACCCTAGGTCACCCTGCGAGGAATGCCGGCCACCCCAGCCCTGAGGCTGTACATTTTCCTTACTCCTGATTAGAGAGATAATACATTTTTATCGTAGAACATTTAAACAGAAGAAATGTACACCATCAAGATTAAGTTTTCAGGCAGCCTTGTATTTCCCAGACAGATACCACGGACATCACTTTGGTCTTGAGTTTATTGCTTCACCCAGAAATGAGGAAGCTCTGTGAAAGTTGATTAAATCGTGTTGAAAAGTACAGCGAGAAAGGGCCCTTTCATAAATGTGAAGTCTCAGAGTGTATGTACTTGGATTTGATGGTTCCATTGTGTTGAGAAATAAGGAGACTTACATTTTATTATGTATCCCATTAAAAATGTTAGAGACAATCAGTAATAGAGCATATAATATAATAGAGTTTTTGAGACAGAGAGTGTGTGTGTGTGTGTGTGTGTGTGTGTGTGTGTGTGTGTGAGAGAGAGAGAGAGAGAGAGAGAAAGAGAGAGTAAGAGAGTACGTGTGTGTGTTTTATGCCTGGAACTGAACAACTGAACACTGGGCCCCACCATTACTGTTCTACCACTGAGCCTAACGCTCAATCCAGTCATCAGTTCTAGACCACGTCTGTCTGCTCAGGACCTACTCCAGCTTGGTGCGTGAGAGACCTTGTGTCGCTGGAGATTCGCCCCTGGATGGGTCTCATGCATGAAAAGTCGTGCTCAGCCCTCTCGACCCTGCGAGCACGGGTTTTGGGCCGCGCTGAGCAGCCAACGCCCAGGTGCTTTCCTGGGCCTGTGCTCGGGTTCTCCCAAGAGTGCTTGCGGGAACATGTCGAAAATGCGGGGGATCGGATCCCAGGGTCGCCCATGTGCAAGGCACGTGACCGGATCCCTGGCTCTCTCCAGCCCCCTTTTCGTCAACTTCATGGGCTTTATAAACCAGTCCAGTGTTGTAAGGGAAGTAACACGCGCAAACAAGTGAATGGATGACGTCAAGTGTGACTCTGCTGTCCGTTCTCACTGCGTGCAGATCCCACGCTTGCCAGTTCTCCTCTTGGTAAAGCTTTGTAACTCCCAGGTCGCTCCCTGCCGCACTCTCATTCCATGTCCATGACTTGTGGACACAGACACAAAGCAGTGAAGAGTAGTGAAGAGCGGGGAGGGCATTTGTCTTGCACACTGCCGACCCGGGTTTGATCCCCGGCATCCCATAGGTCTCCTGAGCCCACCAGGAGGGATTCCTGAGTGCAGAGCAGGAGCATTGCCGCGTGTGACCCAAAACTGTCACTGTCACTGTCCTCCCGTTGTTCATCGATCGGCTCGAGCAGGCCCAGTAACGTCTCCATCGTGAGCCTTGTTGTTACTGTGTTTGGCATATGGAATATGTCATGGGTAGCTTGCCGGGCTCTCCGAGAGGGGCGGAGGAATCGAACCTGGGTCGGCCAGGTCGGCCGCGCGCAAGGCAGACACCCGCTGTGCTCTCGCTCCAACCCTAAACAAAAACCAAAATTTATGTCTTCCGAGACACATGTTCCAAGTTGAGATTGATGAAGGCTGTACACGCTTGTCTTTTATTTGTGTACTCACATAGCCCACAAGCGTCGTTTGCAAGGTCTGTTTCACGCCCCATTTTTCGGGGTTTTATGCTTTCGCCTGTGATCTCACTGTTTAAGGTCGCCCGAGCCTAGTGCTGAATGCTGTCTTGGGGTGTCCGAGCATAAGAAGGCAGCAGTGTTGACAGAAAAAAGGCCTGTTTTAGGGAGGCTTCCTCCAGCACGAGTTACAGAGTGTGCTGGCTTGGAGTTCAGTATTAACGAGCTAACAGATATTCTAGACAGTGTCTTTAAAAAAAAAAACACCCACAAAACAAGGTTATAAGCTAACTGGTTGATGAGGTTGTTATGATCAGGAGCTCACAAGCTTTTACTTTCACTCAGAACAGTGGTTCAGTATTTGTGAATTCAGTCTTCATAGTAACTTGATTCATCGTATCTCCTGCAAGTAATGAGAACTGCTTGTCTGTGCATAGAGAAAAACTTGAAGGAAATCATATACCAATGATTATGATTATTTTATTATCCCTATCCATTAGGGTTTTTTTAGTGAATCTTTATTAGCTCTTCAATCAGCTTAAATATTACTTTTTTTTTTTTTTTGCTTTATTGGGTCACACCCAGAGATGCACAGGGGTGACTCCTGGCTCATGCACTCAGGAATCACTCCTGGCGGTGCTCGAGGGACCCTATGGGATGCTGGGGATCGAACTCGGCTTGGCTGCATGCCAGGCAAATGCCCTACCCGCTGTGCTGTCTCTCCAGCCCCGAGGAGGGAGGTTTTTTTCCCTAAACCCGAAGTCAAGCTATTTGCTTCTGTCGGTAGACAACGTGGAGCTCATCCTGAAAACGATCAGCAGCCAGCACAGTGTTGAGGGCCACGACAACGACCAGCCCGACTACGACAGCGTGGCTTCGGACGAGGACACGGACCCGGAAGCCACCGCCAGCAAGGCCAGCAGGCAGAAGGTGAGAGGCGACGGGGCGCCCGCAGTGGGGGCCGGGGCTTCTTTCCAGAACCCCGTCCTCTTGCGAGTTGGCCTCGTCTGCATGTGCCGGGGGCCGGCCCTCTGGAGAACGCCGTGCAGGTAAAGTGGGGTCCGCAGCTCGCGTGGGCCGGACGGAGACTGGAATGCGGGAACTAGCTGGAAGACAGGAGTCCGTCATCCCCGGCTCAGAGGCCGGGTCACAGCCCTGCCGCACTTGGGACTTTCTGCGGCTTGTGAGGGGGCCCTGTCCATCAGCCCCTCACCAGACGTTCGCCAGGTGTCGCTTCCCTGGCTGATCCGCCCCTCTGGCTAACCCTTTACCCGCGAGGCTGCGGGCCGAGGTAGAACGCGACGGGCATCACCTGCAGCGGAGCGGCGGGCGGCCGGCAAGCCGGTACCCCACGGAGGCTTGGGGCGCGGGAGGGCTCTTCCACCCCGCCGAGCCGGGGCAGCTTTGGGGGCGGGTGGAAGGGCGACAGTCGGAGCCGTTGGGGTTCCTGTGGGGAGCACGGAGAGGAAGGGATCGTCGTCTGGGGACTGCTGGCGAGCTCCAAGCAGGGAGGGCCTGCGAGGGAGAGTCCGTGTGGCACAGTGGCAGGCCTCGAGGGACCGGCAGGGGCAGACCCTGCAGGCATGTGAGAGCACAGAGAGAAGACGGGAGAAGGGCCGGGCGGGCAGGCAGGTGGCGATAGCAGGACATCGCGGAGGTGCGTGGAGGCCACGGAGCTCCAGCTCCCGGGCCTGGGAGATAGACGGGCACGCAGGGGCACGGGAGCCACTAGTCTCAGCCGGAAAGCCCCCGCCAGACCTCCCAGAGGCTCCAGGCCCACTCGGGGGGAAAGCAAGACCCTCCCCACTGCGGAGGTCCTCCGGGCTCTGACAGTGCCCAGGGCCGCCGCCTCCTGACCCCGCTCACCCGCTGCCCCTGGCTGAGCTCTGTGCTGGCTGGAACTGCCCCCTGCCGACAGCCGTTCACTAATGTCCTCACCTCCTTAAGGCTGCGGCTCCCGGCTCACCTCCCGAAGACTCACCCTGCCGGCCCGATCCGTCACCCTCTGTGCACTCACCTTCACTTCCCAGGCCCGCACCCTGCTCCGTTTGACCTGTCTTCACAGCACTAACAACTGCTGTCTCATCACCTAGTTACTTCGTTTTTTTTTCCCCCTCCTTCCCTCCTCTGCTCGAATGTAAATACCAGGAAGCAGGAATCTTTGGTTTCATTTCCGATGTATCGCAAGCCCCCTAGAGTACTGCTGGAGGCACAGTGAAAACCCGTTGGCCTGAAAGAGGTGACAACAGTGAATCCAAAGATAAACGCTAAGCGTGAGGAAGGCAGACACGCAGGCACCTAGTCTGTTGGAGCAGATGATCGCCCCTCTGCCTGTTCTGATGAGAAAGAAAGAAAGAGAGAAAGAAAGAAAGAAAGAGAGAGAGAGAGAGAGAGAGAGAGAGACTCCAAATTTTTTTTCAAGTACCCTAGTAACCCCACTTTTATGTGTCACTTCTGCTTCCCTCTCAGAAGCCTTGACTTGGTGTGATGAACTTTGAGATCCAGCCGGCATGGTCAGACTCTGAAATTTTTTAGCTGTTAGTGCCGAATTGTTGTCATCTCAGATTGTGAACGTTTTCCCCAATTTATTTTTAGAGCCTAGACTCAGATTTATCAGATGGACCAGTCACTGTGCAGGAGTTTATGGAGGTCAAACACGCCCTAGTAGCTTCTGAGGCCAAGATACAGCAGCTCATGAAGGTGAATAACAACTTGAGTGACGAGCTGAGAATTATGCAGAAAAAGGTAACATGTTACTCCACGCCAGGGTGATTGACGCTTGCACCCCGTAGGGTGAGGGAGACGCCCAGTCCTCGTGCTGGGGAGAAATAGGCCTTGCCTGTCCCAGCCCTGAAACGCTCTGGGCCAGGCGGTCTCTGGGAAACAAGACTCATCTGGCCGTCGTCAGTGAAGCCCGTTCGATCGGAATCAAACCCTCAGCACGTCTCCCGGGTCGGAGACCGGGACCAGCCCCAGCCGGTGTTTGCGGTCGGCCTAGCCGCCCTGAGACCGCTGGGCTGTCCTCTGCTTCCCGGGGGCCTGGCCACTGCCCCTCAAAACGTGAGTCTTCCTGTTTCTGGTGCCAAAGGAGCCTCGCGGTCAGACAGAACAGACGGCCGGCCCGGCAGGCGGGCGTGTGTCAAGGAGCCCTGCTCCGAGCCCCCTGCCGGGGAAGGGCGGGGGCTGTCCCTGTCCCAGCTCTCACGCTGTCTGCCCGGGCCCACCTCCCTGCTCTCGGTCTCGACCGCCACTGGGCGCTCGTTTGTGCTCTAAAGCAGGGCCTGCCGCAGGGTCGGCTCCGATAAGCAGCACCCACACCTGAAGCTCTTCCTCTGCAGTCACGGGAGCTGGACACGCAGCAGGCACTGCCCCGTCTGGTGCAGCTCTGTCTTGCCTTACGGGAGGGTCAGAAATGTGTGAATTGCTTAATCCCTAAGAAACGAAGGGGCCCGAGAGTAGCCGAGCATGCGTGTCAGGGGAAGATCACCTTGGCCGATGCGACAGGAGAGCGCTAGTAACGGAAGTTGGAAATTCTGCATCTCCCTGAGACTTGGGAGGACTCCTGCCGTCATGCAGCTTCTGCGAACGTAGGATTTTTGCACTTCCCTCACACAGAAACTAAACAGGCTATTTCTGGGTCTCCGTCCACGGATTTGAAGGCTAGCGCTTCCGAGCCGTGAGCACAAGCAGAGCAGGCGGGCTGTGCTCAATGAGCGTCTGAGCCCTTGTCTGTCAGTGACGCTTCCTACGGGAGCCAAAGCAGGCGCCAGCTCTCTGCCTTGTCAAGGCCGACCCTGCAGTGCCCCTTTGGGGGTTCACTCTGCGATTCTGCAGATTCTAGATCGTGGTTTGATTTCTTTTGAGACAAGTGACCCTGTACCTGGGCCTGAACTGTGCTGGGGACGAAGGCTGGGTGGGGTCCAGTTTGGCCCTTTCCTGTAAGTGCTGGGCTCACGTTTCCTTTGGCTTTTCGAAAGAACCTGTTCTTTTTTTTTTAATGAATTAGAATTTGTTTGAGTAATTGAACTAATGATTTTGTTCAGGTGATTTTTTTCCCCCTTTAACTTGCTGACATTGCCGCAGTAAATCAGTCTGCTTAGCATCACTTTTTTTTTTAATTCTGTAATGCTCCTTGTAGTATTAACAGAAATTGCTAGCAATAACCTCGATTCTTGACAGCAAATGGCTCGCGCTTCTTTAAGAAATGCAGGGTGAAATGATTTACCATTGCTCATGGGCCGCCTCCTCTGTTCTTAGAAAAGCTTTTGATTATCTATTGAGTGTTGAATCACCTGCAGCTCTTCATTTTCTGTTACACCCCTTCCAAACAAGAAAGCATCAAGGCGGGCCGGAGCCATAGGACAGCTGGGAAGGGGATTTGCCTTGCTCCCGGCCAACCCAGGTTCAATCCTCAGCATCCCGTAGGATTCCCCGAGCACCGCCTGGAGTGACTCCTGGGTGCAGAGCCAGGAGGAACCCCTGAGCATCGCTGGGTGTGACCCAAAAAGCAAAAATTAAATAAACCAAGCATTAAGATAACCGTCCTTGAGGTCTAGCAGAGTTAGAGGGGTAGAGTCCTGCCCTGGCCCAGGCCTCAGCTCCTGGAGAGCTGCCGAAGGTGACCCCGTTTTCCCCAAGCTCCACCAGCCCAAACCGCAGGGCCAGCTGTCAACAGATGGGCCCCGGCCCTTGCCCCAAACCACTGGGAGTGGCCTCTCTTTTGAAAAAAACATCATTTACATTCAGGTTTATCTCTTCGGATATGGGCCACTTAAACATTTTTTTGAGTGAGTCTAGGAATCTGGAGCTCATCAAAACACGTTCAATGGGGCTGGAGAGACAGCACAGCGGTGAGGGCGTTTGCCTTGTGCATGGCCGACCCGGGTTCGATTCCCAGCATCCCATATGGTCCCCTGAGCACCGCCAGGAGTAACTCCTGAGTGCAGAGTCAGGAGGAACCCCTGTGCGTCGCCAGGTGTGACGCCCCCCCCCCCCCAAAAAAAAGACAAGACACGTTCAAACAACATCCAGGCTGGGTGGTTCAGAGGCAGGAATGTGTTTTAGATAAAGTTGCGGATCCCGTGGCCTCGTGTGAAAAGCTCCAAGAGCAGGTTCCTCTGTAGACAGACGGACGGATGTGTGACTGGACACACTCCTTGAGGGACACGTGCCATCAGCGCCTCTCTCGGAGTGAAACCATCCTGGCTGTAAGACCTGGGTTCCCCACCCGGCAGTCTTGACGGGCACCTTTGCCTGTCTCCAGCCCTGGCGTGTCGGGGTCTCCGGTGAGTCCTCGTCTTCGTGCAGCTGCTCTTCCACTGGATAGAGCATCGCAGATACGGATTCTGTGCTCAAAGCCTTCGTGGCACAGAGCAGTCCGTCATTCTTTAGCAGACGACCCTTCAGAAAGACTGGGCCTGTAGGTATTTCTGTGGAACGGGCAGTTAGTCACAGTTCCCCACGGCTGGCACCATATCTATTACCTACGTAGAGTTTGTTTTTTAACTAAGATGTACTTATTTCGAGCTGGAGCGATAGCACAGCGGGTAGGGCGTTTGCCTTGCGTGCGACCGACCTGGGTTCGATTCCTCCATCCCTCTCGAAGAGCCCAGCAAGCTACCGAGAGTATCCCGCCCACATGGCAGAGCCTGGCAAGCTCCCCGGGGCGTATTCCATATGCCAGAAACAGTAATATGTCTCAGAGTGGAGGCGTTACTGGTGCCCACTCGAGTAAATGGATGAACAATGGGAAGACAGTGACAGTGTTTGTTTCAAAGCTAGGAGGCTGGCGCAACAGTGCAGCAGGCAGGGCGTTTGCCTTGCAGGCCGCCAACCTAGATTCAGACCCCAGAAGACCCAGATGATCCCCCCCAGGATCACCAGAATGATCCTTGAGTGCAGAGCCAGGAGTAAGCCCTGAGCACTGCTGAGTGTCCTCAACTGCCCCCCAAACCCCCCCCCCCCAAAAAAAATTAGGTAACAGTTTCTACTATCTCTATATTTTACGTGTAGTTGACAAAATAGCGTGACTCGTGTCTGATCTTTCACATTTGACAGTTGCTTGAACAGGATGCTAACTAATGAAGAGGAGCAGCAGATCTCGGTGTGTTTTTCACAGATCGGTGCTTCCTAAGTAGACATTGAAAGTCACTCCTAACCGAACGGGGTTTGCTATTGAACAAAAAAGTCACGACCTTCTGGTGCAGAATGACAGTTGCTTTCGGACGTAAGCCTTGACCCCAGTGGGAACCGTGGCCAGATTTTTTTTTTTTTAAATCCAGTCTGTCCAAGAGTAGACAGCTGAACTCACGACCCACCCAGCTTAGAAATGGCCCTGGAAGATGGAGGCGCACCCGGGGGGAAGGGCACTGCAGACTGGACTCAGTTACGTGTCTGACGTGCCCCAGCACCACGTCAGCGCGGCCAGCACCTGAGGAACGGAGAGAGTGCTCGGGGCCTCCGTTGACAGCCCCTGACTAACCCGGGGGTGCCAGGCAGAGTAGCGCCACCACAGCAGGGGGTAACCAAGCTGCGGGAGAGATTGAGAGAGAGAGAGCGAGAGAGGCCAAACCATCCCACCCCGGCCGACCGAGAGCCAGCGGATCGCCCGGGGGGCCAGCACGCCTCCTGAGTGCTCACCCGAAGAAGATGTCACAGACGCCGAGGCCCCAGCTGTGTCCCTCTGGCAAGCGGCCGCGGGCCGAGGCCTCCGATTTTTCAAAGTGCAAAGTTGTTTGGAATGTCCCGAGTACGCTCTTGAATAAAATCCTGTTGACCCGAGTTTTTCTCGTCGGCTCTTTGGGAAGCAACGGCTGACCTGAGTTTTCCTAAGCTGCCTCCGCTGTCTTCCTTGGCTTTTGCAGCGCAAACCCCAGTCACCCCCGTGCTGCTTCCTGGTGTTCGCTGGCATTGGGGGCATTTGTTGGTTGCTCGGGGCCCACTGGAAACCTGAACGATGTCCCGGGGACCTCAAGCTCTCAGGATAATCCCACAAGCACAGCCTGCCCGCAGATATTTCCCAGCTTGGACGTAGATGGTCAGACACTTTGTTTTTTTCTTAAAGGAAGAAAGCCCCCACTGCAGCTTTTCCAGAAATCCAAAAGTGGGTCTGTGTAGTTTGCTTTAAGTGACTGAGTCTGGTTGTGCCTCGCCCGCTAGAAGGGGTTTTATGTTGGTCGCTGCCTTTTGCTTCAGCCCGGTGCGCTGTGCTCGTTTTAGCTCGAGGTCGAATGTGTTTGTTGACTTCGCGTTTCTGTTTTCTTCTCCGCTTGCTGTAGAAAAACACCGACCCACTGCTAACCGTTTCTTTCAGCTGCAAACACTCCAGAGTGAAAATTCGAACCTCAGGAAACAGGCCTCCACCCATCTCTATCAGGTGCAGACGGGGCCTGAGTGCACCGACACTTCGAACCACTCTTCCTTAAAGCGACGTCCCTCCGCCCGGGGCAGCAGGCCCATGTCCATGTACGAGACGGGGTCGGGGCAGAAGCCCTTCCTCCCCCTGGGGGAAGTAGACCGCCCGGGAGAGAGCAGGACGAGGCTGCAGCCTTTCCCCGCGCACGTAAGTGACCCGCGCTCTCGCGGCCTTGACCGCTGGCTTCCCTCTGGGGACCCGCCGGCCCCCTCGTGTCTGTGTCTCTGCTCTGCCACCGTGTCCGTGCGTGTGCTTGGCTGGCATCTGTCCGCAGCGGCCGAGTCCCACCAGCGCGCGGAGCCGTTGGCCCACAAGGCCTCCCGCAAGTGGGGGTTCGGGCCCTTGCTCAGCGCTGCCTCTCCCCCCGTTTCCGCCCCTCGCCGCACTCTCTGTCCCCGTCAGGCAGCCAGCAGGGGAACTCCTGGCGTCATCGGCTCTTCTTCCCCGCTTCCCAAACCAGAGCATGGGTCGCAGCGGTCACCTGCATGGGAAGGCCCATCTCCCTGCACACGGAGGGGCCCGGCCCTTCGGAGAAGCAGGACCCTCGAAGGCAGGGCCCCTTTCTGCCCTCCCCATGGGGCAGGTGATGTCCGTGAGTGACCTTGGCCTGCAGGGGAAATCTAGAGGCCCCGAGACCACTACAGCCCGTCCCTGTGACCAGTGGGTCCCCACCCAGCTTCCGAGCATTCCCTAAGAACAAGATGTCAGAACTCAGTCTGACCTCCCCGGGGTCGCGCGCCAGGATGGGTTGGGACAGGTACAACAGTCGAGTGTGCTTGAGTCAGGAGGTTTTCAGACAATCGTTATTTAGTTGGGATGAATCTGTTTTTAAACCTGTGTGTGACCAGCTGTTACAGACATTGGAGCGTGGGTGGTGGTGTTGGTTTTGGGGTGACATTCGGCACTCGGGCTTGCACCCGGAGATCGAGCCCGGGTGTCCTTGCGTGCCGTGTGTGTGTCCCTGCCCCGTGAGTCTTCTCTCTCGCCCCTAGCTTAGATGAGTTTTCCCCAAAGTAAATCAAGAGGAAAAGACAAATGGGGTAATCAAACCCTAGCTTAATTTTTCCAAGCTGTTGCGTGGTAGAATGAGCGGCAGTGTACCGGAGTCCGTTCCTTCTACCTGTGTGTTTGGGTGGGAATCTCATCAAACGAGGCGAAGTGTCGTATTCTTGTACATCTGACAAGTGTAGGAAAAGCAGCCTTCGTTATTTTTCACAATGTGCTTTATTTTTTTCTTTTTAAAGAATTATCTAGAATGTCAGAAAGTTCTAACATAAAAATTCTCTATCTGTTCTGGGGGCTGGACAGACAGCACAGCGGGAAGGACGTTTGCCTGGCACGCGGCCGACCCGGGTTCGATTCCCAGCATCCCATATGGTCCCCTGAGTAACTCCTGAGTGCAGAGCCAGGAGTAAGCCCTGTGCATTACTGGGTGTGACCCAATAAGCAAAAAAAAAAAAAAAAAAAAAATTTCTCTATCTGTTCTAAAGAGTGGATGGGTAATATGTCCCAGTGTAATCTTGTGCCGCGCGGGCTACTCCCTGCTCTGTGCTCAGGGGTCCTTCCTGGTAGTGCTGGGGGACCCTCTGGTGCCAAGGGTCAAGCCAGGAGCTGCCTCATGCAAGGCGAGCATCTGTATCCCTGTCTCTTTTCTAAAATATTGGGAAATTCAGCGGACTTTGCTAGGATTTACCGTTTCCCTTAAAGACAGGATCTTTATATAAATGAAGATCTTTATAATAAAGACAGGATCTTCATGATCAATCCGAGGGATTTCCCAGAAGCCTCTGGCCAGGGGCTGGCTAGCGTGGCCGTCCACCGGCCTGTCTCGGAAACCCCAGCCCCGGCGCCGGGGAGCAGGGTGCTTTCTCGGGGTTCTTTCGCGGGGAGGCGTGGGCGAGGCCAGGAGGGTGGCGGGGTTTTCGTTTGGTTTTGTTTCCCCCCAGCGTGTCTCTCTCTCCCCTTTCAGATCGGGAGGAGTGCGCTTGTGACCTCCTCTTCGTCTCTGCCTTCCTTCCCCTCCACACTCTCCTGGTCCAGGGACGAGAGCGCCCGAAGGGTTAAGTACACGCTGACTGCTCTCTGGAGCAGGCCCGGTGCTTTCTGCAGCTTCCGGCCCTCCCTCCCCCTAACTGCCCTGCATGAGGGGCCGCGCCCCTGCCGACTCACGCACACGCACACGCACACGCGCATGGCCGTGGGAGGCAGCCTCCTCCTCGCCTGATTCCACGGGCTCGGTTTCTCGGCGCCTCTAACACCGTTCACACTTCACCCCCCTGGCACTGACTCCGCGCGGATTCTCTTTCTCAACAAACAAAGTTAGCTGGCTGCTGGTTACTTCTGTGAGGAAGGCAGTGCTGTCTCAGTTAGCGTCTCCTCCGTGCTGCAGTTACCAGGTCCGAGCTTGTCCGTCTGAACTAGCTGGAATACGAAGACTGTCGTTACTGTGGGCGCCAGGGACCCACCCCGGGGCCGCATACACACAGGGCATGTGCTCTGCCACTGAGCCCCATCCCTGGCCTCTAACGCTGTGCTTTTTTTTTCTTTTTTTCTTTTTCATATTATCTTTAACCTCGCGACCTCATATGTCAGTTTGAAGTCACAAGTCAGGGTTTCCCGGCTCCCGGATCCATGTTAAGATTTACACTGCGTGGGCAGCGGAGGCTGCTGTTAGCTGGTCCAAGCCCTCCTTGCTCGTGTCTGATGTGTGCCCCCGCCCCCCAACTCCCGCCCACCCGCAGAAGACTCAGATGCTCCCTTAGAGTGGCCATCTAAAGGAGTGGCGCCATCTCTGCCCTCATTCAGCACCTCCTCCATCACCGGCTTGGAGTTTCTTTTTTATTGTTGTTCTTAGGGGTTTTGTTTTTTGTCTTTTTTGTGGGTTTTTTTCTTTTTTTGTGTTTGGTGCCACCTCCGCCGATGCTCGGGGTCCCTCCTGGCTCTGCACTCAGAAATCTGGGCACCGTCACTCTAAAAAATACTTTCTTGCCTACGCTGAGAAAGTCTCAGGATGAGACCCTGAAGGCCTGAACTCGGGGCCTGGTTTTGTGTGTGCACGCACGGACAGGCCCGCGTGCTTCTGGCGTGTCAACCCCGGGGCCTCGTGTATGTGAGAGATTCACTAGACCCCTGGGCTGTACCCCTGGCCTGCATGCAGTGTGCCAGGAGTCACACCCGTGGCCTTCGCTGTGTGAGCTGTGCCACTGCGTGTTTCATTTTGTTTTTAAACACTGAATACGGTGTGACAGGTGCGAGGGGGAGGGGTCAGACTTACAGACAAGGTGGGCTGGAGCTGGGCCCTTTCCCATGCGCCCACATCAGGCGTGGTGGGGGGAACTTTCTTCCCCACTGCCAACACCAGAGGCTCACAGAGGCTTTTGAGGGGCTCTTTGCTACACTTTTGAGGTCCATACAACCAGTTAGGGAGAGAGGGCGTCAAGCATCTTTCGGAACAGTTTTGACATTGATCTTCACTGTTTTCATGAAACATTCAGCTAACGGATGGCTTAAAAATGCACTGCCTTACTTGAAATTTGGTTAAGAATCAAGGAAAATTTGCCACTGGAAAATTGGCTTGAAAAAATACATAGGTAGTTTGGTAGTTAGGAATACCACTGCAAGGACTTCTTGCTGAGACAGATTTATACATTGTTAAAAGACAGTTAACCTGATCATCTTGACTGTCCCCGAACACATCCTCGTGAATTTAGATGTTCATGGTGGTGGCACAGTTGTATTCAGAGAAATCTGTACGTCTGTTTCACTGAACCAGCACCAGCTATAAGGTAACTTTTCTATTAACAGCTTTGGGAGAGCCGAATTCTTAACTAATAGACCCTAACTCTGCATGTTCACAATCATATTTATAAAATTAAATGCCAGCTAATCTCAAGTCCTGTACATAATGCCTTTGTTGACAATGACGAAGGATTGAATGTGTAAGTATGTGATTTCCTGGGGTCTTAACTCTTGTTTGTTGTTTCCCTTGAGAAACATTTCCTGGGTGTGTTTATTAGACACGTGAGTCCTACTTCTTCAAAAATGTTTAAATAAAACTCGGTACTTCTCACTGTGGGGTATTGGATTGATTTGTAATTATCAAATTTGTATCGAAAGCTTTTTTTTTTCCCCCAAAGGATCCATTACAAAAATGTGGAATTTCCTGGGTCTAATTCTATTTTCTAGATTTTCCCACTGGAGCAGCTCTGGATGAATTTTCTAGAATAATTATTTAAATGCGAGTTTTTACATTCCATTTACATATGTACGTGTGTGTGCACATACACACGTGCAGACCCACTCGCCTGTGTGCGCGTGTGTGTGTATGAGCTAAAGGCAACGAAATTAACAGATTAGTCACACTTTCCTTACGAAAGGTAAGATGGGTTTTTGCGGGGGGCGGGGAACGGGGGTGTGGAGCTCACCCGGAAGAGCTGGACTCATTGCTCCCTGCCCGAGGGCAGTGCTTCCTTTGGTTTTCCATCTGTAAAGTCGATTCATTCCCAGACAAGATCAAAATAAGGCTGGAGATGAGAAAACAAAGGTGGCGGGGTTTTTTTGTTTGTTTGGTGGCCACACACTGCAGTGCTCAGGAGTTATTCTGAGCTCTGCACCCAGGAATTACTCCTGGGAGAACATACAGGATACGTGAGATCGAACCCGAGTCAATCTGCTACAGAGTACGCGCCCTCCCCATGCTGCTCTCTCTCTCTCCAGCCCCCAGACAAGGGTATCGTAGAAGTTGGGGCCGGAGCAACAGTACAATAGGTAGGGCACTTGCCTTGTACGTGGCTGACCGGGGTTCGATCCCCCAGCACCACATACGGCCCCCTGAGCACTGCCAGGAGTGATTCCTGAGCGCAGAGCCAGGAGTAAGTCCTGAGCACAGACGGGCGTGGCCCAAACACCCAAAAAATTGGGGGCGGGGGAAGAAGTTGTGCTCAGTTTGATAGAGCTTGGCTCTGCGTACTCTCTGGAAGGCTCCACGTCAGCACGGCTCATTGTCTGTCATTTTTGGACTTGACTGAGTAAACGCCGCCAAGTTCCTGTTGCGTGGTTAGGAACCTCCAAGTCTTCCTTTGAGTGGCCAGGCCCAGGACCAGCCTGGGGGAGTTGTGGGACTCCTTCAGCAGCAGGACAGCGAGTGCTGACCCCCAGGACATTGGCCCGAGAGTTGGGAGCCGCTCCCCACCAGGGATGGCTCTGTTGCTGCTTTCGTGGGAGGGCCCACACCCAGAGGTGCTCAGGGCTCTGCGCTCAGGAATTACTCCTGACAGTGCGCAGGGGGTCAGATGGGATGCGGGGTTTGAACCGGAGTCGGTCACATGCAAGGCAAGCAGCCTCCCTGCGGTACTATCACTCCGGCCTCTATGTAGATTTTCTTCGACTAACTTAGTCTGAAGTGACTATTCTGTTGGCTAAAGCCGTCACCTGACGGCTGCTTAAACAAAGGTCTTAGTTTACATCCATATCTTCAGTCCCATGTTTTTATTAACTTGGCTTGGATTCAAGGTATAGCACTGGGAACGGCATCTATACGAATTGATTATGAAAAATTCGGTCAGTTACCTTACACATTATAGTACATTAAGTGATTTAAATTTCGCATCAGCTTATACTGATTTCTGGACTAGATCAAGAATTTCTCAGATATGATGGATGAAATTAATACTGCGGGGGGAAAACCATTTCTCTTAACCACGTTAGAGCTAACCCTTAAGGAAATGACCCCCTTCGAATTTTGGCCATCCTGGGCCAGAGCAATAGTGGAGCGGGAAGGGCACTTGCCTTGCACACAGCAGGACCTGGGTTTGATCCCTGGCACCCCAGTAGGGCCCCGAGCACACGAGAACGGATTCCTGAGCACAGAGTCAGGCGTGACCCAGAACCAAAAAGAAAAATCTTGTCACCCTGAAGACAAAAGCGGTGCCGCAACACACTTTGAGAATTTTTTCCCTCTGGATTTGTGTCCCATTTTAGAACCTTCACAGTCGCACCACATCTTTTTTTTTTAACGCGGGGTGCCAGGAATCAAACTCGGTTCAGCCTCGTGCAAGGTATGCACTCTAAACATTATACTGGCCTCCCAAATCTTCGTATTTTAAGGGGATAGATGTCTTTGTATTCTAAGGGACAGATGTTTTGGTAAAGAAAAGTGTTTACAGGACCGGAGCGAGAGCACAGCGGGTAGGCGTTTGCCTAGCACACAGCCAACCTGGGTTTGATTCCCAGCTTCCCATATGGTCCCCTGAGCACCGCCGGGAGTAATTCCTGAGTGCAGAGCCAGGAGGAGCCCCTGAGCATCTCTGGGTGTGACCCCCCCCCAAAAAAAACAGTGTTTTCAAACCAAGTGACCAAGTGTCCCACTGCAGTGCGTGGCAGTCCATTACAAAGACCCGTTTTCTCGGGAGACTCAGAACTCCCCAGTTCTCGAAGAGCCTCGGGTGCTTGAGGCAGGGGCCGGTGCTTCGGTGAAGGCAGGAGGCCTGGGTTCTGCGGCTCCTCTTCCTCCTGACTCTGCGGCCTGGCGTCATCCGGCGTGCTTGGCCCTTCCTTCTCTCACCTGTTGTCAGACCAGGCCGCTTGCAGGTGGCCTCCAGTGCTGGACCGTCCTGGGCACGCGCCCGCTGGCATGCTTGCTGTTGGTCGAAGGGGCCCGTGAGCGTTCCTGGTTCGAGGGGACTCACTGGGTGTGTGGTCAGGCGAATCCGTGCACGGCTCCGGCGGAAATGGTGCGGAAGCAGGAAACCCTCTCTGGACCCACGGTTCCGCTCTCACTGAAGTCTCCGCAACGGCTTGGGCCTGGCGGGTCACGACTCCTGCGCCAGGCTCCCTGGAAGGCGCTGACGGGGACCCCCTTCCCTCTCTCACAGGCGTCCCGGCTGGAGAAGCAGAACAGCACGCCCGAGAGTGACTACGACAACACTCCGCACGACACCGACCCCGAGGACTCAGGGTACAGGCGCCAGAAGGCAGAGCCGGGTGGGGCAGGGGGAGCCGCGGCCCACGCCCCCTTGGGCTTCTTGTCAAGCCCCTTCAGCGAGCGCTTAAAGTGCTGAGAAGTCACCCTCTGCCCATCTCCTTTCGGCTCTCCCCAGCACGTCTGCTCCCCTCCCCCGCCCTCCCCGTCTCTCGTGGCCCTCCGTCCCCACACTGGCCACCACCACCTTCCCCCCTTTCTTATTTTAACCCCCCGGCTTGTTGGGTCACGCCTGGCGATGTTCAGGGCTTACTGCCGGTTCAGCACTCAGGAATTTCCCCTGGCGGTGCTCCGGGGACCCTATGGGATGCCGGGAATGAAGCCCAGGTCAGCCACGTGCAAGGCAAACGCCCTCTCCGCTGTCCAGTCGCTCCCGCCCGCCCCCCTTTTCTGCAAGAGTCGGGATTCCGACCCAGCAGACAGAAACAGCGCCCCCGCCCTTTTTGGGGTTCGTGTTGCTCAATTTGGGGGCCACACCCAGATGTGCTCAGGGCTGACTCCTGGCTTGCGCTTCGGGATCACTCCTGGCGGGGCTCGGGGATCCGGCCATAGGGGTTGCCGGGGATCGAACCCTGGTCGGCCGCGAGGAAGGCAAGCGCCCCACCTTGCTGCACGGCTTCCTTGCGAGCGTGGCCGGGTGTCGGGACACGTCCTCAGCGAACGTCTCCTGCCAGACAGCCCGCTCAGATGCAGCAGACAGGTGGGGAGGAGGCAGATGCCTGGTGCAGGGGGCCCCGCTTGAATGCCCACAGGTCCAGCCGGAAGGGACGGCAGAGGAGTCTGATGTGGCAAGGGGACAGCGCAGTTCCCGATACGGCAGAACCCCACTTGGCCCCGGGCCCCGTCCCCAGCACCGAGGACGTCATCCGGAAGACCGAACAGATCACCAAAAATATCCAGGAGCTCCTCAGGGCCGCTCAAGAAAACAAGCATGACAGGTAAGGGGGTGGGGGGAGGGGCCTGTTCCATTTTCAGAACAGGTGTTTTCTTTTTCAGTATGTTGATTTTTCTTCTTTCTTTTTTTTGGTTTCGTTTTTTGTTTTATTTTGCTCTTCGGGTCACACCCGGCGATGTACAGGGGTTGCTCCTCACTCTGCACTCAGGAATTACTCCTGGCGGTGCTCGGGGGACCATATGGGATGCTGGGAATTGAACCCGGGTCGGCCGCGTGCAAGGCAAACGCCCTCCCGCTATGCTCTCACTCCAGCCCCGAATTACGTAGCTATTCATGGCTGAATTTCGTTAAAAGGTCTCTGAAATAAATTGACGCCGCTTGAGGCTTTATTTACACGGTATTTTCCGTTTGTCATCTTCTTAGGGTGCCCTGTGAAGGTGATTGTCTACGGAAATAGGATTGTGGCCTGGTGAGGGTCACGATTCTCCTTGTTCTCAATAGACCAGAGCAGTGGGGGCGCTGAGAGCCAGCTGACCGGGCTGGCGCACATGCCGAGGCCTGGGGTCTGCTCCCAGCCCCACCACGTATACCACCTACCCCTTCCCCAAGCAAAAAAAAAATGAAATAAGAAGGAGGTAGCTCAGAATTTGCAGCGGGGGGTTCTGGCCACTGCTGTTCATTGGCCTCTCCTGAGCTGGGAGAAATTTGCCCAGATGATGCCGAAATGAACCTGACTTCTTCGGTCATCCTTGTGGGCAGGTGATCAAAGATACAGATCAAAATTCACCTGACAGTTGGCCCCCAGCGAGAGTTTTGAACGACGTTAACTTTAAATCCAACTTTGAACAGGGCTGGAGGGGTCAGAGAGAGAGCACGGCAGGCACGTACCTCGCACATGCCCAACGCAGGTTTGATGCCCAGCACCGCATCTGGCCCCCTGATTTTAAAAGGGTCTGACCCCGGGGAGTGAAAAAGAAGATACATATTTTTAAATTTTATTTATTCTGTTAAGCCCAGCAGCTCAGGGGTCACTCCTGGCGGGACCCTAGGTGGTGCCAAGAATCGAACCCCCATCAGCTGTGGACACGGCAAGTGCCTTACCCACTGTGCCATCTCTTCAGCTCTTTCCCTTTTTTTTTTTTTAAGAAAAATAATCCCCTTTCACTTGGGACTGAGAATCTGCTTCACTACTGAGCCCTGCTTCTCACGTGCGTAAAACCTTGTGTTCAGCCCTTGCACACAAGCGGCAGTAGCGTAGCAGGCAGGGTGCCTGCCTTGTGCACAGCCAACCGGGGTGCAGTCCCGAGCACCCCACAGGGACCCCCCCACCCAGCCCCTCAAGAGTAAGCCCTGATGGGGCTGGAGCGATAGCACAGCAGGTAGGGCGTTTGCCTTGCACGCGGCCGACCCGGGTTCGATTCCCAGCATCCCATAGGGTCCCCCGAGCGCCGCCAGGAGGAATTCCTGAGTGAAGAACCAGGGGTAACTCCTGTGCGTCGCTGGGTGTGACCCAAAAAGCAAGAAAAAAAAAAGAGTAAGCCCTGAGCACTATCAGGTCTGACACGAAAACAAAAAAATAGGCTCTAGTGATAGCTCAGCGGGTAAGGCGCAGGCCTCGCACTGGATCAATCCCGGTTCCATCCCCGGAACCCCACAGGGTCCCCCGAGCACCGCCAGGAGTAATTCCTGAATGCGGAGCCCGGAGTGACCCCTGAGGTCGCCGGGTGTGGCCCAAACAAACCCGCAGAAACTAAAAGGAAGCTATCCTTTGTGGGTGGACCTGGAGAAGGAGGAACCTGCCCGATGGGTTGCTCTTCCGTGCAGCGTGGAGGGCCACTGGCTGTCGCTGCCTCTCGGCTGCAGGGGTGAGGGCCTGGCCTCAGCTGCCTTGCTGTCCCATCTTCCTTAGCGCCTCATCTCAGGTGCCAGGCGCCACTGCGTGCGGCCTGCATTGCCCCATCGCAGGGCCGTGAACCGGGCGCTCCCACACGCAGGCGTCCCCACCAGCCCTCTGAGCCATCTCTCCAGGCTGTGGTGGTCTTCACAGTCGGATGAGCTCGGGTCCCAGGTCCGAAGTCCAAATAGCTGCCTGGAGGCCGCCTCTGGCTTCAGGGACGGCAGCATGGTGCTTAGCACAGGGGAGGACGTTTTTCTGTTTTGAGACGTGCAAGTCCATTTAATAAATACTACGATCTGATGTTGGTTTGTTTCTCCGAGGGTGGAAGAAGGCTGCAGAGATGGTGACTGTTAGATCACCCTTGGTTTAAAGCAGACGCGATCTAGAGTATTTGTGCTTTGTGATGAGTTACCCGGTCTCCACTAGCACCCCTGCCCTGCCCGCTTGCCCACTGAGAGTTTTGTTTTGCTGTGGGCCACACCCGACAGTGCTTGATTGGATTTATTCGACTCAAGAGCGATTTATAACCTTGCGCTATACTAAACTCCGGCTTTTCTTCCCCTCCTTGTGTCCTCTTGGGGAGCTCAGGCTCTGGCTGGGTCACGTGTGCTCAGAACTCAGTTCTGGTTCCCTGTGCCAGGCAAGCGGCCTCTCTGCCGGGCCCCCAGCCTCCCCGCCGTCCGTGCCTGCTTGGTAGAAGTAGTGAGCAAGCACTTCAGACTGGGGGTGCGGGGCGCCCTGTGATCGTCCTTCTGCAGCTTCTCCAGGACTTCCTAAAGTGTTGTGTAATGCACGAGTGTCTGGGGTTGTCCTGAGGACAGAGGCCGAGGTAGCGGGGGTAAGAGGGTGAAAATCCTCCCCATCAGAGCACAGGTCAGAGCATAGATCCCTGGGGTGAGGGAAGCGCAGTCCGCAGCATGTGGCTGCGGTCACGGCCTGGTGGGGGAGTGCTCCTGAGCACTGTCGGGTGTGGCCCCAAGCAAAACAAAAAGAAAAAAGAATCCTTAGGCGTGGCTCTTAGTGTGACCATGGGCATACGGGTTAGGGAGCATTCCTGTGTGATAAGAGCCATTGTCCTCGTCAACTTTCGTGTTGCCTTTTCTTCCCCCCTCTGAGCGGCTGTGTGACAAGAGGGGTCGTAGCCCCTCACGAATTGTTAGTCCTTTGTTGTGACCCCAGCGAATAAGCAACTGACGCAAGGTTCTAATTGTGAAGGTAAAAGGATTTCCCGTTGGAAAGTATTGTGGGGATAACACAAGCCGTCCTTGCAGCGGAATGGTTTGATGAAGACGCAGGCAGTCTCAGGACCGGAGAGCGAGTGCGGTGCTTGCCTTGCCCGCGGCCGACCAGGTGTCACGCCCCAGCGTCCCACGTTCCCCCGAGCACCCCCCCAAGTGGCCCCTGAGTACAGAGCCCTAAGTAAGCCTGGAGCATTACCAGGTGTGGCACAAACTCAGTAACCATCACCGGGGCTAGAGCGATAGCACAGCGGGTAGGGCGTTCGCCTGGCACATGGTCGACCCGGGTTCGATTCCCAGCATCCCATATGGTCCCCCGAGCACCGCCAGGGGTAATTCCTAAATGCAGAGCCAGGAATAACCCATGAGCATAGCTGGGAGTGACCCAGAAAGCAAATAAATAAGTAAATAAAAGGCCATGCCCACCTCTACACTCAGAATCTCCTAAAAGGATCGTGCAGGCTCCCTTGGGGACCAGGAGGTAGAACTGTGCGTAGGACCAGCCTCTGTGCGTTTGAGCCTGGTTCGGTCCCTGGCACCACCCGGCCTCCTGAGCATGGCTGGGTAGAGCCCCCAAGCACTGCCGGGCGCCCCTAAGGAGCCCTAGCACCACAGCACCCAAAAAGCACTGCACCCTCAGGCCCTGGCACTCAGGGTCAGCCTGGATGCCAAGGCCTGAGGCAGGAGGCGCCGCCTGACGCTGAGCCCTGTTTTTCAGGGAGGAAGGACCCCTAGCACAATGGTCTCCTCTGACAGCTCTTCCCCTGGTCCTCTTCCGCTTTGTGGGCTGTTGGTCAGTGCTCGAAGCAGAATCGGGCTCTTGTTTGTTTGGGGGCCACTCCCAAAGTGCTCAGGGCTGACCCCTGGCCCTGCGCTCGGGCTCCTAGCAGAGTTCGGGGACCACCTGGGATGCTGGGGATCAAACCGGGTGGACCCCACTCAGGGCGAGCACCCTCCCCGTTGTGCTGTCGCTCTGGCCCCCGGCCCTCAGCCTGCGCTGACCTCTGCCCAGAGGGTTCTGCTGGAAGTGCGTGTTCTGCCTTGAGTCACCTCTCCCTTGTCCTTGCAGCTACATCCCCTGCTCAGAGAGGATCCACGTGGCTGTCAGCGAGATGGCAACGTTGTTCCCTAAAGTAAGTCACTTCCTGCTTTCTCTGTTAAGATCTTCTCAGGGAAGCGCAGGACATTTCTTCAGGACCACTTGATTACATGAAGAGTGAGAAAGCACAGTGTCGTAGCACAGTTTTAGATTTGTAAATCGATCCACAGACCTTTGAAAGACTCTTTGGGGGCTGGAGCAATAGCACAGCGGGGAGGGCGTTTGCCTTGCACGCAGCCGACCTGGGTTTGATTCCCAGCATCCCATATGGTCCCCCGAGCACCACCAGGAGTGATTCCTGAGTGCATGAACCAGGAGTAACTCCTGTGCATCGCCGGGTGTGACCCAAAAAGCCAAAAAAAAAAAAAAAAGACTCTTTGCTTGTATATTTGTATGGTTAGTAAGTCAGGACCCTGTGAGCTGAAGGCAAAGCATTTGCGGAATAACGTTTTCTCCGGAGTAGTCGGCCCTGGTGGATTACTCTTTTTCAAAATAGGCACCAGAATGGCACAGGCTGCAAAAGTAACACGTTAGCCTGCCCTTCGACCTTTGGGTCAGAGCCCCTTGACCCCTTCCTTCCGGTGCAGTAACAGAACAGCCGAGGGTGTGTTCAGAAGGCTTGTCCCACTCTCCCGGCCTCCGCCTTGCAGTTCGCAGCACCCGCCTCTTGCTTTTCTCTTTAGAAAGCCAAATCCGACCTGGTGAGGACCTCCCTCCGCCTGCTCACGGCCAGTGCCTACCGACTCCAGTCAGAGTGCAAGAAGACCCTCCCCGGGGACTTGGGTCCCCCCGCGGACGTCCAGCTGGTCACGCAGCAGGTCATCCAGTGTGCGTATGACATCGCCAAGGCCGCCAAGCAGCTGGTCACCATCACCACCAAAGAGAACGCCAACTGACGCGCGCGGACGCGGGCCCCTGCTGTGCGCCCCGCGTGGAGGAACCCCGGGCCAGACGGAAGACACGGAACTCTTGGGTCTTTTCCAGACACGAACGTTGAATGGAACTTTCAGACTTTTTCAGAGAAAGCTCAGTATTATTTTTGCATGTTTTCTAACAACTTTTCAACTATCGGTTTAATCCACTTGCCTTATTTTGTGCCCGTTTACTTTGCTCCCTGACGTTCTTCTGTTCTGTCGGTGACTGTCGGGTAGGGATCGGCGCCACACGCAGAACCTCACTGTCGAGAGCTCGCGAGGGCTGCGTCATCCCGTCAGACTGCCTGCCTGCGGTGGAAGTTAAGAGGGGATATTTAGGAAGACGTTTCCGTGAGAGGGCTGGGTGGAAAGAAATAATCTCACAAAAGTCAGCGTTATCTGTTCCCTGCCAAGCGTGTGCAGTGGGCAGATTTTCCAGCCTCCTGCAAAATCCCTGGAGTTTGGGGTATCTCCAAGCATGTATGTAGAGAAAAGGACTTTGCCACTTTCTAAAAGTAGTGAACGCTCTCGGGAGGACGCAGTGGGCGCTCTGTTTCTCCGACAGTTGTGTTAAATGTTCTCTTGTGGATTTTTGTACCTTGAACCTCTCTGTCTCTCTCTCTCTCTCTGTCCCTCCGTCTCTCTCTGGCCTTCTCTCTCTCGCTTTCACTCTCCTCCTGAAGTTTAAATTCGCCTGGCATCAGGCCACTACCCATCCCCCACGTCACATCTCCTTGGTCCGCACCCAGTGAGGAGCACCCGCGTGTCACGCCACGTGACCCTGGGCTCTGCCTTACCCCAAGAACCCAGACATCTCACCCCCAACCCCCATGATTCTCTTCCCCACGAGCCATCAGCGAATCTGGAGCGCCCGTTCGAGAGTCCAGCCGCAGTCTGCGCGGGGGGACGGGGATCAGAGCTCCCCCGGACACGGCCCGCTGCAAGCTACCCCATCCCCTAGCGCTTCTGCACACGGCCTGTTGCTCTCCGCTCAACATCCCCGGGGGCTTCCCGTAAGAGTCAGACAGCCACCCGAGCTGGGGTCTCCTTGAGACGCCCTCGGGGTGCCCCTGCCCTCCCCAAGCTAGGAAGCAAGACAGAGATGGCGCTTCGGGCCGCTAAACAGACCTTTCTCGTGCCGAATGTCAAGGTGTGTTCCTGACCCGGGAGGTCTGCCGGGTGGCCCCGAGCCTGACGGCTGCTGAGACCAGGCTGTCGTGATGCCAAGAGTGACGACCGGGTGCTGCTTACAGACAACGGCTCCCCAGCCTCGCCCAGGCTGCCCGGCAGAAAAGGAGATCTGGTCTGCTAGGACTTGGGCTCTTCAAAGGACACCAGCAGTCTGGACGTTTTTGTGCCATGTGTCTGTGTCCACCCATGTCAGCAACTCCCGTCCACGTTTGCAAGGCACAGCGTGGGGAACTCCAGCTCCTGGAAGCCCCTGTCGTGGCCTTTGCTCCAGGACCCCCAGAAGTGGGTGTGCGGGCCTGGCTTCCCTGGCTGTCTGATTCCACCCAGAGCCTTCCCAGAAACGGGCCCCTGTCGCCTGTGCCGAGTTGCTCGTTGTCCTGATTCCCCCCACGTATCCCGTCCCATCACCTGTGCTCACCCGTGCTCACAAAGGAGTCGGGGTCATCCAAGTCGCCCCAACGCTCTGCCCGTGTTTCCCCAGAACTGTGACTGGCACCCACGCTCTGTCTCTTGGGGGTGGGTCTGCCCCCAGCCTCACGCGGATGCTCCGCTTCCCAAGTACCACGGCGAAAGGGTCCGACCACCTCCCCACCAGCCGCCCCACCTGCTTGCCTGCACAACCGGAAGTGCCACGCTCCCGCTGGGCGCCGACGCCTTCTGGCAGGGTGTCCGCCCAAGGCGGGAGCCCCTCTCTCAGCCTTTTCCGCATGCTGCATGCACTCAGCCACCCCACCTGCTCTGGCCCCCGGGTGGCGCCGCATTGGTGCTCGTTGGCCTCCAGGGGACAACAGACTCGGAATCTCCACCGAAGCTGCCCCAGAGGACGTTCCTTTGTCCCCGGGGCAAGTGAGGACCAACCGGAGGGCTCACTGCTAAGCCACGGTGCCAAAACGCTAGAAAGAAGCCGCCAGGTGGAGCAACCCCCGGGGACAGGAGGGTCAGCGATGCCTGTCCAGTGTCCACTGCAGCCGCCAAGACCTGGTGTCGGAAGCTCCTCCGGTCCCGTGGGCAAATCGCACCTTGTCTACCCGGTGGATCTGGCCACCTCCGGCACCGGGGTTCTGTCCCCTGGCCCTAGGGCCTGCGTCTGTCGCCTCGTTTTTTCGCCCTTTCTTCCCAGAGGCCGTCCCCCCACCCCAACCCCTGCCCCGAAGCTGACAGGACAGAGGTGCACTTTATGGAACTGACACTCGCTGAAGAGAAGGAACCGGCCCCGCTCCTGAGCTTCGGCCTCGGAATGCAAATAGTTCGTATTTGCCAAAGAGCCACGAACTGGGCCCAGAGGCCCGACCCAGCATCTCGTCCCACTGGGACTGTCCACGGCACAGCCCAGGAGCTGTCGTGCCGCTCCACGCGGGGTCGGAGTGGCCGGCCAGCGCCTGGCACCCGCGACCCCGAGCTTCCCAGGAATAACGTCCTTTGAGTCCCTTCCTCGTCCGGGTTGAAGGTCACACCCCACCTTCTTTTTTTTACAAAAGAAAAATGCTGCATTGGAAAAAATGAAATGCCTTTTAATCACATGTGTTTGGTCCGTGTCATCCCTTGTCCCGTCCTGCCCTTCCATTTCTTCGCTGTAGATTCTCCTCTGTACTTCCCGCCCAACCTTTCCAGCGTTGTAAAATCCTCTGGAATATGTGCCTGCTAGTTATGCAATAAACAGGCTCTCTCGTTGCTCTGCTTCCCAGCAGTGAACTGATGTTGCCGTATCCAAAGTCCCAAGGACGTTCTCCTCACATGACCCCATCTCCAACAAGCAACGGATCACAGAGGCTTTGCCGGGGCTCACAGCAGTGGCGAGTTCTTGTTTTTTCCGTGCTTGGCAAATAGCCTCTTTTTCTTTTTCAGTTGAATTTGCTTTCGGTTCCTGGGCCCCACCCAGCTCTGCTCAGGGACTCCCCCTGGCTCAGTCCTAGGGAGCGTCCTGACCGGCCTTGTGGGGCCCTTGGGGATGCTGGGCATCAAGCTGCAGTCAGCCATGTGCAAGGCCAATGCCCTCCCCACTCAACTACGTGTGCCCAACTGGGTGGGTTTCTTCTGAGTGTTCTGGGGGCCCCAGCCAGTAATGCTCAGGGCTTAACCTCTCATCTGCGCTCAGGCGTCACTCTCAGCAGGGGACCATACGGGGTGTCGGAGATGGAACCTGGTTGGCCATGTGCCAAAGCGAGCACTTGACTCCCTTGTACAGATCCCGCATCTGGAGCCAGAGTGATACTCCAGCGGGTAGGGCACTTGCCTGTGGACATGTAGCCAACCCGTGTTCGATGCCTGGGCCCCATCTGGTCCCCCAAGCCCTTCCAGGAGTGATCACCGAGCACTGCAGGGTGTGGCCCAAATATGAACCCTGCATCAAGATGTCAGTTCCGTGTGTCTTGTGTTGAGGGATTTACGCCTGTGTTTCAGTTGTGGGAATCGGCCAAGGGAGGAGCCCGTTCCTTGTTAACAGGGGGTGTGGTCTCGGAGCTGAACCAGGCTTAAACTCTTGGGGCTGGAGGATAGCCCTGTGGGTAGGGCGTTTGCCTTGCACGCGGCCCACCTGGGTTCGATTCCCAGCATCCCATATGGTCCCCTGAGCACTGCCAGGAGTAATTCCTGAGTGCATGAGCCAGGAGTGACCCCTGAGCATCGCCGGGTGTGACTCAAAAAACAAAAATAAAAACTCTTCCTGCCCGTTGAGCAAGTGGCCAAGAGTCCCCACCACACTTCACCAGGGCCACCCAACACTGTCTAAAATCAAGCCTAGGGGCTGGAGCGATAGCACAGAGGGTAGAGTGTTTGCCTTGCACGCAGCCAACGCGGGTTCGATTCCCAGCATCCCGTCTGGTCCCCCCAGCACCACCAGGGGTGATTCCTGAGTGCATGAGGCAGGAGTAATTCCTGTGCATCACCGAGTGTGACCCAAAAAGAAAAACAAAAGGCAAAAAACAAGCCTAAGAACAAGGGACCAGTCCCCAAGGGGTGCCTTTCCAAGCCAGAGGTCCGGGGGAGATGGAGCCTCCAGCCTGTCCCAGAACCAGCAGGCAGGGCCGGGGTCTCCTCCTAGGATGGGTTTTGAGCAAGCCAACCCCGGAACCCCCTGGAACATGCCTTCATTCCCTTCTGTTCCCTCACGCATTCATTCCCTTCCTTTCCTTCAGCAGTGTGGCCTGGGTCTGAGAGTCGGCGTTCCTAGCAGGTTCCCAAGGGTGCTGACGCTGCTGGTCCAGGGACCCTATCTGAGCAGCCCTGCTCTAGCACCCTCAGCCGCCACCTACCCCTCAGCACACAGCCCGCTGGCTCGGGAATATGCTTTAGAATAATGACAGCTCGGCCCGGTCCCTGTTTCCTCTCTCACCACTGTGCGAGGTTCCTCACGGGGAGTCACCCCTGGCTGCCTCAGGACATACCATTCATGGAATAAGAGTACTTGTTCCCATTTTGCAGATGGGAAAACCCAAACTCTTGGTTAAATTCCTCATCAAGAGCCGGAGAGAGAGGGCTGGAGCGATAGCACAGCGGGGAGGGTGTTTGCCTTCCACACGGCCGACCTGGGTTCGATTCCCAACATCCCATAGGGGTCCTCCGAGAACTGCCAGGAGTGATTCCTGAGTGCAGAGCCAGGAGGAACCCCTGTGTATCTCCGGGTGTGACCCAAAAAGCAAAAAATAAAAAGCTGGAGAGAGAAAATAGCAGGTCGGGAGCCTGCCTTGCAGACAGGCAAGCTCAGTCCCCCAGAGCCCCGCCAGGAGTGAGCCCTGGGCAGAGAGCCAGGGAGAATCCCTGAGCACCGCTAGGTGTGGCTCGAGAACCAGTCGGGAGAAAGTTCCTCCCTGAGGGAAGTGGGTCGGCGAAGGTGCAGTTGGCCTAACGTGTCTTCCTTGGACTCTGGGGTCCAGGGTCCCCGCAAGGACGGTGATGGGGGACTCAGGGAACGTGACCTGAGACGTGCCTCAGCGCCTAGACTGAGGGACTCGGTAAGACCTGAGCGCACAGGTGAGAAATGACTCTACTGAATAAATGGGGCGCAGTGACCCTCTGAGACGCAGCCCTCGGGCTGGAGCAATAGCACAGCGGGGAGGGCGTTGGCCTTGCACGCGGCCGACCCGGGTTCGATCCCCATCATCCCGTATGATCCCCCGAGCACCACCAGGAGTAATTCCTGAGTGCAGGGCCGGGAGGAACCCCTGAGCACCGCCGGGCGTGACCCAAGAAGCCAACAACAAAAAAAGAACAGCCACGGCATGCTGCCCCACAAGTTCCCCACCCCAGGGCCCTGCTTGAGACTCGGGCCAGTGGGTGTGAGGGGAGAGTCCAGCGCAGGAAGGAAGGCTGCAGGCTTTGGACTAACCACCACACAGAGGGAACTGCCCCCAGGTGCCGTGAGGGCGCGTCCAGGTGTAAACACAACATTGTTATTGAGTGTCTGAGGACAAGTGGAGTCTTAGGCTGTTTTCTGGGGAAAGGCTGGAAAGGCGAGAGGCCTAGACTGTCAACACTGCAAGCAGAGAACAAAGCAGGAAAACCTACGTCACACAACCTCAAGACTTCACCGTCGGGGCCACAGCAATAGGGCACAGAGAGGAAGGCACTGACCTGGCACGTGGCCAACCTAGGTTCGACTCCCCCAGCACCCCTTGGGTTCCACCAAGCCTTGACAGGAGTGATCCCCGAGCACAGAGCCAGGACTAAGTCCTGGGCACCACCAGGTGTGCCCTCAAATGTCACTTGATCATTTGATCACTTGACTTCCTGTTAATCAGCGATTTGCTCGAGCGGGGCGCCAGTAACGTCTCCATTCGTCCCTGTCGCGTGCTAGTGTAGCCCAATGGCGTCTGTTCACTCTGGGAACATGAAGAGCCTCAAACCGATCGTTCATGATCTTGACGAAGAAGTCTGACCATCTGGTAGGTGGGCGGCCACGCGGTCTTCT